ATGAATACACAATTTTCCAAGCGGCAGACTCATGACTCTCCAATAGTAGTACCACTTGCTGTCTTGATGCCGCATCCCACACTCGTAATGTCCCATTCCAGCTACCAGCTGCAACTTGCTTCCCATCGGGTGAATATGCCAAACTCGACACAACATCGGTATGGCCCTCTAATTTGTGTATGAGTACACCTGACTGGGTGTCCCACACTCGCACTGGCCCATCTTGACCTGCTGAAGCAAGATGATCTCCGCTTGGCGAGTATACTACACATCTAATTTCCTGTCCATGGTCTATCAGCTTGTGAATCAATACCCCTGACGTCGTATCCCAAACCAAAACAATATCACCATAATGACCCCAGGAGGCGATATATCGGCTGTCAGGTGAGTATATAAAATATTCGCAGAGCTCATCCTCCTCTAGAGTCCAAAGCTCCTCCCATGTTGATGTATCATACACTGTAATCAAACATCTGCGTGATTCATCTCTGATAGCTGCAGATAGTGTCTTTCCATCAGGTGAATATGACCCTCTTGATGTCTCGCCATTGACTTTAAGATGCGGCCATTCTCCAAACTGTACTCCTGCCATCTTTGCTCCACTTAGGTCTGCTCCACGAAGCCAACAGCTCCGTAAGTTGGCCTTCCTGAGATCTGCTCCTTGAAGCTGAGCATATTCAAAAAGACCGTGGCTGAGATCTGCTCTTGGTACCTGGATACCTCGCAAGTCTGCTTCGTTGAATGACTCGCCTGCTCGTACCAAGATTGTCATCGCATTGGCTGCTGCTATTCGCCATTTGCTATCGCTCTTCGAGAGCTCCACATACATGTGCAGCTGCTGTCTGAACACTCCCTCAAGTTGAACGCGATCCTCTAGGAACTGAAGGATAGATGGTTCATCCACAAAGCTCCTCCATACTAAAGGCGACATCTCATCAACTTTGATTGCATCGATTCCTTGTTCATCTTCCTTGATGTCTATGCCTTCAAAGCTAAACACTGAACTGATACTCTGTCGACGAGAAGTTGAAGTTGCCACCTTAGTTTCCTCATCCTTTACGGAAGTATTCGTTACTAGCTGCGGCTCAAAGATCGCTCGTACAAGACTGTACTCCAGAATAGATCGATGGATAAACCGATGCTGACTGCCTGTACGGTTCAGAGGTGATGCCTCGCGTAGTAGGTCCCTTCCTTCTTCTTTGTCAAAGTGTCTTTCTTTCCATGTACCCTTGTCATTGTATGGTGAGTACTCCACCACTGGATTGCCATCTTGATGCTTATAGATCGCTACAGCTAGCTCTGTAAGATACTTGATCCCATGCTGTGCAAACCCTCCATCCAATAGTTTGTGGAACATCCTTCTGTCTTCTGCCCTTAGTGTCTCGTATAGTCGCTTCTTGCCTCGTTCGAGCCACTGCTCAACGAACTGGTCATACAGTATGACACGCTTGATCTTGGCGTTGGAGATGTCTTGATATGGATCTACCATCCGTGGTAGCACTTGTAGGGACATCGATAGCATGAATGGGTTCTTTACAAGATCCTGTAGGCTAGGGACCATCTGGAGTGCTCGTTGGTAGTCCTTCACTTGCCACATTGGGTCTATGGTATCGACATATTGTTCGATATAATCGTCGATCTGAGCCTCAGAGAATGGCACAATCACAGCTTCTTGAAACAATACAACATCTACTTGGTAATTACGGCTCATAGGCTGGAACCGATCTCGATAGTCCAATCCAAGATACTCACTACGACAGCTGATCACCATCTGGACCCTCCACTCTCCAGGCTGGTTCAACCGGTTGGCTACATACAGGTTATTGGTCTGCATACTCTCGTCATATCCATCGCATATCAGGGTGAATGACCGATTCATCTTCAGTTCTTTGATCTGTAGATCTGTAAAGCCATAGTCTCGCAACTGCTTTGCGACCAGGTCCTTCTCTGGCTTGTCGATAGCTGGGAGATTGATAAACAGTGGTATTTCACTATGTTTCTTTTGGTATGTATCCCAGAGTGTGCGCTCCAGAGTGCGGTTGAATGTCGACTTGCCTGCTCCTGAATCTCCTTGAATGAGCAATACTCTCTTGTCACTATCCAAAAACTCTTTTACCTTGTCCATCAGCAAGAACAACTCGTCATCGTTCGCTTGAGGACTTGCTTTAGCATATTGTGGGATGTAGAACCCTTGGTTATTTTCAGCTCTCATTCGTTTTCTCTTTAGTTGGCGCAGACCATCCTCGACACCTGATCTTTTTTGTACACGATCAAGCAGATGTGACAATGTAGGTGGAGGGAGTGTGGTAATGAGGGGATGCTGGATCATTGGCTCTTGGAGGTATATCCTGCACAGCTCTTGCTTCTTGATGTCCCCACATGATTTGAGATCATCCAGGAGAGCATCTACGACTGAAAGCAAAGCGGAAAAGAAAATGTGTGGAATAAAAGAATTAACCACCATATGCTGAATGCTACCAACATCATCATCAAACATGTTTGCAAATAAAGAAAGAGGCACACACCTTGTAGGACATCCGATGATATTGAGGATATCCTTCTAAGGATGTTTATGATCCATTGCTTGACATGTGTATGATCGTTCCACTCATGTTCATTCTTGTAGATCTCTCCTAGGAATGTGATGGCATCTTGTCGAGTATCCATGGTCCATTGTGTATCTGCTGCAATCTGTCCCAGTCTCTGACATAGACCCCATTGGAATGCTGCATCATTTCGACAGGATACTCCACACACAAGAGCCTTGAACTTGATGAATTCGCCTGTCTGGAGTAGTGCATCGGCTGCAAGAAGTGCTGGATACCATGCTGACTTGTGACTGAAGTTGAGTCCTTCTTCCATACACTGTTTGAACATTGCTCCGCTCTCATATAGTGAGGTTGTACCCTTGTATACTCGCAGGCTCATGTCAATGAGATTTGTCGCAGAAGGAAGTTCTTTCTGGATGTTGCTTATCTCATCCATGAAAGCATTCAGATCCACGTCTTTGACCGCACCCACTATTCCAAACACTCCTTGGAGTACTGCTGATGTCCGTCGAAGCATGGCTTGCATTGCTGTTTCATCATCTGGGATATATTGCAAGGCTTGGAAGGCATAAGCAGCTTGATAGACTAGCTGTGGATTTGAGCTATCTTTCAGTTCCTTAAGGTATGCTACAAGTGGTTCATGGAGTTGTTCTCGCTTCAGATCCTTGACTTGATTGTTGACCATAGCATCAAGCACATGTGAGACTGTAGCTGAGAGGCGATAGAGATGGTCTCCAGATTGAGTATGTGTACCTTGTAAGCGGAAGCTGAGAGAGCTGAGGATTGAGACGAGGTCACCCGACTCGAGATATCCAAGGGGAGCACGCTGTATCAATTGAGCCAACCCTCCTAGCAAATGAGTCTCCAGTATGATATTCCGACTGATTCCATTGACCAATGTCATGAGCAAAGTCCTGAACTGAGACTGGTCGAGAATAGGAGCCAGACTCACCGCCTCAGCGACAGCTGCCTCATTCTTGACATCCTCCCTGATGAACATTTCAATCACATCCGATACCAGTTTACGTAATCGCTCACACTCATCTTGATCGTTCGATATGGCTTTGCGCCACTCCTTCTCATGATCATTAAGACCATTTGTTGGGATGGAAGCGGTAGAGAGTAAACGAAGACAATATACAAGCTGACGGATATCATTCAGGTGAGTCCCAGATTCTGGTAAGGCATGCTTAATGACAATTGGGAGTTCATTGTGATTGAATATGTCCTTTGCAATCGTTGCAGTAGTATGTGCTGGTATCGCTTTAACCATTGTATTCGACTTGGCGCTACTGGTAACGTTGCCTTTTTGTTTGGTATTGTTGCTATTGTTGTTATTGTTGTTATTTCTTTGGATGTATCCCCATTTCTCAGCTTTCTTGTCACGTCTTTGAGCATCATCTAAGTGACCAAGATTTTCAAATAAGCGAGCAAGATCATAGTAGGCTGAGGCAATACTTTGGTGCAATGTCATATCTCCATTCGAAGTTGAAGAGCCTGAGGAGATTGGGACAATGGACTTTCGCGCAGGCCGCTGAATTCGAGATAGCACAGAGTCAGCATCAAGACATAGCTCCAGCACTATGTCGTTATCGTCGTCTAGGGTGCGAGTACCCTTCATATAGAAATCGAAGAGTCTCAGAGCCTGTATTGGCGAAAGTGCACTTCGTGATGGGGGTTTCGTCAAGCCGAACATGGATTGATGCTTTCCTTTTATCTTTGAATTGAATTCTACGTAGGTCTGCTAAAGAAGGATGGGTTTAAAGGGTTAGTGGGTGGAGATAGTAATTTTTGTGGGTTCCAAGCGTGTTTGCAGGCGACGACTTACAGGAATGATCCAAAGAAATGGACTTGAAGTGCAATAGAATTACGATGTGAAGGGTGAAAGAAAGAATGAAGAATGAATAACAATAAAGGCTGCATGCAAGTCTTCTTTTAAGCTGGAGTTTTCAACCTTGCCAGGGTCTAGACACGTCTCTTTCCCTTCTTTACCACCCTGTGTTACACAGTTGCATTTTTGGGCCTGCACTGAATCAAATTCCTTTCGGTCATGTTAGTTCAAGTAACCATTTCTTAAAATTCGGAGGGGTTTTTTAATCGAGTGATTCATAAGAGCATTCATGCGTGCGCATGTATCATTGCAGTCCCTCTCAAGTTCATCCCATCTACTTTGTGTGTAGGAATTGTAATTGTAGAACAATCCTTAGTTGTCTCAGTCGTATCATTTTCTTCTGGTGCAAAAAGACAAGTGTACATTATTCTAGTGGTCAATCATCCATTCTTCCTCTCTCAATGACATTATTTATTTGATTCCTTTAATCGTAGATTTGCTGCACACCCTCTTTGCAATCAAAAAATAAAAATAAAAATAAAAATAAAAATAAAAAAAAATAAAAAAAAGAGATGAATGGCTTTGTTGATCAGAGATGGAGGTCTAATTATTCGGAGTAAAATCCATGAACCTCGTGGGAAACTAAATAAACTGCAGACTTGAACTTGACTTGAACTTGACTTGGCTTGACTCGAACTTGGACTTGGACCTGACTTCATGAACTCGAACAAGATCATTTCTACGACCCTCATTCGCTCATTCCTTCCTTCTCACCTGCGTTCATATTCATCACCATCTCTACTCAGTGGCCCATCTCCCTTGGTCTGTTTCTCTCCACTTCACTTTACATCACCTTCAACATCGCCTTTTTCCTCTTCTTGGTCATCATCACTACAACCACAGCAACAACGGCCCATCTTTGACTTCTCAACCCACGTTCCCTTCAGTCCCATGAACATCCTCGTTTACTCTGGTGATGGAGTCTCAAGAACCTCTCTCACCCATACTGTCCACAATCTACGCTATCTCGTCGGACAGCACTACGATGTCATGAAGATCGATGCTCAGGGACTGGAGACTGAACCTTGGGAAGAATCCACTTCGTTATTAGTCATCCCCGGAGGGCGAGATCTTCCCTTTGTCCGAGATCTTAGTGGACCTATCAACAAGAGGATTCGGAATTATGTTCATTCAGGCGGAAGGTTTTTTGGGATCTGTGCAGGCGCTTACTATGGAGCTGATCGTATCACATTCGAGTCGGGTTCACCTTTACATGTTGAAGGAGCTAGGGAACTAAAATTCTTCCCTGGGGAATGTAGGGGCGCAGTTTATCCAGGATTCGTCTATGAATCTGAAAAGGGAGCCAATGCAGTCAGCATTTGGCTCAACAAGGAAGTGTTTGCTCAGGACCAGCTTGGGTTTGAAGAGGTCAAGGTGTACTTCAACGGAGGAGGTTATTTTGTGGATGCAGACAAATGTCCAGGAACGCAGATCCTAGCGTGGTACCAAAGTGAGCAGGGACAGATCGATCATCATTCCACAACACCCAAGGCTGCTATGGTAGCATGTCAAGTTGGTCAGGGTTTGGCTGTCTTGACAGGAGTTCACCCTGAATATGACGCTTCTCGCCTAGATCCTCGGAACCCAGATTATGGGCCTCAGCCTAATGTAGTAACACGGCTCATGGAAAGAGAGCATGAACGGCGGATCTTTCTGAGGAGTGTTTTGGCCAAGATGGGACTAAAAGTGTCTCAGCCAGAGCCAACAAACATAACGACAGTAACATCAGCACCGAATGGGTCAGCACTACCATCTGGGATGTGCCAGAGTGGTGTCCCTGCTATCACATCACTTTACCTTACTTCGATAGACCCGTCCTACACTGCAGAGCTTTCAAGGATACTCTCCAGACTTGCTAATGCAGAAGGTCAGATCCAGGAGGCCAATGATACATTTCAATTGGTACCATCGCCCCACCATCCAGTCCCAGTGCATACCCTGACTACTATTGAGACGGAAGAAGGCGAAGCAGAGGAAAAGATCACAAAGAACATTGTTCTCTGTCCTGATGAACCACCCCCTACAGCTTTGACGCCAGAATTCGACATGGGTCGCTATTTTAGGCACTTGCGACAGGTTCGGCAACAGATCAATGAGACTGAGACACAAATGGGTCATTATTCACAGAGAAGCCCATTCAGCAGCAGAGACAATGAATACACGTTTGGGAACAGTCTAATGTACGGCCAAGTGGTTACATCAACACAGACGATGCTTGACAAGAACTTTTCCCTCTGTCAAGAACTTCCAGATGGGTTTGTATGCAATGCAACAATCCAAGTGTCAGGACGGGGACGCGGACGAAATTCATGGATATCTCCACCTGGATGTTTACAATTCTCTCTGACTCTACGACATCCTGTTCAAGCTGGTCAAAATGCATCGGCTGTATTTATACAATATCTGATGGCATTAGCTGTGGTGGAGGGGGTATGCTCGATGCCAGGATACGAGGATCTACCACTAAGGCTAAAATGGCCTAACGATATTTATGCTGAAGCACCGTTGGAGCACCCCTCCCAGATCTACTCCCAATCTTTTGCAGCAACCGGAGGAGGAAGACCTAAAATGATCAAGATCGGTGGTATTCTTGTTAATTCAAACTTTAATGGCTCTGAATTCCTACTTGTCATTGGTAAGGGGTCAAAAAGAAGAAGCAGAAGAAAAAATCCTTATGGATACCTCATTGAAAAACAGATGAGTAAGATCAAAGTCAAGCAACTCTAGCTGACATTTTTTTTCCTTTGCTTTATACCAAATCTCTGATTGTGGTAAGGATGTGGGGTTAATACTACGAATCCGAACCCAACGACGTCCATCAATCATCTCATTCGATACCACAATAAGATCACAGGCAAGGATCTGGCACTCCTTTCACAAGAAACAGTGTTAGCACAGGTGTTGGTCAAATTTGAACAACTCTACAAACAGTTTTTAGGAAGGAATGGACAAGGAGGGTTCCAACAGTTTGAAGAGATGTATTACAAGCGATGGTTACATTCGGATGCGATTGTGACGTTGACGACATTGAGTCCTCATAAGCGGGTACGGATCAAGGGCATCACTTTGGATTTTGGACTCTTGAGGACAGTGAAGGTGGATGATCAAGGGAGGGATATCCCGGGAGAGAAGGAATATCATCTTCAACCGGATGGCAATAGTTTTGACATGCTCAAAGGACTCATCTCACAGAAATCATAAAGAAAGAGAAAAAAGACATGGATTATTTAGACCTATATCAATAATGACAGCAATACTATATAATAAAAGAGCAATAATAGACATTCAACCTAGAAATGCAGTGCCTGCTTCCGTGAAAAAAAAAAAAAAAAAAAAAAAAAAAAATCCATCATCTCAGTCACTAAAGACCTCCGGAGATCTTGAATATAGCGCTTACGGCCTCTTTCCTTGCCTTGTGCAACTCTCTATATCCAAGCACGGCACCCTCAGTAAGCGTACTTTGACAGAAGCCTCAAAGCTCTTTACTTGATAAAAATGAGCGAATAAAAGATAAGTGCTGTATTTCACATCCATTTCTTTAATCTTTCTTTCTTTTTTCCTAGTTGGATGGGAATGGTTCGGTATCTGATCAGATACAAAAATAAAATGTAACCTCTTCGAATGAAATTACTTACCACACGAAATCAAGCTGAATGACAACCTTCATTCCACCACTCCATTTAACAAGTGCTATACCGAATTAAAGCCAATAGTACCAACAAAAATAACAATAACAAAAACAAAACAAAAAAAAAGTCTGCAACTATTGTTCGCCAGAGCAGAAGCAGGACCACTAGAATCCCCTCTCATGATAAGCGACAATTGCACTTTAAAAGGCTAGAAAATAAGCCTTTCTTTTAAGCATTGACTAGGCCAGTCAAAATTTTTCATCTTATCCAAATCTTCATTCTAGATGCTTCTTGGTTCGTCTATTGTACTCTTTTGAATGCAGTGGTCATCTTTGTGATCTTCTGCGACTCTGTTTAGTATGGACATCAGTAAATTAATGTATTACTTGCAGGAATATTGGGAGATTTACGAATAGAGCGTCAGTCATCTTTCATATTCTTGTTTCTTTTCCTTGTTTTGAAATTATCAAAAATCGAATTGATGACTCTCTTCGTTTTGCCTGATCCATTTTACAAATAAGAATGAGCAATGGACTCAACGAGTCAATAGGTTCAATAAAGGGATTAAGAATGAACATAACCAGCAAGGAAACAAATAACAAAATAGAATATAAAAAAAAAATAAAAGCTCCAGTGGGATTGCCAGAAGTCTCTTTAAAGGGGCTGCTCAGTGGCCCTGAATGAGGTTCCAGTTCTTAGACCAGGGTTCGATTCACCAGTTTAAACATTTGAACAGATTTCATGAGATTTTGCTTTACTGGTACACGTTTTGGACTCTTTGGAAACTTGATTCTTAATCCTAGTCTACTAGCCATCTCCCTTCCTCCTTCATAGCACCAGCTTAACTATATACCTTTGTGGATTAAATAAATAAATAAATAAATAAATAAAACTCAACCTATTAAATGTTTGCTGTTCCCATTGAAGAAAGAAAAAAAAAAAAAAAAAAAAAAAAGATATTGAAGCATCCGTAACTTGTTCACAAGGTCGTTTTACTTTTCTTCCCTCAAGAAACTTTTTTTTTTTTTTTTTTTGGAGTCATGAAACAGAAAAAAGAAAAAAGAAAAAAAAAAATGTATATATCCTTTCTTTCTATCTAATTACCTGATCGAATTGATTACACATCTCATCCCTTGATCTCCCCTCCACACTGTTGCATTCTCATCATGGCCAGGGTCAGTCCACTCCATCCAACCAAGGAGAAAATGCCTACAACCAACAATATCAGCTTTGTTCAGGAAAAGCCGGACAAGGCTTCATCTAGACGACCATCCTACGTGTCTGCAATGCAGGCCAATAATTTTATTCTGGACAAGAATGAGCGTTATGGCGCCACATGCCATGACCACGGCTACCACAATCGTTCTACATCTGTCGATACAACGTCGACATTTGAAGAAGGAGCTGTAATGGAGTCCGGTTCTCGAGGCTACCTTGTTGTCTTTGGGGGTTTCCTGGTAAGTGACATGTTTTTTTCTCTTTGATTTGTTTTTATGGGGTGATGTTTCAATGCTTAATAGTTATAAAAAAAAAAAAATCACGCTCTTCCAATCAAAAACTAAAAAAGAGTTCTTATGCAAGTCTGTCAATGGAATAACACCGTTGGTTAGGAAATTCTTCTCAACTCATTCTTTTCACTCTCTCATCGTTGGACAATTACACAAATATCATAGACCATTATGGTTGCTATCGGCTATGTTTCAATCTATGGTATCTTCCAGTCTCAATATGATGATATCTATGGCGCTCAAGGAGCATCTACTTCTGATGTCTCCCTTGTCGGATCCTTGGCTGTTGGTTTCCAGTTTGGTTTCACTATCATCTCTGGTCCTCTTATGAACCGCTTTGGATACAAGGTTGTCCTCTGGTCAGGTAGCATCATCGGCTCATTAGGTTTGCTACTTGCTTCATGGGGTAGTCAGCTTTGGCATCTATACCTGACTCAGGGTGCCATGTTTGGCATTGGTGTCTCACTCCTTAACCTTGCTGTGACAGCGATCCTTCCTCTGTGGTATGATAAATATCGATCGTTTGCTATGGGTATATGCTTCTGTGGTGCTGGTATTGGTGGCCTTGTCTTCGGCTTCATTATCCCTGCATTGATCAATGCTGTCGGACTCCGCTGGGCCCTTCGTATCTTTGCAATCCTTCATTTCGTCTGTACAGCATTTGCTTCGATTGTGATACGAGCACCTCGTCAGCTCTCAGGCTCACGCATTATCGTTCCCAAGGAGGTACTCAACCTTCAAATCCTCAAGGACCCGGGGTTCATATTCCTGCTTATTAGTGCTGCCTTCTTCGGCTTCGCATACATGGTTCCTTTCACTTATATCCCCTCATATACTAAAGATGTTGTTGGCCTTGATCCCAATATCCAAGGTGGCCATTTGATATCTATAATGTCAGCCGCTAATGCGGTAGGCCTTATCACGATTGGTTTTGCTGCTGATTGCCTAGGGGTCATCCGTGTGACTACGTTTATTTTAATGGCAGCTGGAGCGTCTTGTTTCCTTTGGATGGCCTCATATTCGTATAGTGCTCTTGTTTGGTTTTCAATCATGTACGGTTTCTTCTCCGGTGGATTCTTCATCTTGGTGGCAGCGATTATAGCCAATACCATAGGACTGGCTAACTTGGGGTCCGGATTGACAATTATCTTCTTGGTGAATACGCCCGGCAATATACTTACTCTTCCTATTGCTGGCAATATGTTGGGATCTACTGGCGGCTACAAGGGAATGATTGGATACAATGCAGCCATGTACTTTGGTGCAGCTCTGTTTCTGTGCATCCTGATGTTTTATAATCATTATATCAGGAAAGTCGACGCTGTGTAAACAAAAAAAAAACAAAACAAAAGGAAATAAAAAGAGTCAAGTAATTTATAGAGTATGTGGATCGAAAAAAATGCATGAGGGGTAAAGGTGGATCAAGGAGCTCCTTCAAAAGTTTCGTTCAAATTGATGGAGCACTGGGCACATCTGGTTTGCCTTTCTAGGTTGCTACGTTGTAACCCTACCCATTCAGATATAGTATATTTCACACAGGTGAAGAGTACTGGATAACTTCCAAATATAGGCAGAACCCATGCCGCTTGGAGAAGTTTGAAAACGTTGACCCTGTCAGTAACGTTAGTATATTGCACATAAATGACAGGCTGGCGACAAGCCTTATTAGGATCCCTTAAAAGCCAGTTTTTTTAAAAAAAAAAAAATTACATGTACTTGAAAGGGGCACTCGGTTAAGTAAGACTGTAGGGACCAATTTAAGTGGCCCTGAATGGAAATTTTGGGGTCGAGTCATCACTTTCATCCATCTCTTAAGCTATTAGTATTTTATTATATTATCACTACCACTGCTATATATTACTATTGATCCTCTCTTTACCATTAAAGTAGTGTTGATCTTGACCTGTAGGCTATGCCTTGAATAATTGATTATGCAAAAGATTCATTCAATACATTGCTTTACGTCTTTAGCTTTCCATTGTCCTTTTGTTTAAAACGTTCATGCGGAAACGAAGCCAATGAAATTAATCGAACGTGGCACAGACTTGAAACCTTATCTTTGTCACAGACCTTGGAACGAAATTGTCCAATGCAAACACGACAGCACAACTTTGGTATAGAAATATCCTCGTAATATGTAAGAGGTTTCTCGTTCTTTCTTTTTTCTTTTTCTTTTCATCATTAGTGAGTCTAGTCCAAACCCTTTTCTTTTTTCTGTGATTTGATTTACGAAACGTCGCTCCTCTCGATCATCTTTGTTCATTCCATGCTTTTTAACATCTATAATCACAAAAACCCCACTCTCCAGACCTCAAGGCTCCTATTATCCGACACTACATACCGGTCGCGCTTCGTATCTAAATCTGTGATCTTATTCTTTATTAAATTTATTGTTTTCTATTGACCTATCATCAACTTGTTGATAAGGTTATTTGCTTCTTTTGACTTTCTCTTCCTCAAATACCCATCAATATAATTATATATCTGCTTGAATCAATTATATACCTATATACCACATTACTTGTTCTCCTTCTCTCTCCCCTTCCGCCTTCGCTTCGCGTACCTCTATGATTTCATCATGACCAAAGTCAGTCCATTCGACTCAAACCAAGCGAAACCCCTTACAAACAACAATACCAGCTTTACCCAGGAAAAGACAGACAGGGGCTTTTCTAGGGGCTCATCCTACAACGCTGCGATACAGGACAATAAACTTGCTCTGGATAAGGAGGAGCGTTGTGGCTCGACACACCATGACCATGATTACCATGATGGTCCTTCTTCTGTTGATTCGTTGACAATAATCGAAGACGTTGTAATGGAATCTGGCTTCCGAGGCTATCTCATTGTCCTTGGCGGTTTCTTGGTAAAGGATATGCTTTTTTTTTTTTTTTTTTTTTTTTTTTTCCTTAAAGAAAAACCTAAAATTACTGCCGTCGTGTTTCGTCTGTGAGGATTATGGGGGGCGTGTCTGATTCAATTGTGTGTCACTAATTAATAAAAAAAAAAGATGATGACGTGTCTTTTTTTCCCAACAAGGATTCTTATTTGTCTTTTTTCCCCCAATTTCTTTTTTTTTTTTTTTTTTTCTTCGCATACGGACTGCATGCCTCTGGATTCATCTGTTAGCCTAATTCATTCGTTCTATATACCTCTCAATGTATGGCAATTATGCGGATAACATAGGCCATTATGGCCCCGTTCGGTTTTGTCAACATTTACGGTATTTTCCACTCTCAGTACCTTGATATTTATAGAGCTCGTGGAGCATCTGATTCTAGCGTCGCCATTATCCAATCCTTGGCTGCTGGTTTTCAATATGGTTTCGCCGTCGTCTCCGGTCCTCTTATGAACCGCTTTGGATACAAGGTCGTCTTCTGGTCGGGTACTATCATTGGCTCATTGGGTTTGCTGCTTGCTTCATGGGCTACTCAACTTTGGCATCTATACCTCACCCTGGGAGTCATGCTTGGCATAGGTATCTCTTTCCTCAGCCTCGCTGTGACAGCTGTTCCTCCTTTGTGGTACAAGAAGCACCGTTCGCTTGCTATGGGCATAATCTACTGCGGCAGCGGTACAGGGGGTGTTGTCTTTGGCTTTGTCGTCCCTGCATTGATCAATGCTGTTGGACTCAGTTGGACCCTTCGCATCTATGCAATTTTCCATTTTGTCTGCACAGCATTCGCTTCGATTGTGATGCGAGTACCTCGCCAGCTCTCAGGCCCACCTATTGTAGTTCACAAGACTATGATTAACTTTCAAATCCTCAAGGACCCAGGCTTTGTGTTTTTGATCATGAGTGCTGCTCTTTTCGGCTTTGGGTGCATGGTTCCTTTCCTCTACATCCCCGCATATGCTAAGGACGTTGTTGGCCTTGATCCTAATGTCCAAGGTGGTCAGTTGTTGTCTTTGATGTCAGCCGCCTATGCTGTGGCCGTTATTACAGTTGGTTACGCTGCCGATCGTCTAGGAGCTATCCGCGTGACCATCTTTGTATTTATGGTGACTGGAGCATCCTGTTTCCTTTGGATGTTTTCACATTCGTATGCTGCGCTTGCTTGCTTTTCAATCATGTATGGCTTCTTCTCGAGTGGGTTCTTCACCTCGGTGGTAGCGATTACAGCCAGCACCGTAGGATTGGCTAACTTGGGGTCTGGGATGACGATGATCTTTTTGGTCAGTACGCCTGGCAGCTTACTTACGCTTCCTATTGCTAGCAAGATTTTGGAATATACTGGCAACTACAAGGCAATGATTGGGTACAATGCAGCGATGTACTTTGGTACAGCTTTTTTTCTGTGTCTCTTTATGATTTATAGCCGTTACGCCAAGAGAGCTGATAATGTTTAAACAGAAAGCAAAGGACAGTAAAAAATAAAAAATAAAACTCTGGCCCCCTGCAATACAGTTTTTGACTTGGACGCGTATTTTTTTTTTTTTAGTAAACTATCCAATTATTCAATACAGGTTAAATGACAATTCGCTCCACTTATACGCATTTAGCATGAAGTCTCGAGAATCTGCAATATATATAAGAGGCACTTGTAGATCCTCACTCTTCTTTTTTTTTCTTTTTTCTTTTTTTTTTGTGCTTATTTTCTTCACTTTATTTTTTTTTCTTTGATCTTGTCTTCTTTATTCTTCATCCTCTCTCTCTCCCTCTTTTTTTTTTTTTTTTTTTTTTTTTTTTTCTTTCCCATAGTCTTTTGATTTATGGGACATTGCTCCTCTAGAAGTCTCCTTCTTCTTTACGTGTATTTCCTCCTATCTCAAAGTTCTTATTATTTGGCATCACAAAGTGCACTGCATAATTTTGTTCTTCAGTATATATTTCTTTCAAAGGAAAAAGAAGAAAAAAAAATATTGAAGTAATATCCGACTTGTTGACACAGTCGTTTGGTTCATTTAAATTTCTCCTTCTCATCTATATACTAATACTATTCTAAAATGAATTGGTTATGTGGCTTATTGTGGTGGCGGCGGGCTCATTTCAAGTAAACTAATTGGCTGCAATACATTCGGAGGTTACTCGAAAAATATATTTATGGCTGTGGCGCCAATATCTTTACATTGATCTACTGCAGACTTTTTACAGGACAAATGTGTCCTCCAACCCTTACGGTCGTAGGGATAGTTACAGTTACTGCTGTAGTAATAGTAGCTGTTGCATTACCAACAGAAATACCTGTTACGTTCTACCTATTTTGAGTGTTAAGAAGTTAGCTGTTCATTTGTGTCTATGGTTATATAATGAAATCCCCAGCCCACAAGCTCTCGAGCTTATTTCAAGAGATTGATAAGGAGCCAGGAGACTGGGTCTTCTGGTATGTAGCAATGAACGAACCCCTGCTTTGTTCTTCTCTATAATCTATCTTCTCAGTCACTCGGTAACAAAAGAGTTGGTTTTATGAAAAAAAAAAAAAAAAAAAAAAAAAAAAAGAGAAAAATCATGGAAACGCCTCAAAGGGATAGTGCTTCACTAAGAGACGTAGATAACGGTGGATAAAGTCATACCGCGATAACCGATATGGTAGCAATAATTATCTAGAGCTTCAACATGACCAGTGCAAGTGCCAGTTTTATGGGGCCACACTGATTGCCGGACTGGTCTATCTCCTAATAGTGCGACGTATGATCGGCATTGCAGGGACAAGGAAAACGGCATTTTTCCATTGTTTTATTTTATTTCATGATGATATGAAATGTTATAATGATAGAAGATTATACACTATAAAGATGAAGGATGGCGCCCCTCCACTCCTGAGTGAATAAAAACTCTTTTACTTCTGCTGTCCCGTAATGACAATGTTGCTGAACTCATGTGTTTCAAAGTCCTTAGGATAGGCGCCCTTGCTCAACTTGTGCTGGGCAGCGACAACAAGGCTATAAACTCCATGTCTGGAGAGAAGCACTGGAGTCTCGGATGGATCCGTGGTTTTGGTGTACATACCATCCCAGATCCAGGTATTGAAATAGAGAGAACCATCATTTCTATAGGTGGGATCACGTCCCAGCCAGCCAAAAAATTGTACAAGGCCGGATCTGTGAGCACGAGCATATCCAACAAAGTTCTTCTTATCATCGAAGATACGGATGCTGAATTCAGGAGTATGCGAACCAAGACGGGTCAAAATAGCTGGCAACTTTGTGCTGGTAAGATTGAATTGATAATCTGGAGTAACCTCCTCCAATGAATCATCAGCCTGATGTGCGCGCAACAAGGGGAAACCACTGTCGGTGTCAAAGATTGGAACCTTGGCAATATCTCCCTTGACACCAGTGTATGGAACATGAACAGCAACACCGCCCTTAGTCTTAGGAATCGCAACAACATATCCAGAGTACAGTGGGAATTCTGAAGCATCGCCCTTCTTGGGCTCCTTGAATGTCAAAGTGATCTTGGCAGTCTTACCAGCAGGGATATTGACTTTGTCAGCAGAGAATTTGACAGTGGCATAAGCAGCTTCAATGACAGGGGTACCCAAAGGGAAGGTGTTCTTATTGGGGTACGAGTTCAAAGTATCGGCAGGGATGTGAGAGAGTGTGTAGGTCTCAGTGTGCTTTCCCTCGTTCTTAATCGAAATCTTGACAGTCTTCTTGAAATGGGTCGAGTCAAGAAGGTCAATATGGTCAGGGAAGATGGAGGTTTTGGTAGTGATGGCGCTCAAGACATTGATGAGACCAGCACCCTGCTTAGCAGCAGATGCCTTGGTCTTGGGGCCAAAGTTGGAGACGATAGTAGCAGTGTTCTTAAAAATCTGACGAAGTTTATCACCACGGGGCTTGGATTCCTTGGCTTGAATATACAACGCATGAGCACCAGCAACGTAGGGGCTGGCCATGGAGGTACCGGAGAGGATAGCATAACCACCCTTAGCAAGGGGAAACGTTGACAAGATATTGCCACCAGGACCAGCAAAATCAGGCTTGGAGCGAAGGTCTCCATCCAAACCGAAAGAAGAGAAGACTGAAGGAGCTCCACCATTTTCGATCAAGAAGTTGGAGGGCTTCTTGCTCCAAACCAATCGAGTCTTGGGGTCCTTTTTCCAGGCAGCAAGCATGTCATTACCAGCCTTGTTTTCAATCGAACCCATGGGGAAACCGGGATTGCCGGTCAAGGCTGTGAGTCCGATGGGAGTGGTCTGGACCAGGATACCAGCAGCACCGGCATCCTTGGCGTTGACACCACGAGCAGACTCGCAACGAGTGAGATCACCAAAGACAAGGACGACCTTACCCTTGACATCAGTGCTCTTGTAGATGTTGGGATCGCATCCATCTGAAAGCGAACCATCCTTCTCAAAGATAGGGACGAGAGTAGCGCTGGCAGGAAGATCGATGCGTTTGTTGTAGTGCTTAGATGGACTATAAGGGTGTGCCGCACCGCCATAGGAGACGGAATCATAATTGCCGTAGATGTTGTCGATAGAGGCAATGGAGCTAGCAAGGTCGCCCAAACCATCATCTGAAACCATCCAGACTCCGTCAGAACCATCGTTGCCAGCAGCAGCAACCAAAGCCATGCCGTGAGCAATCAATTTATCACCGAGGATAGAAACTGGCTTGTTCTTGTAAGCGGAACCACTTCCAAGTGACATGTTGATGACCTAACAAAATAAATAAAAGGCTGTGAGCAAATTGAAAAAAAAAAAAAAAAAAAAAAAACACGTACATACACTGCTTATACAAAGAGTGAATTAAAACTTACGTCCATGCCATCGCTGAAGGCCAGCTCCATGGCAGCAAGGATAACATCATCTCCAGCAGAGCCTTTACATCCGAAGATGCGATAGGCACCAAAAGTAACTTCAGGGCAACACCAACAAACGGCTGAGGAGGCTTAGGAGAGGTCTTGGAGTCCACAGCACCACCACCGAGAATACCAGCAACGTGAGTACCATGTCCCCCGCAATCACGAGGATCCGAGTCAGGCTTGGGATCTTCTCCAGTGTAATCATCACCAACAAAGTCCCAACCGTACTTGACACGGCAGTTCTTGCCATAGCGAGCAAAGCATCCCTCCTTAGCGCCAGGGGCAGCAAAGGAAGGGTGCTTGTAATCAATACCAGTATCGATGACACCGACCTTGACACCCTTTCCGGTCAACTTGTACTTCTTGTGGACAATGTCAACACCAGTCATAGTGTGAAGAGAAGCGGCCGCTGGATCATTGCTATTCATGTTGCTCTTCTGGAGCTTGGGGATTCTGTACAAGGTGATGGGCCAGACGTTCTTGACACCAGGCAACTTGGCAAGCTCCTCACCCTTATGACCAGACTTGAGAGTAACAGCGGCTCCGTTGAAGACGTTGTACTGGTTACGAACCTTGAAGTCGACCTTATGAGACTTCAAAGAGTTCTGTACCTGAGCGTGGTTAACATTGTCATCATACTGAATGATGTAACCATTGGAGATAGTATCGTTAGGATTGATCTTATGAGGGTGGAATGTGCCTGCAGAGACCAAAGAGGCCGCTGCCACAACAGAAAGGATTGTGGCTGTGAGTTTCATGGTGATGCTTTACGCAAGGGTATGGATCTAAAGGGGAAGAAGTAAGGATAATGGGGTATGAATTTTTTTAGGATCTGTCTGTCAAGACCGGTGAGGGAGGGAAGGGGGCTGATTAAAGAGCTGAGGGAGGGAGAAGGATAGTAGATCAATGAAGGGAGTCCTTGATGGCTAAGGAAAAAAATAAAATAAAATAAAATAAAGAGGAAAGGAAAGGATGTATTTATACAACTTCTCCATCCACTGGGCTGAGTACATTTTTCTTTTGGGCCACAGTATAATAATAATTTTATTAGATTGTCGTAAACAAACAAATAAAACGGTTCTGCATCCTCATTGTTTTTTCATTTCAAATGTCTAGAGCACTTGGCTTTTTGAGATCTGGATTTTTCCTGGTTTACTGTAGGCTCATTCCCAGTCCCTTCACTTTGGGTGAAAAAGGAAATGGAATTTCCTGTCACCTTTATAAAGTGAAGAGGGATGGGAACGAGCCTAGGATTACTGTAGTCTTTCCCATCACTTCCACATATTCTTCCATGGTGAATCTAGGGATCAGTATTGAATAGTACAAAAGTAGACTAGGATACGGAACCGTCAAGTGGGAAAGAGAGCCGAAGGGAGAAGTGTGGCGATATGCTCTAGAAAGGAACTGAATTCATAATATATATAGTGTAATTGTATATGCATATGTATATAATAGAAACTCAAATGATTTACAAACAGTGCAACATCCATACCCTGCAGGAGAGTCCTTTTTCCTTGAGAAAGGAAAAGGAAGCAACAAGCATGTGGATTGGAAGACTTTCGACGGGTCTAGTATAACCTTATTTTCGTATTTTATTCCAAAAACATTCATATTATACAAACTTTTACATCCTTTTCTTCAAACTGATTATTATATTTTTTAATCCTTTTTGAGCCCTCACCCCTACAACCTCATCATGACTAAAATCAGCCCGCTATATCCAAACAAAGAGGAAACTCTTTTGAACAGCAATGCCAGCGTTGCTCAAGGGAAGACAGAAAAGACTTTTTCTAGATGTTCATCCTATGAGGCTCCGATACAGGGGAATAAACTTGTTCTGGAAAAGGATGAGGCATATGATTTGGGCCACCATGAACATAACTACCGCGATCCTTTTACGTATGTCGATACGGCATCGACATTCGGAGAGGAAGTTGTAATGGAGTCTGGTTTTCGAGGTTACCTCGTTGTCCTCGGCGGTTTCTTGGTAAGGGACTATACCGTTTCTAGGAAGGGGTGGCGCGTGTGTCTGATTCAGTGATGTGTCACTGATTCAAAGGAAAAAAATTGCATATCCTTCCTCAAATACAAAACCTGATTTGTTAGTGCTAACTCAGCTCTTCTACTCCTCAACAAATGACAAACATCTGAATAACATAGACCATTATGGTTGCTATCGGCTATGTTTCCATCTACGGTATTTTCCAGTCTCAATATGATGATATCTATGGCGCTCAAGGAGCATCTACTTCTGATGTCTCCCTTGTCGGATCCTTGGCTGTTGGTTTCCAGTTTGGTTTCACTATCATCTCTGGTCCTCTTATGAACCGCTTTGGATACAAGGTTGTCCTCTGGTCAGGTAGCATCATCGGCTCATTAGGTTTGCTACTTGCTTCATGGGGTAGTCAGCTTTGGCATCTATACCTGACTCAGGGTGCCATGTTTGGCATTGGTGTCTCACTCCTTAACCTTGCTGTGACAGCGATCCTTCCTCTGTGGTATGATAAATATCGATCGTTTGCTATGGGTATATGCTTCTGTGGTGCTGGTATTGGTGGCCTTGTCTTCGGCTTCATTATCCCTGCATTGATCAATGCTGTCGGACTCCGCTGGGCCCTTCGTATCTTTGCAATCCTTCATTTCGTCTGTACAGCATTTGCTTCGATTGTGATACGAGCACCTCGTCAGCTCTCAGGCTCACGCATTATCGTTCCCAAGGAGGTACTCAACCTTCAAATCCTCAAGGACCCGGGGTTCATATTCCTGCTTATTAGTGCTGCCTTCTTCGGCTTCGCATACATGGTTCCTTTCACTTATATCCCCTCATATACTAAAGATGTTGTTGGCCTTGATCCCAATATCCAAGGTGGCCATTTGATATCTATAATGTCAGCCGCTAATGCGGTAGGCCTTATCACGATTGGTTTTGCTGCTGATTGCCTAGGGGTCATCCGTGTGACTACGTTTATTTTAATGGCAGCTGGAGCGTCTTGTTTCCTTTGGATGGCCTCATATTCGTATAGTGCTCTTGTTTGGTTTTCAATCATGTACGGTTTCTTCTCCGGTGGATTCTTCATCTTGGTGGCAGCGATTATAGCCAATACCATAGGACTGGCTAACTTGGGGTCCGGATTGACAATTATCTTCTTGGTGAATACGCCCGGCAATATACTTACTCTTCCTATTGCTGGCAATATGTTGGGATCTACTGGCGGCTACAAGGGAATGATTGGATACAATGCAGCCATGTACTTTGGATCGGCTCTATTCCTATGCATCTTGATGTTTTATAACCATTATACCAGAAGGGTCGACTCTGTTTAAACAAAAACAAAAAATATAATAATGTATATAATAACAATTAAAAAAAAAGGGAACTTTACCAAATAAATCGTTTAGACTACTGGTCCAAATATACAATAGTGTTTGCAGCGCCCGTAGTCATTTCATATGCGCCTCGCAACTAAAAGAGTTAATATTCAGCATGCCATTGAGGATAAATTATAGCAAGAACACTTGTTGGCATATAAAAAGGGTATATTGTTGGAACACGTCCTTTGTGTGATAACAAAGGACAATGCCTCTTTTTCTTCATCATCTTTATCTCAAAGTACTAAAAAATCTATCAACAATATCATCACTACTCTTTCAAAAGAAAATTGGCGACCTACATAATCAAAATGAGGATTGTCATGAAACATGGCACAGCCCGTATGGTGCCAATAAACAGACAGCAAACCTTCGCCCTATGGAGAACCCATTGGATACATCCCTTCAGCAGAAGGTCGACATTTAGTTAATGCATTTTCCTTTTTCTTTTTTTATTATTATTTTTTTTTATGTTTTTTTGCACTTGGATGAGTAAAAGGCCCGAAGTTTTGATCACCTTCATGTATTTATTGTCCCAATCCCTGCGTGACAATAAAAACCTTCTGTCGTCGTTTTGCTGTTGTGGACTAAATTTTCTCCATGTTAATTTTCCTATCGAAACAAGAGCCGTCTTTGTTTCACTTGCGCCCGCTTGAAAGTATTATGTACCTTTTTACATAGACTTAGTAGTAGTTTCCATTGATAAAAGTGTATGTACGAATAAGAGAGTAAACTTAAAAACAAATATTTATGTAGACTGCTTAGCATTTTTTCAGAATCACATTCAAACCATAGGAGTAAAATGAAGAAAGAGGTGCAGCTTCTTGGAGATGCTTTAGTCTTTATATATATATTGGTTTTATACCCTTTTATTGACATAGCTGCCGGGTGAGAATAACGCTCTGGATATTATATACAAAACGTTTATCTGCAGAGCACATATGAAGTGACCTAGACTGAGTATCCTAAAGGCGAACACTTACATCTTTGAAATGATTGCAAGAGGCAACTGACTGGCTATCAAGCAGCTGTCGTCCACTAGACTTTGCATAACATGAGCACATTGTTCTGTTCGAGTATCCTGTTTTCGACTAACTCAGGAGGTTGTGTAGTTCCAGATTAAAAAAAAAAAAAAAAAAAAAAAAGCAATGCTTGACATGGTAAACTGATCACGTGCCTAATAGCACCGCCACCCCAGAACAATTGAGACTATCCGCTTTATGCCCTCTATTTCTTCAACGCTGCGATGATCGAGAACGAAAGTTTCAAAACTATTGACTGTTGACATTGACGCTTTTGCGCACAGACTTTGTTTCAAGACCCTGATTGACCTTTTGAGGCAACGATGTATTTTATTTTATACATGGATAGAATGAAAATATATACTTTATTAATTTAAATTATAAACAGGGAAAAGCTACTTTTTTTTTTTTTTTTTTTTTTTTAAATAGCATCAACCCTCTTGGTATAATGATTATAAAACATCAAGATGCACAGAAGCAGGCCTGTACCAAGGTACATGGCAGCATTATACCCAACCATCGCTTTGTAGCCACCAACAGAATCCACTATCTTGCCAGCAATAGGAAGTGTAAATAAGTTACCAGGTGTATTGGTCAAAAAGATGATTGTCAAACCAGACCCCAAATGAGTCAATCCCACAATGTTGGCTGTGATCGATGCCACCAATGTGAAGAATCCGCCCGAGAAGAAACCGTGTACGATTGCAAATCCAACAAGGGCACCATACGAATGCGAGAACATCCAAATGAAGCAAGACGCTCCAGCAGCCACGAACGTAAAAGTAGCCACTCGGATAGCCCCTATACGATCAGCAGCGATGCCAATCATGACTCGGCCCACAGCATTGGCAGCTGACATAATAGACAACAGTTGACCACCTTGGACATTAGGGTCAAGGCCAACGACGTCCTTAGCATATGAAGGTACATAAGTAAAAGGAACAACATATGCAAAGCCGAAAAGGGCAGCGCTAATGAACCAGAGCATGAAGCCTGGATCCTTGAGGATTTGAAGATTGATCGTATCCTTGCGAATGTCAATGGGTGGACCTGAGAGCTGGCGAGGCGCTCGCATCACAAGCGAAGCAAATGCTGTGCAGACGAAATGGAAGATCGCAAAGATGCGAAGGGTCCAGTAGATTCCGACTGCGTTGATCAATGCAGGGATAATAAAGCCTAGAACAAGACCTCCTACACCAGCACCGCAAAAGCATATACCCATAGCAAGCGAGCGATTCTTGGCATACCACAGAGGAGGGATAGCAGTCGCAGCGAGGTTAAGGAGTGAGACACCGATACCAAACATGACACCCTGAGTTAAGTATAGATGCCAAAGCTCAGTAGCCCATGATGCAAGCAGTAAACCCAATGAACCAACGATGGTACCCGACCAGAGGACGACCTTGTATCCAAAGCGGTTCATCACGGGGCCAGAGATGATGGTAAAGCCAAACTGGAAGCCAACAGCCAAGGATCCGACAAAGGAGACGCTAGAAGCGGATGCCCCTTTAGCAGCATAGATATCAGTGTATTGAGACTGAAAAATCCCATAAATAGAGACATAGCCGATTGCAGCCAAAATGATCTACATTTTCAACGTATTATTACCATACAAAGGAAAAGGTTAGACTAAATATGAACCCATGAATATGTAGTTCAAACACTCAAACACATGGAAGTAGAGATAATCCACGAAAAAAAAAAAAAAAAAAAAAAAAAAAAAAAAATAATCCCCCTTTTAAAGTTCAAACTCTGTGTCTGGAATACACGTGGCTTTTTTACACAGTGGTCTTTATCAATGAAACAAACACTGGATAAAAACATGTCCCGTGAATAAAAAGGGACTGGTAATTGGAATTATAAAAAAATATTTGCCTCTTACCAAGAAACCACCAAAGACAACGAGATAGCCTCGGATACCGGATTCCATTACAACTCCATCCTCGAAAGGTGCATTGATAGAGGCAGGACGACTATGATGGGCATGATCATGGTGTGCGGCATCATAACGCTCATTTTTAGCCAGAACAACTCCATTGCCCTGTATCGCAGAATCGTAGGATGAACGCCTAGATGAGGCACGTCGCTTGGTATGATGATGAGCAGCTGTCTTTTCTGTCTTTTCCTGGACAGAGCTAGCACTGCTATTAGTAAGAGTCTTCCCTTGACTTGAGTGGAATAGGTTGAATTTGGTCATGTTGAGATTGCCGAGGCGCGGGGAATCAAAAAAGAATGTGATATGAGGTCAGATTGATCTGACAAATGGAAGAAAGGATATATGAATGTATTATTTTTTTGGAACCATACACCAAAAAATGGTGTTTGAGGAAGAGAAGTATAAAAGAAGTAAACGACCTTGTCAACAAGTCGATAGTATTGCAATATTTTTTTTTTTCTCTTCAATATGGGTAATGAAGCAATAAACTTGTTGAATATGATATGTTTGAACTACAGTTGTGTAGGCAAAGAGGAAGAGGAATTCTGTGTGACCAGGTCCGTGATGTCAAACAGCTGCTTGGAAATTTGAGACACTGAATCTGAATTCTCAGGGGTATTTTGGGTATATTGATGTTGTTATTTTTGTTGACAAGCAGAAGGGGTCTTGTTGTTGTTGTTGTTGTTGTTGTTGTTGCAAAGTGCAAGATGACGATGTCAAAAGGAAAGACTTTTCACAGATAAAAATGGTTTGGAGTAGATCAACAGATACAGAAGAGTGAAGACGAATGTATAAGAATGGAGAAGACAGGATAAAGAAGGCCCGATCGGAGAAAGGAAGAGCCAAGTAAAAAAGAGAAAAAAGTGAATGAGGGTCTAGCGGGGCTTCTCTTTTATAGTTTTTTTGAGAATGCATATAAGTCTTTTTTTGGGCAGGCGTTATCGGAGGGTAGGAATTCAAGGTTCTGCGATAATGGCTTGGAAAAAAATATAGCAAAATTGTTTAGTATACGTTTAAATAGGGGGTTAGATTGATTGCCTAGAGGCAAGTGAAGTTGAAATAGAAATGTAATAGTAACGGAACAGCTGTCAAAAAAGCAAAAAAAAAAAAAAAAAAAAAAAAAGAATCCAATTGTTCCGGATCTCGGAGGTAAAAAATGGCCTTCCTTCCCTCTTTTGCTTTTCTGATCAATTTCCTCCACATTTTGAGGGTTTGTGGCAAATATTAAGGATGCACTTGACAACCACCTTCTCTCACTCTTTATCCTTCGTTCACTTGTAACCTATATCATAAGCACGCTCGAAACAAGACTAGAATATTTCCAGTTTCCAAATTATTTCCAACATAAATCACGTCGTTTATCCTTCAATCTCTGATAATTATAAAACAAAATCTCTTTGCTTTATTTGTTTAATGATTTGTGTCATGATCATTTAAGTACCTCAAATTAAAAATGGTATTAAATGGGCAGGGTCTCCTCGGAAATTGAAATGTGTACAATGTAAGGAAGGGTTCAAAAACAGAAACAAACAAAAAAAAAAGAGTAACAGGTTTTGTTTTTCTGTTCGTTTACATTGCATACTCACTCCTGTACATGTATATGCCAAAAGTATTCGGAGACTAAAAACTAGACGATGTATTGCTCGGCTTCTTTCATCCGGAAATGTATATAAGAACATTAGTAGATATTAAATTACTCTTTGATATTTTAAAGTTCTATTCGGTACAACTCTATTGTATAGATCTTCGTCCACTTTGGTGTTGCGTCGACATTTTGCACGGAAAAATTTAAGATTCCTACATCACCCACATCTGTACGACGCTCAACTGAATTTATTGGCTAACGGTTGGTTCGTTTCTCCATTTCTTCCTGGGGTCACTGAAGTGTGCATGCACCGCTTCATCTAAGGTAGTAACAAAGCGCACTTGGCCTAGACATAGAAGAGATAAAAGTGAGAGGAGAAGCTTGGTTAGAGGAGGGTCTTCCAAAAATTTAAAGCAATATTACTATGACAAGTCTTGTTTGAGGTCTGAACTCGGATTAAGGTCAACATAAGAAAAAGCATAGAAAAAATAAAAAAATAAAATAAATAAAGGATCCAACCTCGATCTAAAACCTCATTCAGGAACACTGAAGTAAATCTGTATGGATCATTTCCGCATAAGGCTTTGCCAGGTTGCTTAAATGAACAAATGGCTTCTGCTGGCCTTTACTTATTTATTTCTTAAGAAAGAAAGAAAGAAAAGAAAGCGTTAAGCCATTACAGTATTTATTTCTCTAATGTCTATTTTTTGAGGATGCTGACGTTGATGACTTTTTCCTCTGTAGCAATCATCATCCTATGAAGGAGTGCATTTCATAGCTCTTATAATGTCGAAAAGATCGCGTCTAAACTGCTTTATTTTGATGAAGGCACCGAGTCATTCTATCTTAGCCTAGAGCAAAAAAAAAAAAAAAAAGGTAATGCTTTAGCTTTCACTATCTTGAAAGAACGCAGTAGCTGAATGACAAACATATGTGAATCTCCGAATTCATCCATGCTCCAACTATTACTTCCTGAAGTTTGGAAGTGCAGCTGCATTTTTATTCAAAAGATGTAAATATTACGTGGCAATTATGATAAGGACCCAATAAAGAGACCTGCCTGGCAATAATTACAAAAGAACCCTTGGTCTCGAATTCCATATACAGAAATCACTTCACTCGTTAATGAGTGCCCGATATGCTCAAATGCTCAAGAACTGGGATTGAAATGCGGGGTAAAATGACGCTAAGGAAGTTAGTTATGCAAATGACAAAAAAAAAAAAAGAAGAGAAAAGGAAAAGGGAAATGGAAAATGGAAAATGGAAAAAAGTGGAGAAGATCAACATGAAAGTTTACCCCGCATTTTTACTTTTTGATCAATTAAAGTATATATTTTATCCACTTTTGACAGCCCTCGAATATCCAAGCTAATGCAGACGGGCAAAAAAAAGTATTCTTCTAGCAAAAGATGTAATGCTCTTATCAATAGGAATGGATTTGAACTTTCGTCATATATGCATTACCCCGCAAAGAAAAAAAAGAAAAGAAAAGTTAACAAGCATGCTCCAATAAATATAGTTACGCTTCTCTATCTCTCCCTATCATTAAAAATTTGTTTAATTTAAAATTTCAACCGAGCATTAGTAAAAATACTCCCTTGCACCATGCCATGCAGATCAGACTTTTTTTTTCTTTTTTTTTTTTTTTTTTTTCCCTTTGAACAGACAAAATATAGAAAAAAAAAAAAAAAAAAAAAAAAGTTCACCGCCCCCGCATTTTCATTTCAAATCCATCGCCAGATACTGCAATCATCCTGTTCATACTTTTATTTCTATCTCTTCTTAGTTTTAGAGATCAAAAGCAGGCTCATTCCATGTGCTTTAGATGCTCTTTCCTCACTAGAGGCTTGCTTATCAATGTAAACCACTTCTAATGAATCATCGACAGCCTAAGAAGTTTCCGAGGCTCGGACTCGAAGTTTAGAATACGTTCTAATCTATGTATGGTGGTAGAGTGTAAGAGGGATCCAGCCTCGATCGCACACCACATTGCTCATAAAACAACGGCATCTCAAATAGTACACTGAATATTAGAGTAAAAAGGAGGCTTGAAAAAACTATGCACCATAGTCAACGTGTAGCTATCGTATCTAGAGATTTTAAATCTTCTTACTTCTGGCTTGCACAGCAAGTTTTTTTTTTCTTTTCTTTTCGGTGAATTGTATTTCCTCGAAGTTCTTAAGACTCGATTCAGTTGAAATTGCAATAGACCCTCGAGTCAGACATTCTATGATCATCCTAGACATACTCATGAACATATTCATAAATACACATTGATGTTAAAACATCTTTTTTCCCTATTGATCGTTATTTTTCCAAACTGCTGATCGTCTCCCTCCGACAGTGGAAATAGTATTACATAAAATAAAAAAATAAAAAATAAAAAATAAAAAATAAACTTGGGTAATGTTAGAATGTGGAATGACATAAAATACGAAGACTACCAGTAAAAAGAGTAAAAATTAATTTTCTGACCGCCGTGCAATGTCCTTGCATAATGAACCGAAACAATAAAAAACCCCCAACTCGCTTCTTCTCGATACTGGGGTATTTAATACTCTCTCTTTGAGGACTCCCCCCTATTCCTTTGTATTCCTATCGTCCCCATTTTCCATTCTGATAGTCGCCTTTTTTTCCTACGCTACGCGTTCTCAGAAATCATTGACTATAAACAATGCTAAAGATCTCAGTCTCGTCAACGTTTTTGAGATCGTCGCTCCGGAAGCTCATGCTGCCCTTGACCATACCAGTGCCTACAGGAGGCCTCTTCCAGCCTGCATCTATCAACACGGGAGCATCCTTCTCTACTTTACCAATACGTGGCTCATTAATTTCCAAATCAGTGATCAAGCAAAAATATATCCGATCCTCCTCTTCCTACTCTATTCTTTCGACAGCAAGAAGGGCCATTACACTCTTTTGTCTAACATGTTTCGCTTTAAGTATTCTTTCAGTCTCGGATGCTGCTCCAGCAAAACATACTATAGCGCCCAAGGAAGTTGTCAACGCCATGTCATTCTCGATGTCTGATCCTAATGCATTGCCTCTTCAACTTCGGATTGAGGCTCAGGTTGCAGGCAAACAAAAGCTGGCCTATTTACCCACTACAGGTCCTTCTCTAGATTTTTATTATCTCAATTATCGCCCATTGTACCTTGCTGGAGAATCCCAAATTGATTTCTGGATGTTGACCCCTCAAGGTTCTCAACCTCCTAAAACTGCTTCCTTGGAGCTCTATGATGAATTTGGCAAAATCCGTATAGCGACCTTGGTCCCTGAGGGCACTAAAGTGCCACAAGAGGAAGCTAGCAAGAACCAACCATTTCTTTGGAAATCTTGGAAAATCCCAAAGACTCTAAATGCCGATTTTGATTTTTCAGAAAAATTCAGGATTATCTTGAAGACTTCGGACTCGAAACCAGTTGAAGCTTCACAACAACAACAAGTGGACAATAGCGGTAACAACAACAACAACAACAACAACAGCATGAAGAAACGGTTTGATTCATTGCTCGAGTTTTTAGTCAAAGGAAAGACAAGACATATCCTTGATACCAGCGTTACTGCAAGTGGCAATGACAGATTCTCGTTGAAGGCCTCACCGCAAAATTCTGCCGTCCTATCCTCTAACCCTAAGGTCATGATCGTCCAGGATCGCCAGTTCCGCATCAAAGGCTTGCAAGCGTCTCCGGGTGGAAAGCCCAACCCCGCCAAGGTACATGTCAATAGAGTCGCATCTTCTGACCCTGCTCCTGCTTCTGCCCCTGACCCTGTACCTGCTTCTGCCGCTGGATCTTCTCTTACATCTGTGCCTAGTTCGGATACGAAGAATAACATCTCCAATTTCAGTAATATCAACACCATCAACCACAATAACGACAGCAATAACAACGCAAAACAATCCTCTGCAGCTAAAACGGGGTTATGCCTTGATCATGCCTGGACTGCAGCCGTTCTGGCAGTATTCTATATTGCTGCGTTCTTTGAATGGTAAATGCGTTATGTATTTATATATTTACCAAAGCTCATCAAGGGCCTATCTTTCCATACCGTTATCTGTACGTATCTACCCTATATCCTACTCTAGCTTTTTTATTTTTATTTTTTTTCCTTCTTTTCAGTCCATTAGAAATAGTGAAATGTTTGCAATGATATAAACCTTGTTCTACGTTGCCTCTATTTTAAACCAAATATTATATTTTATTACAAGTTAATAGAAACATGGATTGCATAAGAAGAAAAGAAAGAACAAGGGAGAGAAAAAAGAAAAAAGAAAAAAGAAACGAGAATAAAGGAAAGGGGAAAACAACAAAAAAAGGAAGAAAAAAATGAAAAAGAAAAGAATGGGTCCCTTGATGATTGAGATTATATTCTAGTAAAGTAACGAAAAATCATGAATGGGGGTTGCTTATATCTCTGGTTCTCTCCATTTCGCTCCAAAGTTTTATCCTCCAAGATTATAGTAATAAAAAATGGAGCTATTTATGTTTCCCCCTCAGTCCTTCCTTGTGCTCCTCTTTTTACGCCCTCCACCGCTGGCTTTGAACTCTTCTAGCAGCTTTTTCAAGACTTCCGGCCGTTGAAGCCACTCATTCAATTGCTGAGCACTCCATCGTGTCGCTGGATCTGCAGTCAAACACTTTAGCAGCAGCTCCCGTGACATCTCCCCGATTACTTCACGCTGCAACTGGAACCTGATTTGTTTATCAGTCCCGACAAAATATCGAATCTTCGTAAGGTCGTCTTCAATCACGCCGCTCCATGGCGATTGGCCGCTAAATACTCTCCAGATCAGGACTCCCATTGAATACACGTCTTCTAATTGAGGATCCACAGGTGGAAGAGGTCCATGGTCAAATTTAGACCGTGGTAGCGTCAGGATCGATCTAATGTGATTTTTTTTTTTTTTTTTTTTTTTTTAATAATAATAATAATAATAAAAAAAAAAAAAGGAAATAGAAAAGAAAACGCAGATCAGTTGACAAAGTCCACAATCTCATCAGAGGCTAAGCATCAAATACACACTAAAATGGAACACACCGTCCAAATTGACTACAAAATGTTCTTTACCTGTAGAGCTTATATCCATGATCAGGTGGAACAACAACTAAGGGAAGAAGATCCAGCTCCTCCTCAGGCACCGCTTCTTTCATGCTCCATTTTATAACCTCTTCTCGCTCAACAAAGACAGATTTTCCGAAATCAATAACACGGACTAGTGGGCGAGGTGTTTCATCTGCCAGTTTTGCTACTGGATCCTCATCAATCATAATATTAACTTCACTCAGGTCGCGATGGGCTAGACCGGCGCTGTGGATAGAAGCGAGTGCTGCAACCATATCTCGAATGACACATAGCTTTTGTTCTGCGCTCGGAGGGTTCCTTGCACTAGTAGCATATGTCTTCAGTGTATATGCATATCTAAAAAGTATATTCAGAAATGTATGCAACGGAATTAGTTATTGGTTTTGTAGATAGAGAAAATTGGCCAAAAATTTTCTCCATCGAGAAACACTCACTTTGTCATTGAGAGGCCAACAAGTTGCTCCCTCTCGTCGTCAATGATTGACTGAATCTGGCCAACTCCTTCCAAACCACGCAACTTCAATAAGCATGCCACCTCACGGACTCGTTGCTCAAATGACTCGGCGTCCATCTCCTTAAAGTTTTGAACGACAAGGCTGTCGTCGCCTTGAACATGGTATATTCTCTTAAACAAGCCGTGAGCAGAGTCCACTGTCAAGCTTGGCTCAATCGAGTTCCAGGAGACGTACGGTACATCTTTTTCTTGAGAGACCACTTTTAGATCCCGTAATAACTGCATCTCACGTGTTGAAAGGGCTCTTAGCGATATTTGTTCGCTCGACAGCTCTGATTCATGGAGATTTGTTTCAGGATTAAGCTCCAACCGTTTTGGTGCAAGTTTGTCCTTTGAAGGTAAAGACATGGTTTGTGTGGGCGCCTGAACTGAAGATAGTGGGACATTTACGTGACTCAGAGGCATTGAAGGTGATGTAGGAATAGGGGGAGGAGGAGATTTCTCAGATGATTCTTGATGTGTAGGATCCGTTTTAGCAGCGCTCCTATTAATTAAAAGTTAAATTGAGTCCATTTTAGTTTTTTTTTTTTTTTTTTGTTAGCGGTAGTGGTACATTCCTCACAATAGACTGCAACCCCACATACTCTTTATCCAGTGCCAAAGGTGCATGTCGAAATGAGCTTAAACTTATTTCTGGTAGTATGGTATCTATCGTCTTAGTGGGCGCTTTTGCTGCTTGAGCCGATTGTTGATCATATGAGGAAGAAGAGGAAGAAGAAGCAGGCGCGAGGACTGTTGGGCTCGATACAGCAGTAGATTGACTCAAGGATTCTGTATCAGCAATAGATTCTTCCAGCTTGTGCTCAACTACATTTGGTGGCGCAATTCCTAAGGCCGCAGAAAATGCACTCTCCTCCTCAGGAGTGAGTCGAGCGCTTCCGCTAAGAGCAAATATCTCATGGCGAAGTTTGCTTAGAGTGCCTCTTTCGAACTTGGCGGGGACATTCACGTCAATATCTACAATTTTGACGCATGCTATCATAATCCAGGCACTTGGGCAATCGAGATCTCCCACAGTAACCATCTCATGGCGATCCCCAATAGGCTTGGCAATGATTACACGCGCTTTGATCTGCACCACTCTCGAGCCTGGCTTTATTACGCCAATAGGGGTTGTCTGAGCATCGGCAATGAATGGCTTGCCTGCATGATAATCAACCAAGATCGCAATCTTCGCATAGGGCTCATCACGGCAATGATGCAATAAACTCCTGTTTTTAGTGATATATAGCCGTGTAAACTTTGGCATCTCTGGAGATAGTGGTGTAGAACTCAGCGCGATCTGCAAAAGAGGCAGATGAAAGGTTGCGTATAATTCAATGGAAAGATCAGTCATTTTACGATCCATCTCACGGACGTTATGCGTTCGAAAAAGATAGAGTGGCCTAAATGAGATCATGTAGTAATTTTGAACTCAATAATGGGTATTGGCGATGCTAGAAAGCAATAAAAACATCATAATCTATTCAAACATTCACAATGCCTGCAGTAATGAGCGTGTTATCACATACCCCGGCTTAGACAGGGAAGCCAATGAGGGCGTATACATCTCTTGGGGGACCTGAGGTGGCGGAATAATGATACTGGAATGTGAATTTGATTTAAAAAAAAGAAAAGGCACGTGTTCAATTAGCCATTTGATTATAGTTGCGAGTTGAGCAACTTTCAGATTTACCCTTGTTCTCCTTTCTTTAAAAAAAAAAAAAAAAAAAAAAAAAAAAAGCCTACTTGTCACGAATTGCTTGAAGCACGGTAACAAAGAGCTCCTGGAATGCCTGTGCCTCCTTGTAGACTGTGCTATGCGGAGGATTAAAAACGACTGCATTCTGATATATTTGCTTCAGGTCATCCTCAAAGTCTTTGTAACCTGAGTATCCTTCTTCCAATACATCGTCACCAACATAGCTCCTGGCAGCGCGTAGTGTGGATGGCATCTCGCCTTCGGACACAGCTGGGACTTTTAAGACAGTTCGCCAAAGTTTGCATTCAATCAGGCTCAGGTCCACAGGCTTTTTGATAACTGCGTGGTATTTTGTCATGACGAGGGGCACTTTGTTGATAAAATAGTGGCAAACAGGGTTGCTCAAAATTCGATTCAAGACTGTAGTGCCTAGGCGCAAAAACTCAAGACTTGTCAGGATGGGTTCCGTTGAACTGGGTATGGTTTCAGGTACAATTGAGGTTGATGTGCTTTCCTCTCTGCGTGGACTGAGACCCTTGGCTGCAATGTCAGTTGTTCCGAGATCAGTCGACCGTATCCCTTTACCAGACTCGGAGACCGTTATCATTGGATCTGGAGTAGAAACACTTGCTACACCCGGGTCAGAGTGCGTGCTAGCTTGTTTAGCCGCGTCTTCAATCATTGCGTTCGATGGAATATTGGGGTCATGCAGATAATTAGAGGCAGTGACTGTATTAACGCTGAGGGGCTCTGGATTAAGAGTATCTAGAGCGGTGGTTTCTGATGAAGTCTTAGTTGGCTCTACAGTTCCTGGGCCGGCACCAAGGGTACTAGTGCTATCGATAGCAACGATCGGCTCGGATGGACGTTCTACGTCCATAGGTGCCGGTCTTGACACTTTCATTGCATTCTCATCATCAACAGCAACTCTGCTGGCAGGGGAGTTCGGCTTTGGGAGTATTGCTCGTACCGACACTGGTATAGGTGATCCAGCTCGAGATCCATTCGTACCACGGGGTCGCTTAGCTGGTGGACCAGTAGGCGTGGATTTCTCTGCTGTATGTTTGAGATTAAGGCCGATAGACGTAGTATTGACGGATGATGATGAAATTGGAGTCTCTACTGGTGGATTTTGAGGAATTATAGGTGTCGCTCTTGGAATGGAGCTGGGAACAGGCAACGGCTTGGATGCTTGAGTAGTAAAAGGTCGAGATACAGAGCCACTCGGGTTTACTTTAGCTACACCCGGTGTCATCGACTCCGACTTTACTGGCTTGAACTTTTTGTTGAGACTTCCCTTTGGTTCTAGAGGCGCAGGATAACGATGCGGAGCAAATTATGGGGATGTATTAAAAACTCTATCAAAAATTTTAAATGGACAGAAAACGATCTCTGCACTTTACAAAAAGCAAGGTATACATATATATAGGAAGACAGAACTGACATACCGAGCATCATGTAACTTTTCAAGCCTTTTGAGTCTTCAGTAATCATATCTGTATGAGTCCGCTTGCTATTATCGACAGATCCGCCACGGCTCTGAAACATTAACTTTGTTTGAAATAATGGTTCACTTGCAATGGAACGTGAACGACCAATAGTAGGCGATGTTGCTGGTTTGCGTGAAGACCGTGATGGCGGAGGCACTGGCCGTAGGTTTCCTTTTGTTCGGAATGCATCAGGGAGATTGGGAAGATCTCTAGGGATTCGGATCTTGAGACCAGTCGAGTCTTTAGAAGAAGTTGTTTTGCCTGAACGCAAAAGCATTGTTAGTCAATGTGAAATTTTGTGGAGGAGGGTTGCGGTTACTTTGCTTTGAATATTAGATGAGAATTTAAATATAAATATTCTTATGCCTTTGCGAAACAAAGAATGATCGCTCTTGGCTCTGTACCTGATTCAGACGTGCTTGATTGACCACTTGTGGATGACAAGAATCGAATATTTGTGGGGACACCCGGAGATACGGGTAAACGGCTGACTCGTGGCATGACCATTGGAACTGCAGGAGTATTATCTGCGACCGGTCGTATGCCCGACCATGAGCTAGACTGCTGTCTAGGTGTGGTAGAATTTGAAGAATTTGATGCGCCAGATGAAGACGTGGGCGGCAATTTCGGATACAGTGGCATGGTTTGTTTTAAATTTGATCGCCTCCGTTCTGATCAGCGTCGTAGGTGATCGTGAAATCTCCTTGAATACACTGTTAATGCGAAACTAGGTGCACCGCAGTTGTACTTCTCTGGTTGAGCTGTCAGTTAAACCGCCGATTGGAAATACTTCCTAATGAAAGAGTATTGCGTGTGTGTGTGTGTATGTGTGTGTATTTTTTTACACACTCTGGACGCCACAGTTCGATGACAGATACAAGTTTTGTTTTTCTCAAGAGGCGAAATTCAGTTGCGTGCTTCTGGATGTTGCCAAGATAATGGTATGCCAATCCAGGGTCGACAGAAAGTGACGAAAGGAGACTCGAATCCGAGGGATTACGTTGCTTCGATGAAGAAGGGATAAAGAGGTGAGCTGACCGTACCGATGTATCTTTGATTGCGAGGAAATGAAGTAAGGGAACGATATTTCAAGGCACGTGGTGGCGGATAGATGATGGCAATGCCCAGTTAGAAGCAGATAGGCAAAGAATCGTTGCAAAGAGGTTGTTATTGTTGACGTTGTTGCCCTTTGCTGCTATTGTTATTACAATGTTGTGATATGGGTTGTTATTGATGGTACTCAAAGTTAGTTGATCTTTTTTTTTTTAGTGATTCGAAATAAAAAGTGATGTCAAACGTTGATTCCGACTAAGAATCAGTTGGACGTCTTTTCTGTCTTACTTTATTATTCGAAATCGCAATCGTCTCTGCCAGAAAGACAAAAGTGGGTCAACAGTGGGACTGAACAATACCTTTGTATGCCAGTTGAATAGCGAGGGCAGTAAAGAAAGAGTATAAAGGAGCAGGAGGGGCAGTGGAGGGTGGAGTTGAAAATGATACAGGTTTTGGGGGAAAGAATTTTAGATGTTATTTTATTTTTATTCAATATGTATGTCAGACTGCCAGACAAGCAGGGCATTCAAAAAAAAAAAAAAAAAAAAAAAAAAACCCAGTTGGATAAAAAAAAAAAGGTCTGTGTCTTCGACAGTCGTGTCTAGCTGAGACTAGATGGCCCCAGCTTCAGTCTGTTGCTGTTTCCAGGAAAAGAGCACAGGTGCTGATGTCGGCTATTAAGACTGATAAACAGGACAATACAGCGATCTTGAACAAGGGATAAGAGTTGGAAGCAAAGAAAAGCAGGACTGGCAACTGAGGTCAATGAAAACAGTGAACGTCCTGAATATTCCAGCTTTTTTTTAAAAAAAAGAAAGAGTACAAAGAATGTCAATGACACAGCCATGAAGGCACAGATTTTAACAGATTTTTTTTATTGTTATTCTTGGTGGCTGTAGTTCATAAAACATCTAATTAATAAAATAAATAAAGTCAACCAATGCCTCAAAGAATATGACTATCAGGAATGGTTTACAAGTAACTCTGCATTCCCTGGATACAGATAAAGGCATAATAACAAAACAAATAAAAAAAATATGGACCAGAACAAAATGACCTGATCGTGAAATGAGGCCAAGGTGTGGAATTACAATTTTTCTTTTCTTTTCTTTTCTTTTCTTTTTTTTTTTTAGTATGTTGATGCTCGTTGTCAAGATGAGTGATGATGAATAATTGATTCAAATGTCAATAGCGAACAATGATGCGCTGGAGCAGAAGGCGATGTAACAGTTAGGCATGTTGCATGCGATCAACTTTCTGGTGAGTTATGCTCAATCTTTTCCTGCTATATTTTTTCATGATCCATCCGATATAAAATATAATAAAATAAAGGGACGTGTCTTTTCCTCTTTAGCTGTGCCATGCCAAAACTAGTGTCCACTACTCTCCAACACTCTGTTTGGCATCAGAATAGAGAACAAACCCTACTATCCTTGACGCGAACTCTTCACAAGTCCATGCGGATCTAATTATTAAAATGATTTGATCCTTCTCAGGTCGAGAAAACTTTGTAACCTCCCTTCCTATGAGAGCAGCTGTTGCAATCCTGACAAATCTCTGCTACTGGATTGAAGCGCGTTACTACAAACTATTCAGAGTGTTTAGGGTTTTTTTTTTTTTTTTTTTTTTAGCATACCCGTACCCTCCTATTGTGAAATTAATAATAAAATGAAAATGCGTCATGAGGAGCCAGGTTTCACGCCACGTTCAGTAACACAGGACAAACTTTAGCTCATGCCAAAGTCATACTCCGTCATTGGATTCTACAATTCGTATTCAAAAAATTTACAACCGAAACAATGTGAGGCGTCGACACGTTGGACACCTTCTCCGTTTTATAAAATTTCCCTTATAGAAGCAATTATCTATTGTCAAATGAGGGCTACTAAATTGTATTCTAACATCCTTATCTGGTTGACAAGGATCAACAGAAATTCCAGATTTTCATCCTTTTCAAATCGGTACCCATGCGTAACAGCCTACTATGTCTTGAATGGAGGAGTATCATACAGTGCATTTTTTTATTATTATTGTTATTGTTGTTGCCAAATATGAATGTTAACCCGATGACCCAGTTCATCATATCAAGACCTTGAGAGGCCAAACATACAAGTTGATAAAGGGGATAAAAGAGAGGTACTCTTATCGAATTCATGCCTTTTCTCCTGCCTATTAGATTACTTGATTTTAATCGCGATCCACACATTTAAATGTTATAATTTACAGAGATTTCACTTGCAAATTTTGCACTGTGTGTAGTTTTTTTTTTTTTTTTTTTTTTTTTAGTGTGATACGCCACCACTCAGAATACTCTCACTGTAAGTAATTTCTAGGCTGGTACTCCAGCATACAGAATATTAAGTACGCCATGCCATCCCATCGCTGATACACCAGACACACATCATACTAATCAAGTTGATCAGTGAAAAAAAAAAAAAAAAAAAAAAATTCTAGACTTTAGTGCACTGGCAAAAAATCATTGGGAAACGCATCATAAAATAAGCTACTTCTTAGTGCTATCCTTTAGATAATCAGATGCAATAAGCGATACGACGTTTTTGGATGCGGAAGCCCGTTTTGTCACTGAACCTGGAACAAATAAAGAAATAATAAGAAATAAATTATTAGATCAATTTAAAATTAGTGAAGGATGAGCTTTTGGATCGCTTGTACCTTCTCCTTTGTCTTAATGCTCATGATATTTTATTATTAAAAATAATTTATTGCCTCCGTTCCGTCGTTACACAAAGATTTAACGCGATTTGACGCTTTTATTTTTTTGGGCGAGTTGGGATCAATATCGCCATGGATGGCAATCATTATGGATGAAGTACATTATCAGAATTAGTTTATTTTTGTATGCATCTAGCCATACCACAGAGGCCAAACTAGGACTCATTGCAGGCACATCGTTACCTTTTTTTTTTAATGTTTATTTCAAAAACAGGTATATAAAAGTAAGTGTTATATCTTCAGAAAACAAAACCCGTCGTTTTTTATCATAGGAATTACAGCTTTGCAAAACGATTTTTTTCTTTTTTCTTTTCGGTATCTTATCCACGCTTAGCAATCTTTTGTAACAGCTGTGTGTTGTGTTGAACAGAGCCATGAACATCATCCGTCTTCCTAGAGACGCCAACCATGCGCTCATTCTGCCGATTGACCTCCACATTCATGGCCATGGCGCTGTTCTTGAGGCGGTCCATGAAGCCACCCATCATATCCAAGTTTTGGTTAATCTCGGCTTCTGCAGCATCATCCTCTGCAGTGTTCTCAAACGAGTACATTGATTGCTCTCCAGTACCTCCACGCCCATTATTACTGTAGCTGTTCGAGTTACTGTTATATCCATTGCTAGCGTAAGGTCCCTGGCCACGTGCAGCATTAACTCTTTGCTTCGATTCATATTCCTCTTTACGGATCGCTTCACGCTGCGCCATCTCTTCTGCAGCCTTACGCTTAGCCTCTTCAAGCTCACGTTCCTTCTTCTTGGTCGAATTGAATGGGTTCTTGATATGAATAGCGAACATGGACCGGTTCACAGTCTTGAGCTCACCAGCTTTTTGTTGTGCATTGTCTGCATGGATTTGGGCAGAATCAAGGTTGCGTTCGATGCGACCCAGCTGTTCAGACTGTTCGGACAACTGATTCATAGTGCGTCCAGCACTCTCGTCAGCTTCTTGAAGCGCACGCAGTGCATTTCGGGTCGATTGGACGGACTCTTGACGCACATCACGGATTTGCTGTGCGACTTTGTCCACATCCTCAGCAGTTACTTGTTCAGGGGCTGGCCCATTCTGGTCACCATAGTATTGATTTTGGCCGTATTGGTTTTGACCATAATGGTTCTGGCCATACTGCCCGCCATATTGTTGTTGTTGGCCATACTGGCCTGGCTGGTTACCGCCGTAGCCCTGGTTTTGACCATACTGGCCACCACCATACTGGCCACCACCATACTGTTGCTGTTGACCGTACTGGCCAGGCCTCTGCCCAGCTCCGTACCCTCCATAAGAGCCAGGACTGCCGTTGCTATTACCACCATAGCTATTATTGTTACCGTAGCTGTTGCCGCCATAACCTCCTCCGTTGCTATTTGGGCCGTAACTGTTGTTATTATATGACATGATTAATATGAAATTATGAAGATGAGTTAAGAAAGATGATGGGATAGTAGGAAAAAAAAAAAAAAAAAAAAAAGAGAGATAAAGAAAGAGAGAGAGAGATAAAGATAGAGGGAGAGAGAGAATGATTGAAGAGAGCTGGAGTAGCAATGAGCTGGGTTGGTTGGTGAGATGAGCAGAAGCATGATGTTCCAGTCCACAAAAAGAAGGCTAAAAATAGGCACGTGACGTGCTTTTTTATGTTGTGGCGATGCCTCATTGTTTTGCAATTTCTGGGCTGAAGTCCGAGGGCAAAGTTGCAAAAGCATATAAATAGTGGTCAAGAGTCGAAGGCTGTTTACTTTACTAGTATGATTTATTATTTATTCATGCATGTCCCCTAAAATCCTTATAAACGTATAAACGACTGAAAATGACTTTGCTTTAGCCCATACCCATCGACTTCATCATCTTGGCCATTTGTGAAAAGTCGGGCATGCCGCCTGCACTCCCTGAACCTCCTGCGCCGCCCATACCAGGCATACCAGGGAAACCTCCTCCTCCCATCATGCTCTTCATCATGTTTTGTACACCAGACATGCCACCCATCTGGTTGATCATGCCTTGAATATCCATACCATTCATGCCAGGAATGTTGGGAATTGCACCACTCTGGAGTTGCTTCATCGCCTGTTGCATCCTGTTGTTGTTCAACATGGGATTTCCAGCGCCTCCCTGCTGCATGCCCTGCATGTTCTTTAGCAGGCCGTTCTGACCTCCCATCTTCTTGACCATTGCAGCGAATGTCTTGTACTGTTGAAGCAACGTCTCTACCTCAGCAACTGACGTGCCTGATCCACGAGCAACACGAACCAAGCGCTTTGGTTCATCTACAAACTCTTTACCCTCACCAGCCAGCTCTTTAGCACTCATGCTGTCCATGATACACATAAAGCGTTTAATACGATTACCGCCTTCTGCATCTGATCCAGCCAATAGCTCTGGAGGAATTCCCGGCATCATGCCCATCACCTTACTCAGAGGACCCATTTTCAGAATGGTTGTAAATTGTTCGTACATATCGCCAATGCTGAATTGTCCTTGCTCCAACTTCTTCATCAAATCTTTGTTTTGGTCCAGTTTCAAATCTTGAACAGTCTCCATCAATCCGCTGATGTCACCCATTCCCATCATTTTTGAAATAAAAGGCCCCGGTGCAAATCGTTCAAGGTCATGCATATGCTCTCCTGTTCCGATAAAAATGATTGGGCATTTGGTTGCGGCAACACTACATATCAAAAAGTCCATTAGAAAATCAAAAAGAAAAAAAATGTAAGAATCTCATCATTCTCAATATACCTTTATAGCTTAACTTTAAAAAAAACTTACGCTGAAATGGCTCCTCCTCCTTTGGCATGACCATCCATCTTTGTAACAATGATTGACCCGACATTGGCAGCTTCTTTGAAAGCTCGTGCTTGTCCATCAGCAGCTTGACCGATTGTACCATCCATGACAAATATAGTGCTATCGGGGGTCTAATGATCCATGAAGTTAAAAAGGTATGAGAGATCACTTCTGAATTGCTTCATGTTTTCTTGTCCTGAGAGATTGACAATAATATTGATTCATACCACTGCGGAGGAAATCTGCTGCATTTCGTTGAATAGCTCCTGCTCCTGCTTATGACGACCAGATGTATCAACAATGATAATCTCGAAGTTTTCCTTCTTGAACTTTGATACACCCTCATGTGCAAGCTGAACAGGATCGGTCTCTGTATAACTAGAGATACAAAAAAAGAGTAAACTAGAGATCAGCACGAGAACTTTTCACACGAAATCCAGGACGAGGGTTGCTGATTACTCACCTTCCGTAGTATGGAATTTTTGCTTTGGTGGCATTCTGCTTTAATTGATCAAAAGCACCAGCACGGAATGTATCTGTACAGACCAAGCAGGTCTTCCATCCTTTGCGTTGATAGAATGATGCCAACTATGAGATGATTAAGGTGACATCAGTTTACAGGATCTAGATTAATATGGGCGCAATTCTTTGTGTGCCAATCATTATAAAAGGATAATAGACGAACCTTAGTACAGGTTGTTGTCTTTCCACTTCCTTGAAGGCCGACAAACATGATCACGTTCGCTTTTCCCTTCTTTGGCTTCCATGCCTCTACACCTGGATCGACAAGTCGAGTGAGTTCATCCATGACAGCCTGGTAATAACCATATCAATAATAGTAATAATAATAATATAGAAGAAAAAAAAAAAAAAAAAAAAAAAAAAAAGAAAGGAGTAGAATATTTAGCCACATTTTTACATCGATGATAGTTGAGACCACCGCCAAGAACTAATAATATGAAGATAAATCAGCTAGCTCCTATACCTTCTGAATGGTTCTCTTCTTATTGACAGCACCAGTATTTTCATCAAGACTAACTGTAGCCTTGACATTCTTGCGAAGATTCATGACAAGTTTAATATTGATATCGGACTCCATCAACGCATTACTGATTTCTTTCAGCATGTCATCAACGACCTAAAGAAATACGTTTTTTGATGTCAGAAAAGCGAACCATACAAAGTCCTGTGTTGCCTCGGTAAATATAGAAACTAGGATGTATTCTAGTAAAGTCACCTTGTCGTCGACGACATTGGCCTTGGACATGTTCTGAATAGCCCCATTGATTTTACGCCCTAAATCTGCCAACACCATCTTGTGTATATATTCTTATGTATTAAGGAAGTAAAATATAAGAGGAATGATAGGAGAAGAGTGATGAGAAGTTATCTTATTGCTTATGGAGTTGTTTTGACGATAGCAGTTATAATGGTGATGATAAGCTATGGACAAGATCGCCTAAGGGGAAGTAAGTTAAATGGTAAAAGTGAATGAAGTAATGAACTGACACAAGTGTACAGATGAAGAGCAACAGGTAGTAGGCAGATCATTGGGTCGAACGTCTCGTGACTTCGATGACGTAACTCAGGCGGCCATTGTGCCATGTTCCTTTCGTCCCCGTTTTTCTCTTTTTTCCTTTTTGTTTTTCTCTTCTTTGTCTTCCCATCTCTTCATCAGCAACCTGAAAAAAAAGAACAGCATCATGGGAACTCGTGTATATCTTGGTCATCTCTCCAGAGATGCATCTGATCGTGATGTAGAGAGTCTGTTTAAGAATTACGGCAGACTCCGAGAAGTTACTCTCAAGAATGGATTCGGCTTTGTTGAGTTCAGTGATCCTCGAGATGCTAAGGATGCTGTCTACGACATTCATGGCAAGGATTTTATGGGTGAGCGGTATGTCTTTTTTTTTTTTCTTTTTTTTAATTATTGTTATTATTGTATTTTCGTTACTCTTCCACATTCTTGCTATCCTAGTTCGTTTCTTGATGAATTTAGTATAAATGTAAATCAGATTTAAATTTGGTACACTGATAAAAACAAAAAAAAAAACGATCACTTTTTAGACTTGTTGTCGAGCTTGCTCGCGGTGACAGACGGGATCGTCGTGATGATAGAGATGATCGCAGGTATGTTGTGCTTATCTGCTATGCTGTGACGGGTTTCCTTACTGTATTTGTCATGTATTTTGAGCAATTGTCTGCTGATTACAGATTTGAAATGATTGGCTCAACTTTTCTCTTTTCTATTTCTGCGCCATCACATTGATTTGAATTAGATTCCGCCCCCCAGAGAGAACCGAACATCGCTTGATTGTCGAAAATTTGGCCCATGGTGTCAGCTGGCAGGTACGAACTACTTTTATCCCTCAAGTTTGCGGGCCCATTCTCTTTATACCATCGGAGGCCATAGTAGGATCTGATTGCGAGCCTTGATCTTGCGGCCATGCCTCCGTACCTGTGATTCCTATTTCCCCTTTCAGCAAGCTCCTCTGCTGCCTTAAAAAAAAGAAAAAAATGCATACACATATTCGTCAGACATGGAGTAGACTTCCCCAATTTATTTAGACACCTTAACCAGATGTGGCTGCGGGACTTGATTATCAAATCATGGACTTTGTGGCCGACAGATTGGAACCATTGGACGTGCTCGCTAGCTTGCTAGCCCCGCCTCTCGGGACCAATTGCTTGACACTGGGTCCAAGAAGTGCGTGCATACCTGGATTTCTTTTTTTTTTTTTTCCCTTGGATGAAAACAATTCTCCTCAGCCAAGGTTCCAGATGGTTTATGCTTAAAAGGAAAAGAAAATAGAAAGAATGGAAGAAAAAAAAAATGCATTCACGTGCCAGAAAGGTCGACAAGTTGTTGCCGCCATCTGCCCTAATGCTATGTGCCTATGCGATCGATATGGAAAAAAAAAATGGAGAGCTGTTTGTTGGCCAGCCTGGGATTCTTCGTTTTACTATCCACAAGGACGGAGCGCATGCGATCAATGGTCCCAACTTTGTTCACGATTTATCTTTATCTTTCATGCCGCTCTGTGGACCCTAAACCCTCCCTCCTGTTTCGTTTCTCCTTCTCTCTATGAACTCTTTTTCCGTATTTGGTTTCTCAGGATATCAAAGATTTGATGCGTAGAGCCGGCGAAGTCACATTTGCTGATATTAGCAAGGATAATGACAGCCAAGGGTGAGTCTTTTTTTTTTTTTTATAATTTGAAAAGTTGATATCCATATGATTGCTGCTTTAGCCCAGGTATCTAACCTATTTGCTTCTATCTTCATAATTAAAACAGTGTTGTCGAGTTCTCTTCTGCAGAAGATGTTCAAAACGCCATCAAAACCTTGAATGGCGAGGACCTAAGAGGCAACCCTGTTTCTCTCCGTGAGGTAAGCTGAATTCCAATGTAGTTTACCTGCTGTCATTTGGACTATTTTTTTTTTTTTTTTTTTTTTTTAAACGTAATCTTCTATACATCACCCAAAATATGTTGCACGACCGTTAGTTCGATCCTTCACGCGACACTGCCCCTCGTGACATGGGCCGTGGTGGACGCGACAGAGATCGTGGCCGTGAGTTTGGTCGTGATCGAGACCGCCGCCGCTCCCGCTCTCGCAGTAGAGACCGTCACGACCGCTACCGCCGCAACTCCCGTTCTCGTAGTAGAGATCGTCGCGACAGAGATCGCCGTCGCTCTCGTTCACGTAGCCCTCGCCGCCGTGACAGTAGCAGAGACCGTCGCTCTGGCCGTAGTAGTCGTCGCTCGCGTAGCCCCGCTCCCCGTGACCGCAGCCCTGCCCCAAGAGATCGTAGCCCTGTCAGAGAGCGTACACCCTCCCGCGATCGCTCTGGTAGCCCTGCTCCTCGCAGGGAACGCTCTCGCAGTGGCAGCCGCGACTAGACATTCATAATTGACACCTTATTTTTGCCCTTTTTGTTCTCCTATTCTTCGTCCATTATATTCATCGATGCATGGCAGCGGAATGAAGTGAAATAGCGCCATCAAATTTAATATGTCTCAAACCACAATGAAATAAAATACTCAATATCGCAATTGAGACATGAAGACCTATTGCCAATCCCTCAATGCTCCGAACAGAGAAAATGCATAAAAAATGGTTTAAAAAGATGAAAAGAACTGTTTAATATTATTGGTATGCAGGAGGATTGCTTATGGTGTAGTTTCTAGATCTGCCTCAATGACGGTTATGACAGGATAGTGGTCGCTATACTCATTATAGGCTACTCCTTGGAGATGATATTGTGGAGATTGGATATTGAGCGATGTTTGGATTGCAGATCTGACAGCCAAATGCCTCTTGTCCGTAAAGACATAATCAAGATACTGTTGAGGATGATTTGGATCATTGTAACGTGCAATCTGATTGTTCTTTGGGTCATAGGTCCAAGCATGACCCTTGTAGGTTGTGGGTTGGTGCACATCCAACCGTGTCAACAAATCCTTGAACTCATTGGTGTCGCGATCAATGTTGAAGTCACCTGCCATGATCACTAACTCGTTTTTGGGGATATTGCGGGAATCGATGAAGCGACGCCAGGCATCCATGGCTTGGGCACGGTAACTTGCTGCTTCGCCCTGTCCACACTGACTGTCATCACTTTGTGTGTGTGTGCCAAAGACATGGATATTTGTCCCTTTGTAATCAAGGACAGCATACACAAACCCCTTATTTGATAATCTGAAAGTTTCAGAGAAAAAATAAAAATTGTTTATGTCAGAATACCAGACGGGATGAGCAAAATAAAGTATAACAGCAGAACTTCCTCTTTTGATCCTTACTTATCCCATCCACAGCCATGACTGAAAATGAATTGATGCTTCTGCTTGATGGGCCATTTGCTCATGATGGCCACACCACCGTTCTCAGGATAGACCCAAGAGTATTCGCCTGAAGTAGAATCCCACCCATTTTTGTTTCGTCCAAGAGTAGGGGTTTGATATGGGTCTGGGAAGAACGGTTTAAAAAAAAAAAAAAAAAAAAAAAAAGTTTAGTCTTATAAAAAGAGATACACAGAAATATTTCCAGTTTGCGTAAAAAAGAACACACTTACATTGAGAATTAAGGCCACTACGAAGGACGTCGCAAGCATTGTTGGCGAAACATTCTTGAATTACAACAACATCGTGATTCTTGACATAGTCCGCTTTTGCAATCAAATCTGCCCTAATTTCTAAAAAAAAAAAAAAAAAAAAAAATGAATGTCAGCTGGCGATAAGGTCGCATAAGGTGACCAAAACGATCATTGTCCCCACTTACTCTGTCCCCAATTAGGGTACAATGTTTCGCTCAAGAAGTAAACATTGTCGCTTAATACACTGATTGTCGCATTCTTGGCAGCTACAACAGCGGAAGGCAACATGACTGCGGCTGCGGCTGCTAGAGAGAAGAGAGTAGTTGTGATTTTCATGGTGTCTAATGGGCTTGTTTGTTAAAAAAAAAAAAAGCGGAGGAAGGAAGGATAAGGTAAGAGAGTTGAGACTCGTGAAGAAAAGATAGAAGAGTTGTTAAGGATAGCCCACCTTGGTTTTTATAGTATTATGACCCATTAGCGGATAGCATAATACCATCTGAAGATTAGTTTTTTCAATCAAAGTTACCTAAAAGATTTTCCGCATCCTACACAGAGCCGGCCATCTAAATCTATACATGCATTAAAGCAAGAATCAGCCGTACAAACGGTTCAGTGTGCTTTGCTAGCATGCAAACAAACCCACAAATGCTCCGATCTGCCTTCCCTGGTCTAGACACACTTTTTGTTTAATGGACGCGTTGTATGCTTGCCAACGAAGGAGCTTTCTCAATTCCATGACTAATCTTACAACCGCATTGGCATTGTCCAGCCTATCATCAACAAAACGCATAAAATGTTTGGTTTTATTGGAGGAGAGAACCAATGCACACCAACCCACATCATTTGCAGAGTACAAACATCTTGAATTCAGGGCACAAATTCTGAACTTTGTATTTCGGACAACAAATTCTTTTAAGCGTACGGTTGCACCATGACGTGGGAATGCAGGCCAAGTTGATTGGCCTCGGAGTATCCATGCATAATGACCGCGTGAGCCAGGGATTGGATTACAAAGAGGGAGAGCTGCCATCGGTTTCCCACGTCCCCATAGTACCCAGATCCACCATATTTATATATATATATGTATATATATATATATTATACATATGTATATACTCTTCTTATTGTAAAGAAAAATATTTTTTCAAATAAATAAATAAAAACTTAATGTTGAGTTCACTCAGAGGGGCCATGGTTTGTTGTACAGTTCCTGCCTTTGTGATCAGGATTAGAGTCAGGGGTTTGTGAAGATTTTATTAGTAAGAAAACGGCCCGGATATGTTAGCATCACTTGATTTTGCGCTAATGTAATGGAGTAAAGTGTGTGACAGGCCTTTGCAACTTGATTGGATATGAGCTCTGACAAACTCGCTAGCGGTTGTTCCTGATTCCAACGCTTGGACCGTTCATTGGCTCAGAATTCTGGCACGCGCCTAGCGCCCATGATATCTCAGGGCCAAAATATCTGAGATTTTACCTATGATATCTGGATATTGACAGAATGTATCAGTGGATGACATTGCAGAAACCATAAGCATAGCCCTACACACCTTTATACCATGCAATAGCTTGCTTTCTTCAGTTGAGTACTGAGATACACGCCATGTTGCTTCGTAGTCTATGCCCAATGCATATAAATAGCTTGTTCTGGTATTAGCGCTCAACGAAAGAATAATTTATCTGAGAAGTCTCGTCTCATGTTGCGGAGAGATAGGATGGCTGTACCTCAGCCGCTTCTGTTGAACTAGAATATAATGCGATATAATATACCGAAGGTAACGCTTTGTTAACAGCTACTACTGGCCCGACCGGGTATACTTCTATTCAAAACAGGATATTGAATCACTTGCACATGTTTGATGAGCACGTATAAAAAAGTATTGACTTATTCAATAAGTACAAAGCACAGTACATGTATACGATCTCCTTTCTTATTCCTAGCATAGAGAAAATCTATGGCTTGAGTCATAGTTGGCACGAGTTATTCTAAGCACTCAAAGCCATCCAGCCAGGGCAAGTGTGCTTTGCTGCTCATTGATTGGCAGGAAGGAAGGGACTTTGCGGCGGCCTTGTGAGGCAAATGGCGGTGCCAAAGACAAATATAGCCAACTGACAATGAAGCATAGCCTATCAACATCAGCTCATGTGACTGATGCCTAATAAAACTCTGCCTTTCCTTCGTTCTTTGCGACATTTTACTGCAGTCTATAGGTTTCGTTTCTCAGCAATTATGATGTGGAGCGTTAAAAAGAAAGGCCTGGAACCAACTCTAGACTGATTTAGTAAATTGCCACTAATTTAGGCTTCAAGTCCAAGATATTCACATATTCCTAAGGTCAAGGCTTATACTCTTCTCAGTCCTTGTATATTTTCGTTGTATTAGAGAAGCTTCAGCTTCCTATGATGGGCTATGTCTGGGCCTCTTCGCGACTCTAGTGATTAGAAGTACACAATGGATGGCAAGGTAAAAAGTATGAGGAAATAAAAATAAAAAAGAGAACAGGCACATGGATTGGCCCTCCTAAAAATAAAAATGCAAATTCATACCATAGACAATGAGGTGGCTGCGTTTAGATCAATGGAACATGGCCTATCTGCGAGATACATGATCGGGAGGAAGAGTAGGCCGTTGGAGGGAAAGCATGAAAGAACAAAAGCACTTTGAACATCAGTCTCATTGGCTATAGCTGCGAGCTGCGCGTACTTACTCATCTAGAACCCCTGAGAGTAACTATCAGGTACGTAAAGCTGGCTGCGCGGTCATGTCAATCTAGACGTTACAAAGAAGACAAAATCCATATAAAAGGGACGGGTTCCTCAGAGCAATTCTCAATCATCAACCAACACTCACAGCTCTTGCACTCTACTTGCTTTACCTACTTCTTTAACCTCCTTTTCTAGCCTACTTCTTCAACTCAACCTTCTCAGGTAAGCCTTATCTCCTGTTCCTGAGTACTGCGCTAGCAGGTTGCTCTATTGTCTTTGCTTTGCTTTGTTTTTTTTTTTTTTTTTTTTTTTTTTTTTTTTTTTTTTTTTTTGGCAGGCTGCCTCCCCTGTTAACGCTTCGTTATATCTGCGACTAATGAATAGGATGTATCAACCACTCGCTTTCTTGGCTACAGCCCTCGCAATCGTTAACGTGGCCATGGCTGCGCTTCTCCCTGATGGATACTACCGCATCTCCATCGATAACCGCTATATCACCACTAAAACAGGAGGCACCGGGTACTGGCCTGCCACTTACCAGGAGTCTCTGTCAGCTCCTGGCTATTATCAGGAATGGTATCTCCGTAACCATGCTGGTGACAAGGTCACTCTTTCTCCTCGCGGATACCACCAGCGATACCTCTCATTGAGCCGATCTGGTGCCAAGGAGTATGCTTACTTGGCTGTTAGTGGCACTAGCCAGAAGTGGACGCTCGAAAAGGCTGATGACGGCAAGTACAAGATCGTGTACCCAGTGAAGGTCCATGACAAGTGGCTCAATGTCGATGTCACTCCTGACACTGTATATCCCAAGCGCATTGCTCTCCTCTCCGATGGCAATCCCAGAGGCAAGCAGCCTTGGAACTTCACTCCTGTCCACTAGAGGCGAGCCTCTGACATCCTTTTGAAACTAAATGAAACCCTCAAAGGCCTTGTCCTAGATATTGAGGATAGTCTCGCTGCTGTTATAGTATTAAGTGTTTGAAAAAAAATAGAAATGAAAGTATGAACATAAAGGCAATAAAGCGATCAGATAGACCCTTTGTGCATTATACAGGATTCCCATGGAGTAAATAGTAAATATGCGACAATACAAAAAGGTCGTCTTACAAAGCGGAATCTGAGCAAGACTTGAAAACAATAAGCTCCTTTATCTGTAACTTTCATTTGCATTGGTACATATGACTTGAGGTAACTAGGAACACATGGACGCCAAGATGTAAAGTAAGCAATTTTACCGAGCACTGCTGACCTGCTTTGATCTATGGGCCCACAACTGGTTTTAATAGCCTTCCCAGCCAACTCGACTCCTGAGCAGGATAAAGGTAGCTTTCTGGCTCCTTTTCATCTGGGAAACTCGAGTACAAAAAGAAAGGGGTTCTTTCCGAAGAAGAAGGGAGTCCTCTCCTTTTTGCTTGCAGATGTAATCCTAGGTTACCATTACTGCTACAGCCAAAGTCAGGGTGTCATTGGAGGCTTAGTGAGAATGTCCATAGTCCTCTCCTTTAAAGCCATGGGGATTGTCCTTCACTCCTGCAGGCATGAATGAGTACATTTTTCATGATACATCGATGATTGAGTATACCTGCAAAACCTGTCTGTGATTGTCTGTGCAGGTTCTCCTGAATTCAGGCGGTGCATGTAAAATGAAGTCAAACTCAGCTCATGTCTAAGCTACTATGGTGATGGCACTCTTGTTCCTGTCTTGGTCAATGTCATGGCGGCACTCCTTCTTTTACCTTGATTTCTAGCAAAAGATGGTGGTTTTTAAATTTTATTTTTATTTTTGAAAATGAGCTAGCCATTTTAAAGTAATGTTTCTGTTATAAACACAAGTAGAAATGTGCTACCTTGGGAGAAAATAGAGGTGACATCACTAGGAGAGTCTAAGGATATTTTCCTTTTTTTTTTTATCTGTAGTCTGACACTCAACGAGCACCTCATATTAACAATATTATAAAAAAAATAAATAAAAAAAAAACTCTCAATATTTTCTACTATGACCATTGCCACGTTTAGTAACTTCTGGCAATTTATAGAACGCCGTACAGATCTCGCTTTATATACTTGACACTGTTGCCTAAATGGTATGACGACTTGTGAAGCTGATCGCATCCAACTATGACAAGCAAGTCAATAAATAAGATAGTGGCCTCTCAGTAATAGGAAGAAAAAAAAAGCTAGAAATAGTAACTGGTCTCGACAACCAACGAGTTCTGTAAGAAAAGAGAAACCTATTGAGGCACAGATATTTAAGGTGAGGCGGCGTAGTCTAAAAATAAGCCAATTCTCGGTAACAATGAGGTCTTTGCGTTCAGATCAGTTGGATATTTGGACCAGAAAAAAAAAGTAGATGTCAATAAGAGACGCCATGTCAACAATGCAAATTAATTGGCCAGATTTGTCGATCTTGCGTGACCTCAGCATTTTCCCGTACAAACGCCGCGTTAAATTTAGAGAAAGGAGGGCCCATTCATCACTCGTGATTTCTTTTTGCATGCCGTGTGTTTTGTGTAACATACCACGCGCTATTGCAGCTCTACGCCAAGGGTTCCTCGTACAGTATTACACATGAGGAAAAAAAAACATATATAAAAGCAAAGCTTACCCCTGTCCAACAACATATCTCTATCCCTCATACACATCCGCCCCACTACTTCAAGTCGACCTACCTCAAGGTGAGAATAAGTTTTTAGACCCTATTTCGTATACCATTACTTTTGTCATAAAAGCGTCCATTCAATCTAGTCCTCTGTACTCACAAAGCCTATATCTAATGAATAGTATGCACCAAGTCACCGTCTTATTGATTGCGATCCTTGCGATCATTAGTGTGGCCATTGCGGAGCCTTTGCTCCCTGACGGCTACTATCGTATTTGCAAAGGAAAGCACCGCTTGCCCAGAACATACCGCTACTTCACTGCTTACCCAAATGCTAATGTTGGCTCCGTGAGACTTGAGCCCAGAGATGAAGCTAAACTTCAAGTGTGGCGACTTCGCAACCATGGCAAAGGCAGGGTGTCCCTTGAAGTCTATGACAAGAACGCAGATAAGAGAAAATTCCTCTCGGAAGGAAGACCTGGCATCCTTCCAGGAGCGCATCTGGGTGTTATTGAAAAGCGACGAAAGTGGTTCTTTACCTCGGTTGGGGAAAACATTTGGACCAGATACATCCTCACTCACCCAATAAAGTACTACAACCAGACACTTGTTGCCAGCGAGGGCAACTCCCGTGACGAGGATATTAATAAGCCAAACTGGGTTACTTTTAGGGGTGAAGACCAAGAAGACTACACCAGGGAGTGGAGGTTTCTGAAAGCCGTCATCGACGATGACGAAGATGACAAGCACAACGATGACGAAGTTGACAAGCACAACGATGACGAAGATGACGAGTAAATAGTCGAAAGTTCAGACCAAGTCCTCAGTTCAGCTTCAGTTCAGCTTCGAAGGCAATTCTTCCATAACGCAGATATTTGTAACCTCTGAATTCTATTAAGTAAATAAAATATAAAAAAAAAAAAAAAAAAAAAAAAAAAAAAACTTGCCCTTGTTGTGATGACCTCGCGTGCCTGTTCCTTTAAACACAAAGGTTATACAGTAAATGGAGGATACCACACCAGTATAGAGACGGTGGTGCAGGCCAAAATGATTGATTCACTTAGTGGCGCCTGTGAGACTATTCGACTTGGTAATGTCAATAGGGGGAGGTGCTCCTTTTTTTTTTTAGATATTCCTGCATACTTCTTTCATCTTAGACTTTTCCTCAGCGCTATACTGCATATTGATCTTCTTCGTTGCATTGATTGTTTTTGAGCCAGTAGTCTTTGGCTGAACCGCTTACTACCGTAAATATAACAATGTTTCTCAGCCTGCCCCCCTAATGGACCTTGGTAATGTTCCATTTGGCTAGAATCTTTGAACTTGAATGGATGACATTGACAATGTCGTCATAGTGTGAATAGATGCCTCATGTGTGGCTAGAGAAAGAGCATGCTTGTTTGTAGCTCCATGTTGCACCGAAATCTACCTGTTGGCAACATACAATTTAACCACATCCTAAATACACATGTTGCTAGTACTATGGGGCATTTGCCTGATACCCTCTACCTCGGTCGTTTTGTTTAAAAATAGATCCCATGGCCTTGAGGGGCCTTGTAGTGAAAAAAAAAAAAAAAAAAAAAAAAAAAAGACTGTTAGCCTTATGTCCACCTCAGACATCGCTTGTTGCACTCCTGCACAATGCACTATAGTTGAATAGAAGAATACTTGGGACCTATAGCCGGGAATCAGTCTCTCCCCGAAACATCTATAAAAGCTTTTTAATGTATCGATCTATGAATGTGGTAACAATCAAGCAATGATCATAATCGAAATCGAAATCCAACAATCGTTCTTCATTGAGTGAGATAATATTCTCCCCACTGAGCGAATAAGGCGCTTCAATGTCTTCGCAAAGTGCTCTTCTAGTCTGCTTGTATGCGGTCCTGTCCATGGCTCTGTATCAACCGCACTTACTGGCTCATTATCACCTCCACCAGCCATCTGTTGGCTATGTGGTGGGCATGTGTTGGGTACATATAAATTTGTAGTCAAATCGTGGTCCGCACAGAGCTGGTTTGCGCCCCGCGTTTTACACCTGTAAGCTTATATATAACCAGGGATGTAACTAAATAATGCCCCCTACCAATCTTGACTGTTATTAAGGATATTGATTCCAAAGCATTTCAGAGGTTCTGCGATCTTTGCATGAAAAAAAGAAATTGCTAAATTATATTAGCCAATGATTGGCCAAAGCTAAAAGCCATAAAAGGACGTATTGTGGAGATTGTTAATAGACACTTCGAGCAAGTGTTTATTTAACCCAAAAATCCATCATTTTTGTATAATGTGTACCACGAGAAATAAAGAAAATAAACAAAGACTTCTCTACCCTGCAAATCTGATCTGCATCTACTCGAGCCAAAAGGATGGTATGGGTGGGACATACGTCAATGGCACCTCTGACAAAGTGAATAGGTCGTCCTTCGTAGACCATTCAGTGGGCCATTTTTTAGGGCAGCTAGTCCATGTGTTACCATCTCCTTGAAAAGCTGTCAAAAATGTTGGAAGAAGATCGGTGGCCGCGTTCACAGCTGCCAGTATCCACACTACTAGAGACCAGAGCACTGATGCCACTTTTGGTTAGTCTGTTACCAATTACAAAAGGTTTATTAAGTAGTAAGCTTATAATTGACAAAGACCTCTCTAAAAGAGAGATCGGTATGAGCCTCTACTTGAGATGTATAGAAAAAAATAAGCGGCCTTGTCAGTAACATCATATTTTATTTTTGCTAGTTTTTGCTAGTTTTTGCTTATGCTCAAGCAAGGTATCGACAGAGGACACTCAAAAAATTTTATTTGTACAGATGCTTTTGCAAGACATACAACGGAGAGCGCTACATTTTATTCTCCATGGATTTTATGAGGACCTTGCCAGGTCGGGACTCAAGTTGTCCTTCATTTTTCATAGCAGCCACTTCACCTTCTTGGCAGCCGCAGTTTTTTACGGTCGAACTTAGTATAAGATTTGGGCAGGAAAACTTATCATAGGGTATAATTAATGGCTTGTGGCAGCCAAGCGCTCATAGTGGTATTGCTTTTTGGTCCTTCAATGTCGACTCTTACTCCTTCATTGAATTCTAGCACGCCAGCACGTTGGAAGTTCACAAGTCATAAATATAATCACCCTTCGGGACGCCACCCAATAAGATTAGTTTGCAAAATTCGTAATTTAAAAAAAATTGTTTTCATTGCAAATTACAGTAACAATTCATTATCTCCCTTTTGCCAAACAATAGCCTGTGGCCGTCACTATGTTTGGCTACTATCTGTAAAGATCAAAGCCATCTGGAGTAAACAGTTTCCTGCCAGCCTTTCTCTCTACACGAAAAATATTGAGAGCAATATCCCAAGTTGTTTTCTCTGCAATTGACTTGATCTTCTCATAACACTCGTAGCAAATATTTAAATTTCCAGAATGAGGCATCTGTTTCTTCCATTCCTTCAATTCCTCCTCATTCAGAAAAAAGCCTTCAACCCAAGGAGTGTCGCAACCAGCGCATATGATCATCATCCTGGGCCTAGAGAGAGAGAAGTTTGTTAGGAGAACATTGGAAAATATTTATTTGAGTGTACAAGGGGAGTGAATTGTAATTTCATACCACTTGAGGTTTCTGAAAAATTTGATAAGGATCTAAAGGAAGTACATAAAGGTTGAGTTTATATTACCAAATGTGATTGCATTCCCTTGCTTTGCCTGCTTTACACATTTCTGATTACCTGTCATTATGCCTGTTCCTTTATTTAATTCTCTGACTCAATTCTCTGTCGATTTAGGAACAGGTCTAATATTTACTTTGATATGTTCATGTTTTCTTTATTTCTTACTTCGCCATGTTTGTGGACTATGTATTTTCTACTCTGCCATATATTGGCTCTTCCTGTTTTTTGCTTCGCCATGTTTATCTTCTCTTTGTGCTTTACCTAATGCATAACATTGGGAGCCGAAACCAAGTCTTACCGAAACCTTTTTCTAGCGAGTGGTAGGGAGTTGTCTTCGGCAAAGGAGTTATCTTCAACAGGAAGGGTCATCTTCACGTTTGTGTATTCTGAAGGTCAATGGTAAATGGTAATGGTGTAAGATTAAGAACTTATAATGTATAATACAATAAGTCAATAAAAAATCGAACAAAAAGTAGCGCGCCTTTGTCTTTGCACGGGTCTTTCGTTTTCATCTTCACCACCTTCAAAAGCGATACTTCGTGTGCGTATAGGCCTAGTACCATTTCGCGCTGAACCACTAGCAATGCTATTAAAGCAGTGAAAAGGGGAAAACTAAGGTTTTAATGTCTATTGATGAGAGAGCGGCAAAATCGAACCGTTGAAAATAAAACTCCCCTTTATTGCTTGGATATGCTCTTCAACTATACCCTAGGCAATGTTGTAAAATTTAGGGGCAGATGCGGTAGGAGATTTAGGTCGTTTTGGTGGATTGTGAAGCCGGTCACTTCCAGCTGCAGATAGATAAAATAATTCTAACACAATAAAAAGAACACACACACTACTCAAAGACTGAACGAGAACAGTCAGTACTCAAATGGCTCTTGTGTAAAAATAAGGAACAAGGAGCCAGATTTTCCTGAGCTGTTGCTCGTTAAATAGTTGGTGGCGAACTCTCTACACGTGACTAAAACTAAAACCAACTGCAACTGCAAACACTGCATTTATACGCTGTAGGAGGCTGGTTGGCGGTGCTTGCCCTCCGGGTAAGTAATAATGATGGGAGGCTAAAAAAGAATCAAAAACCAATGAAAAGCGCTTGAATATAAAATGAGGAACCTTTGTCTTTGAATTGACCCAACATCCTGTACATGGTTGCTGGTAGCGCTATTATAGTTATAGAAGATGTACATATAAGCTTAAGCTCAGCATGCGCCAACCACTGTGTCAAAAAAAAAAGTTCTCTACGACTGTTAAATTACTCTTCCTTATTTGGGCATGAGCTATGCACATGATTTGGACGACTGCATCCACTACAGACGTGGAGTGGAAGAAATTCGCTTGGTCTTTTTCGGCTTGATTTTCTAAAAAAAAAAAAAAAAAAAAAAAAAAAAACAATCGTAATTCTGTTAAATAGCTAGGGTGATTGATGTGTATCGCCTCAGTATGGTAAGTTCCCTATCCCTTTTTTGTAAGGGGGATTGTAGCCCTTCGTAGACTGATGGCGGGGTTCGAAGAGCGAACAGTCGTTCATGTGGAAGTGTGCGGGACGGTTGCTGGGGACCAACTTGTTGGAGTGAGTACCGTTAGGTCAAGGGACATTGCTGGTGTTAGTGCTCAAGGATAGACTAATTAATGTTAAGGAGGGAGACCTCATAGCTCGGATAAAATATAGCATAATATACCGAAGGTAGCGCTTTGTTAACAGCTATTACTGGCCCAACCGGGTATAGTTCTATTCAAAACAGGATATTGAATCACTCGCACATGCTTGATGAGCACGTATAAAAGAGTGTTGACTTGTTCAATAAGTACAGAGTATAGTACATGTATACAATCTCCTTTCTTATTCCTAGGATAGAGGAAATCTATGGCTTAAGCCATAGTTGGCACGAGTTATTTTAAGTACTTAAAGCCATCCAGCCAGGACAAATATTGGTTGGCAGGAAGGAAGGGACTTTGCGGCGGCCTTGTGAGGCAAATGGCGGTGCCAAAGACAAATACAGCCAACTGACAATGAAGCATAGCCTATCAACATCAGCTCATGTGACTGATGCCTAATAAAACTCTGCCTTTCCTTTGTTCTTTGCGACATTTTACTGCAGTCTATAGGTTTCGTTTCCCAGCAATTATGATGTGGGGTGTTAAAAAAGAAAGGTCTGGAACCAACTCTAGACTGATTTAGTAAATTGCCACTAATTTAGGCTTCAAGTCCAAGATATTCACATATTCCTGAGGTCAAGGCTTATACTCTTCTCAGTCCTTGTATATTTTCGTTGTATTAGAGAAGCCTCACCTTTCTATGATGGGCTATGTCTGGGCCTCTTCGCGACTCTAGTGATTAGAAGCACACGATGGATGACAAGGTAAAAAGTATGAAGAAATAAAAATAAAAAAGAGAACAGGCACATGGATTGGCCCTCCTAAAAATAAAAGTGCGAATTCACACTTTAGACAATGAAGTCGCTGCGTTTAGATCAATGAAACATGGCCTATCTGCGAGATACATCATCGGGAGGAAGAGTAGACCGTTGGAAGGAAAGCATGAAAGAACAAAGGCACTTTAAACATCAGTCTCATTGGCTATAGTTGCGAGCTGCGCGTACTTACTTATCTAGAACCCCTGGGAGTAACTATCAGGTACGTAAAGCTGGCTGCGCGGCCATGTCAATCTAGACGTTACAAAGAAGACAAAATCCATATAAAAAGGACGGGTTCCTCAGAGCAATCCTCAATCATCAACCAACGCTCACAGCTCTTGCACTCTACCTGTCTTACCTACTTCTTTAGCCTCCTTCTCTAGCCTACTTCTTCAACTCAACCTTTTCAGGTAAGCCTTCTTACCTGATCCTGAGCACCGCTCTGACAGGGGTTTGTCGTTATATTTTCTTTTAACGGACTATATCTCATGCTAACGCTTTGCTATGTCTGCGACTATTGAATAGGATGTATCAACCACTCGCTTTCTTGGCTACAGCCCTCGCAATCGTTAACGTGGCCGTGGCTGCGCTTCTCCCTGATGGATACTACCGCATCTCCATCGATAACCGCTATATCACCACTAAAACAGGAGGCACCGGGTACTGGCCTGCCACTTACCAGGAGTCTCTGTCAGCTCCTGGCTATTATCAGGAATGGTATCTCCGTAACCATGCTGGTGACAAGGTCACTCTTTCTCCTCGCGGATACCACCAGCGATACCTCTCATTGAGCCGATCTGGTGCCAAGGAGTATGCTTACTTGGCTGTTAGTGGCACTAGCCAGAAGTGGACGCTCGAAAAGGCTGATGACGGCAAGTACAAGATCGTGTACCCAGTGAAGGTCCATGGCAAGTGGCTCAATGTCGATGTCACTCCTGACACTGTATATCCCAAGCGCATTGCTCTCCTCTCCGATGGCAATCCCAGAGGCAAGCAGCCTTGGAACTTCACTCCTGTCCACTAGAGGCGAGCCTCTGACATCCTTTTGAAACTAAATGAAACCCTCAAAGGCCTTGTCCTAGATATTGAGGATAGTCTCGCTGCTGTTATAGTATTAAGTGTTTGAAAAAAAATAGAAATGAAAGTATGAACATAAAGGCAATAAAGCGATCAGATAGACCCTTTGTGCATTATACAGGATTCCCATGGAGTAAATAGTAAATATGCGACAATACAAAAAGGTCGTCTTACAAAGCGGAATCTGAGCAAGACTTGAAAACAATAAGCTCCTTTATCTGTAACTTTCATTTGCATTGGTACATATGACTTGAGGTAACTAGGAACACATGGACGCCAAGATGTAAAGTAAGCAATTTTACCGAGCACTGCTGACCTGCTTTGATCTATGGGCCCACAACTGGTTTTAATAGCCTTCCCAGCCAACTCGACTCCTGAGCAGGATAAAGGTAGCTTTCTGGCTCCTTTTCATCTGGGAAACTCGAGTACAAAAAGAAAGGGGTTCTTTCCGAAGAAGAAGGGAGTCCTCTCCTTTTTGCTTGCAGATGTAATCCTAGGTTACCATTACTGCTACAGCCAAAGTCAGGGTGTCATTGGAGGCTTAGTGAGAATGTCCATAGTCCTCTCCTTTAAAGCCATGGGGATTGTCCTTCACTCCTGCAGGCATGAATGAGTACATTTTTCATGATACATCGATGATTGAGTATACCTGCAAAACCTGTCTGTGATTGTCTGTGCAGGTTCTCCTGAATTCAGGCGGTGCATGTAAAATGAAGTCACAACTCAGCTCATGTCTAAGCTACTATGGTGATGGCACTCTTGTTCCTGTCTTGGTCAATGTCATGGCGGCACTCCTTCTTTTACCTTGATTTCTAGCAAAAGATGGTGGTTTTTTTAATTTTTATATTCATTTATGAGAATTAGCTAGCCAAGGTGCTGGTTTAAAAAATCATAGTTTTCAAAATAGTGCTACTATTATGAACAGACATAGATATGTGTTATATTGGGCACTGATTGCGAATGGAAATGGGGTGAGGGTCTGAGGGCCTTTTCTTTTCTTTTCTTTCTTTTTTGCTTTTCATAGCCTGAGCGCTTCATGTCGCCCGAATTGGCAACATTGCTTCCGCCATACTAGATGATATCAATGATGATGATAATAAGCTCTCAATACTACTCTACCATGACCGTTATCGTGTTTAGTAGTTTCTAAGGAATCAATCACAAAGTCTGCGAGCATAGTGATTAGTCTCAACAATCAATGAGCTCTGTAAGGAAAGAGAAGAAGTGTTGAGTCAATCAGATATTGGTGGTGATAGTAGTCCAATTGAGGTAAGAAACGGCGCAATCTAAAAATAAGCTAACTCTTGGTTACAATGAGGTCTTTACGTTCATATCAATTGTTTCACAAAGCTTATATATTATGTATTGGCCGTTGCTTTAAGCATTTGGACCAAAGAAAAAACCACCGAAGAAAAAAGATACATATCAATAAGTGACGCCGTGTCAACAATGCATTCCAATTGGCCAAATGTGTCGACCTTGCGTTAAATTTAGAGGTAGGAAGAGCTACATGTCATATTGTCAGATTGATTTGCGACTTTCCTTTTACATGCTATGCACTATATGTCATATACCACGCGCGACAGCTCTATGCCAAGAGTGCCTAAATCGTATAAAAGCAAAGCTTTCCCCCGTTCAGCAGCACCTCTCCACCCTCTAACACACATTCAATTCTGCCTCGCTTCCTCAAGCCTATACTCGTCTACCCTAACCACTACTTCAAGTCTATCTTTTCTCAAGGTGTGGATAAGCTTTTGAACAATATTTCCTATGCCTTTACTTTTATAATAAAAGTATCCATTCAATCTGTCCATCTGCACTCACTAAGTCTACATCCAATGAATAGTATGCATCAAATTACCATCTTATTGATTGCGATTATTGCGGTCATTAGTGTGGCCGCTGCAAAGCCCTTGCTTCCTGATGGCTACTATCGTATTTACAAAGGGAACCACCGCGTTCCCTCCAGAAACCGTTACTTCACTGCTTACCTAGATGCTAGAACTGGCTCTGTGAGAATCGAAACCAAAAATGATGATGAGCTTCAAGTGTGGCGGCTCCGCAACCATGGCAAAGGCCAAGTATCCCTTCAAGTTTATAACGAGGACGCAGACGAGAGAAAGTATCTCTCAGAGGGAAGGTCTGGGGCTCTTCCAGGAGCACATCTTGGTGTCACTGAAAAGCGACAAAAGTGGTTCATCACCAAGGTCGGAGTAAGCTTATATACCAGATATATGCTCGCTCACCCAAGAAAGGTCAATAACCAAACGCTTATTGTGAGTGAAAGCAACACCTATGACGAGGATATTGGCAAGCCAAACTGGGTTTCTTTTAGGTATCAAGGCCAAACAAACTATACTCAAGCTTGGAAGTTTGCGAGAGTCTACCCTGACGACGATGACAGCGACGACAAGCACAATGATGACGGCGAAGACGACAAGTAAATTGTCGAAAATTCAGGCCAGGCGCTCTGATTAGCTTCAATTCATCTTTGAAGGCAATTCCTTCTTCATTGCAAATATTTGTAGCCTCTCGTTTCTATTAAATAAATAAAATTATAAAAAAATTAAGGTCGTCTTCGTTGAGATGACAACGTGTATGCAATGCAAAAGCTAGACAGCAAACGGGTGAAACCAATCTAGTAGAAAGGCGATTATGGTTTAGGTCACAATGGCCAAATTGCTTGGCGGCTACTGTGCGACTATTTGACTTGAATAATGCCAATAAGAGGAGATGCTCCCCTTGTTGTTTAAAAAGTTTGCCACTTTAGCCTTATCGGTAGTATTATGCTGCATATTGGATTTCGTTGCATGGATTATGCTTGGGCCGGTAGTCATTGACCAAGCTGCTTGTTACCGCCAGTGTAACCAGCGATCCTTCTTATCCCATAGTTTCGTTTCCTCAGACTGTCTCCCCTGATGGGCCTGGTGTTGTTCTATTTGACTAGAGTCTTTTGACTTGGATCCCGCTGATCCGTGTTGCGCCAGAAGCTTGCTGCTGGCAAGGCACAGTCCATTCACATTTTGAATACTCCTGCCGATAGCACTATGAGCCGTCTGTCTGATGCCCTCAACCTTGGTTGCTTTGTAAAATATATATCTCATGGCCCTTAGGGCCCTTGTAATAACAATAATAATAATCTGTTTGTCTTATACTCTTCAGCATATCTTGTTGCCCTCCTACACAATGCATCACATATGAATAGAAGTATAATTGGGTCCTGTAGCCAGGAAGCAGCCTTCTTTCTAAGCATTCTACGAAAGCGCCCCAATGAATCAATCTATGAACAGGGTAACAATCAAACTCTGATTAAACTCTAGGCCCCACAATCGTCCTTTACTGTGTGAGGTAATTGTACTTCCCATCGTGGTAAATAGGATATTTCAACGACCCTATTTATAGGCCCTTCGAGTCCGCTGGATGCAGTGCTGTTCCTGATTTCGCATCTATCGCACTTACCGACCCATCATCGTCTCCATCAGCCAACTGCCAGTTACATGGTGGAAATGTGCTGGGCATACATTAATCTGTAGCCATATTGCGGGCTGTAACAGAATTCATGCGTACCTTGCGCCCTATACTTATAAGATTGTATATCAATAGCCGTAGCTGCAATTTATTGCTGTATTTCAACAACTGAATGTCTATACAATATGAGTCCCGAGTGGCTCTTCATATATTTCCTCCATAATGGGGGTTCCATGGCCGAGCTGTCTAAGCTTGAGTCATGTTATTTCCATCATACGAAACAATTAAGTCGTCACAGAGCGAGAGTGTCATATATACTGCCATCGCATAGTGGCTTTATAGGGTCTAATGAGCCGGTTTTAGGCTTCGGTACTATTTAGTAAACATTACATATTTGTCGTCTTGGCTCAGTGAGGACTTGAAAGACGCGAATTGCAGGCCTTCAAATGGAACTAAAAATGGTGACGAAGAAGGAGGAAGATATTTATATATGGCTCTAACTCCTAGATAATAAGCTAAAGTCGTGATGCTACTCGACCTGACTAGTTATAGTGATAGCTCCAAGCTTCAAGGCAAAATAAATCTTGACTGGAGGCAAAAGTTCGACATAGCAAACTCTGAATGGCATCATTAAAGTGCTGTAAATGCTCGATGTGAAACACTTTTTATAAAATAATTCTTCAGATCTATTTGCTTTTATGTGCTAATAAAAACTATATCCTGGATTTTCAGTCAGTTAGAAATGTACGATCTGCTGTAGTGAAAGTAGGTAACACAATCCATGCGATAAAGAAGATCAACATGTAGTATGGTGCTGACGATAAGGCTGAAGTGGTAAACTGTTTAAAGGAGAGAAGGAGACATCTCATCCTATTGACATTGCTCAAGCCAAGTAGTCTCACAGTAATCGCCAAGTAAAAGCATACATCGCGGCCTAAATCATCATCGCCTTGCTACTAATGTGATGCTTTGCCTTTGTGCACAATATGAGCGAGTACGCGTGGTCATCTCATCAAGTCGAAATCACTCTGTGCCTTTTTTATATTTTTAGCTTTATCTTTATAGATCCAACAGAAATAAGAGACTACAGATATCTGCGTTGAAGAAATAATTGCTTTTGGAGCTGAACTAAGAGTTTGGTCTGGATCTTTGGCCATCTACTTGTCGCCTTCGTGCTTATCGTCTCCGTTGTCGCCATCAGGGTAGACTCTCCAAAACATCCAGGCATGAGTGTAACCTTCTTGGCCTTCATATCTAAAGGAAACCCGGTTCGGTTTATTAATGTCATCGTCATAGGTGTTGCTTTCACTCACGATAAGCGTTTGGTTATTGAACTTCCTCGGGTGAGTGAGTGCGTATCTTGTGTAAGCACCTCTCCCAACCCTGGTAATGAACCATTTTTGGCGCTTTTCAGTAACACCTAGATATGCTCCTGGAAGGGCTCCAAATCTTCCTTCCGAAAGGTATTTGCTCTCATCTGCATCTTCATCGTAGACTTCAAGGGACACTTTGCCGTTGTCATGATTGCGGAGTCGCCATACTTGAAGTTCATCTTCATTTTTGAGCTCAATCTTCACAGAGCCAGTCCTGTCATCTGGATAAGCAGTGAAGTAACGGTGCTTGGAGGGCACGCGGTGGTTTCCCTTGTAAATACGGTAGTAGCCATTTGGAAGCAAGGGTTCTGCAATGACCACACTAATGATCGCAAAGATCGCAACCAATAAGGCGACGGCTTGATGCATACTACTCGTTGAGCGCAGACTTAGTGAGCACTGAGGAATAGAATGGATGGATGGACTCACGATAAAAGTAAAAGCATACAAAATACTTATTCTCACCTTGAGGTAGGGTAAATTTAGGAAATGGTAGTATAGGGCAGGCTAGAGTGTAGGCTTGAGGGAGTAAGGCAGGCTTGAATGTGTGCAAGTGGATAGAGAGATGTTGCCGTATGAAGGAAAGCTTTGCTTTTATAGACTTTTTTTTATTATTTTTTTTTTTCGATTTCATGTGTATTGTACGAGGTACTCTTGGCAACAGCGCGTGGTATGATGCACACAATACACGACATACAAAAAGGAAAGCCTCAGATCAGTCCGAAGAATGATGAGTGGCCCCTTCTACGTCTAAATTTAACGAAGGTCAACATATTTGGCCAATTGGTATGCATTGTTGATACGGTGCCCCTTTACTGACACGTCTTTTTTTTTCCCTTCAGTGATTTCTTTTTTATTTTCTGAAGTTCATATGCTTGGAGCAACGGCTAATACATAATATATAAGCTTTGTGAAACAATTGATATGAACGTAAAGACCTCATTGTAACCAAGAGTTAGCTTATTTTTAGATTGCGCCGTTTCTTACCTCAATTGGACTACTATCACCACCAATATCTGATTGACTCAACACTTCTTCTCTTTCCTTACAGAGCTCATTGATTGTTGAGACTAATCACTATGCTCGCAGACTTTGTGATTGATTCCTTAGAAACTACTAAACACGATAACGGTCATGGTAGAGTAGTATTGAGAGCTTATTATCATCATCATTGATATCATCTAGTATGGCGGAAGCAATGTTGCCAATTCGGGCGACATGAAGCGCTCAGGCTATGAAAAGCAAAAAAGAAAGAAAAGAAAAGAAAAGGCCCTCAGACCCTCACCCCATTTCCATTCGCAATCAGTGCCCAATATAACACATATCTATGTCTGTTCATAATAGTAGCACTATTTTGAAAACTATGATTTTTTAAACCAGCACCTTGGCTAGCTAATTCTCATAAATGAATATAAAAATTAAAAAAACCACCATCTTTTGCTAGAAATCAAGGTAAAAGAAGGAGTGCCGCCATGACATTGACCAAGACAGGAACAAGAGTGCCATCACCATAGTAGCTTAGACATGAGCTGAGTTGTGACTTCATTTTACATGCACCGCCTGAATTCAGGAGAACCTGCACAGACAATCACAGACAGGTTTTGCAGGTATACTCAATCATCGATGTATCATGAAAAATGTACTCATTCATGCCTGCAGGAGTGAAGGACAATCCCCATGGCTTTAAAGGAGAGGACTATGGACATTCTCACTAAGCCTCCAATGACACCCTGACTTTGGCTGTAGCAGTAATGGTAACCTAGGATTACATCTGCAAGCAAAAAGGAGAGGACTCCCTTCTTCTTCGGAAAGAACCCCTTTCTTTTTGTACTCGAGTTTCCCAGATGAAAAGGAGCCAGAAAGCTACCTTTATCCTGCTCAGGAGTCGAGTTGGCTGGGAAGGCTATTAAAACCAGTTGTGGGCCCATAGATCAAAGCAGGTCAGCAGTGCTCGGTAAAATTGCTTACTTTACATCTTGGCGTCCATGTGTTCCTAGTTACCTCAAGTCATATGTACCAATGCAAATGAAAGTTACAGATAAAGGAGCTTATTGTTTTCAAGTCTTGCTCAGATTCCGCTTTGTAAGACGACCTTTTTGTATTGTCGCATATTTACTATTTACTCCATGGGAATCCTGTATAATGCACAAAGGGTCTATCTGATCGCTTTATTGCCTTTATGTTCATACTTTCATTTCTATTTTTTTTCAAACACTTAATACTATAACAGCAGCGAGACTATCCTCAATATCTAGGACAAGGCCTTTGAGGGTTTCATTTAGTTTCAAAAGGATGTCAGAGGCTCGCCTCTAGTGGACAGGAGTGAAGTTCCAAGGCTGCTTGCCTCTGGGATTGCCATCGGAGAGGAGAGCAATGCGCTTGGGATATACAGTGTCAGGAGTGACATCGACATTGAGCCACTTGCCATGGACCTTCACTGGGTACACGATCTTGTACTTGCCGTCATCAGCCTTTTCGAGCGTCCACTTCTGGCTAGTGCCACTAACAGCCAAGTAAGCATACTCCTTGGCACCAGATCGGCTCAATGAGAGGTATCGCTGGTGGTATCCGCGAGGAGAAAGAGTGACCTTGTCACCAGCATGGTTACGGAGATACCATTCCTGATAATAGCCAGGAGCTGACAGAGACTCCTGGTAAGTGGCAGGCCAGTACCCGGTGCCTCCTGTTTTAGTGGTGATATAGCGGTTATCGATGGAGATGCGGTAGTATCCATCAGGGAGGAGTGCAGCCACGGCCACGTTGACGATTGCGAGGGCTATAGTCAAGAAAGCGAGTGGTTGATACATCCTATTCAATAGTCGCAGATATAACGAAGCGTTAACAGGGGAGGCAGCCTGCCAAAAAAAAAAAAAAAAAAAAAAAAAAAAAACAAAGCAAAGCAAAGACAATAGAGCAACCTGCTAGCGCAGTACTCAGGAACAGGAGATAAGGCTTACCTGAGAAGGTTGAGTTGAAGAAGTAGGCTAGAAAAGGAGGTTAAAGAAGTAGGTAAAGCAAGTAGAGTGCAAGAGCTGTGAGCGTTGGTTGATGATTGAGAATTGCTCTGAGGAACCCGTCCTTTTTATATGGATTCTGTCTTCTTTGTAACGTCTAGATTGACATGACCGCGCAGCCAGCTTTACGTACCTGATAGTTACTCTCAGGGGTTCTAGATAAGTAAGTACGCGCAGCTCGCAACTATAGCCAATGAGACTGATGTTCAAAGTGCTTTTGTTCTTTCATGCTTTCCCTCCAACGGTCTACTCTTCCTCCCGATCATGTATCTCGCAGATAGGCCATGTTTCATTGATCTAAACGCAGCCACCTCATTGACTACGGTATGAATTTGCATTTTTATTTTTAGGAGGGCCAATCCATGTGCCTGTTCTCTTTTTTATTTTTATTTCTTCATACTTTTTACCTTGTCATCCATCGTGTGCTTCTAATCACTAGAGTCGCGAAGAGGCCCAGACATAGCCCATCATAGAAAGGTGAGACTCCTCTAATACAACGAAAATATATAAAGGCTGAGAAAGAATAAGCCTTGATCTAAGGAATATGTGGATATCTTGGACTTGAAGCCTAAATTAGCAGCAATTTGCTAAATCAGTTTAGAGTTGGTTCCAGACCTTTTCCATTTAACGCCCTACATCATGATTGCTGGGAAGCGAGATTTATGGACTGCAATAAAATGTCGCAGGGAGCAGGAAATTGAGGCAAGGGCAGATTTGGGTGAATCTATTTGACAACCCGGGTTGTCACTCTTATTTGACAGCCCCCCCCTAATTTAGCAATCACATCGGCTTATTTGGCAACCCAGGTCTTCAATTTTCACTTTTTTGTTATTTGACAACCCGGGTTGTCAAAAAAAGAAGAAAAATTGTCTTTTTCAACCTGTCACATGACAAGTCTTCACCCTCTTGTACTTATGGAGGGCCTTTCTCAGCTGGATTTCTAAAATGGTGGCAACACTCCATTATCATGACTGTGGTTATAGCTCTCTTTTTTTTCCTTTCCGCGTCTTACGCATGCGCCATCAAGCGTCGCAAAACCACTCCGAATTTATGCATGCTTATTTATCCAAAAAAACCCCTTAGTGCATGTTACCCGTATAGGCACATTTTCTATAAAAGCAAACCCTTGTTTTAGAAATCAGTTGTAATAAAAAAACAACACCTCGTAACCAAAAAAAAAAAGTTTGTTATTTGATGGAAGCTTTTAGATTGCTGGAGGGATTTCATGTTGCTGAGGGATAGCAATAGAAACGATTTTCACATAATAATCTTGCCAATAAAAAAAGGGTTGTCAAATAACAGTGAGCTTGGGGTTGTCAAATTAGATATTTTACTATTTGGCAACCCGGGTTGTCACGCAAAGAAAAAAAATTGAGAAAAATAATTAAGGGGGGGGTTGTCAAATAAGAGTGACAACCCGGGTTGTCAAATAGATTAATTCGGCAGATTTTATTAAGCATCAGTCACATGAGCTGATATTGATAGGCTATACTTCATTGTCAGTTGGCTATATTTGTCTTTGGCACCGCCATTTGCTTCACAAGGTCGAAGTTCCTTCCTTCCTGCCAATCAATGAGCAGCAAAGCACACTTGCCCTGGCTGGATGGCTTTGAGTGCTTAAAATAACTCATGTCAACTACAACTTAAGCCATAGATTCCCTCTATCTCAAGAATAAAAAGGAAATGGTATACATGTACTGCACTTTGCGCTTATTGAATAGGCCCTTGCTTTTTTATACGTGCTCGGCCAGCATGTGCAAGTGATTCAATATCCTGTTTTGAAAGAACTACATCAGTAGTAGCTTTAACAAAGCACTGCCTTCGATATGTATATGTTTCATTTGTTTCAGCTATGAGGTTTCTCCTCAACATTAACTAATTTACCTTTGAACGTTAACACCAGCAATGTCAATAGATTAATTCGCCTCTAGGAGGTGTAGGTAAGAATACACTGCTGGAATTTACTCTATTTTTATTTTATATTATTTTTATTTATTTCTTTGAATAAAACAGGTCATGGAAGTATTCCAGCTTCTAACAGCCGCTATCAAGGCTGCGAAGGATTATGAGGCTGGATAATTGAGTACTCAATCACTCAGTTCAGTAATCATTTATAATCTCTCACCTACCAAAAGGGTATGCCACCAACTACTCATTGTTATCATGGGACATCGTTTGTATCTCCTAGACATCAACAATTTCCACAACACGTCCCTCTATAAGATTTGACTATGGCCAATCATTGGCTAACCTAATTTGATTTTTTTTTTTTTTTTTTTTTTCTTGTGAATCTTGGGGTGCATAGATCGCAGAATTTTCTGAAACGTCTTGGAATCCATGAAGATACAACATCCCTAATTGCAGTCAAGGTTGGTGGTAGATGAGATCTTGGAGGATATGCCCAAGGCTGTAGTTTGGATTCTGACCGCATTTCTAAAACTATATGAAGAAAGGGATATGGTTAGGCTTCGTCAGGTAAAAAAAAAAAAAAAAAAAAAAAAGTGTGTATTAATTAGACTCATCGCGCTTTATGGGCACATGCAATTTAGCTGTCATGATTCTCTTCATCTAGTACTACAAAATTGATCCCAAGGTGACAGAGCATAAGGATATTTTGAACTGGATAATCGGAGCAATGGCAATGAAGAATATTCAATAGTGATAAAAGAATAAAGCTTTAATCATGGCCTCAAAAAAAAAAAAAAAAAAGAAAAATGAAAGAGTTCGCTATGAAGGACTCGTTCATTCAAAGATGTATTTCATCCTTATTAGCGCAGGGCCTTTAGCTTCGGTACTGACAAGAGTATGAACATTACAAGCCTTTGGGCCTAGATCATGTGTATCGTCCGAATTAACTCGCTTTTGCAAATCGTACAATACAAACCAACTGAATATCCAGGATATAGATTTTGTTAGCACATAAAATTAAGTAGATATGAAGGGTTGTTTCATAAAAAGTTCTTCACATCAAGCATTTACAACACCTTGATGACTTCACTTAGAGCTTGATGCGTCGGATTGTTGCCTCCGATCAAGCGCCATTTTGTCCAAAGGGTTTAGAAACATTACTATAGAATGACCAGGTCGAACATTATTAGCATAAAAACTTGTTATTCGAGAGCCAAGGCCATATAAAAGTGTCTTCCTCATTCTTTGCCACGCATGCTACATTTCCCATTTTGAGAGTTGTTCTATATTTCGGTACTATAACATTACATATTTGTCATCTTGACTCGATGAGGTACGAGCAGGAGGTGCATCCACGCTTTATGAAACCACCAAATGATGATGATGTGCGCGATATTTTTGCTTAATGGCTACTTGATTGTTCTGTATGATGAAAATAATAAGTCCCAAGTCTAGAAAACTCGACTATTAGATCTCCAATATCGAGATATGAAGGATCACTCGACTTTATATTGAATATGTACCCAGCAGCCGAGGACTCCATTTATTTATAGCCGTGGTTATATATAAGCTTGAAGGTGCAAAACAGGAAGATCGGTCAAAGACTTCCGGCTCAAATTCAATTCGTGCAACTAAAACGTGTACAAAACTAATACATGTCTAATAAAAAGGAATGTTCCAGTATCTTTTCCCATTGACATTGCTCAAGCCAAATAGCCTCACAGGAGCCACAAAATAGGTCGGCTATTTTGGCCTGCACCATCATCCCTCTACTCGTGTGGTTTTCTCTATTTGCTGCTTAGCTTTTGCGTTGTGTAGGGCCGGGCACGTATCTTATCTCAACAAGGTTTTTCTTTTATCTTTTATCTTTTTTAATAGAAATAGGTTACAAGTTTTTGTGCTGAGGAAAGTATTGTCTTCAAAGCTGAGCTACGAGCTTGGCCTGAATCCTCAACTGTCTACTCGTCCTCGGGGTAGACTCTTGCAAACTTCCAGGCCTGGGTGTGGTTCGACTGGCCTTGATACCTGAAAGCAACCCAGTTTATTTTGTCATCATCCTCCCCATAGGGGTAGCTCTCGCTGACAATAAGTGTCTGATTGCGGAACTTTCTCGGATGTGTGAGAATGTATCTGGTGAAAGGACCACCTGCAATCTTAGTAATAAACCACCTTTGTGCCTTTTCAGTAACACCAAGAGATGCTCCTGGAAGAGCCCCAGATCTTCCTTCCGAGAGGTATTTTCTCTTATCTGCGTTCTTGTCATAAATTTGAAGAGACACCTGCCCTTTGCTATGGTTGCGAAGTCGCCACACTTGAAGTTTAGCTTCATCTTTGGGCTCAGTCCTCACGGAGCCAGCTCTAGCATTTGGGTAAGCTGTGAAGTAGCGGTTTTGTGAGGGTACATGCTGAATTCCTTTGAAAATGCGGTAGTAGCCATTGGGAAGCAAAGGCTCCGCGATGGCAACACTGATGATCGCAAGGATCGCAATCAATAAGACGGTGACTTGGTGCATACTATTCATTAGATGTAGTCTTAGTAAGTACAGAGGAATAGACTGAATGAATACTCTGATGGCAAAAGTAATGGCATACGAAATAGTAGTATCCAAAAGATTATTCTCACCTTGAGATAAGGTAGACTTGAGGGAGGCAGAATTAAATGTGCTTGAAAATAGAGAGATGCTTTTGAACGGGAGTAAACTTTGCTTTTATATGTGTTTTTTTTCTCATGTGTAATATTGTACGAGGAACCCTTGGCGTAGAGCTGCAACAGCGCGTGGTATGTTACACATAACACACAGCATGCAAAAAGAAATCACAAATGATGAATGGGCCCCTCCTTTCTCTAAATTTAACGCTTGAAAATGCAGAGGTCACGCAAGGTCGACACATTTGGCCAATTGACATGCATTGTTGACACGGCGTCCCTGTGTTGACATTTCTTTTTTTTTTCTTTCTTTGATTCGTATGTCCTAAACCAACGGCCAAAAACATCTCAAAATATAAACATTCTGTGTGAAACAACCGATCTGAACGCAAAGACCTCATTGTTACCGAGGGTTGGCGTTTTTTCTCTCTTTTTCTTTCTTTTCTGTTATTTTTAGACTACGCCATCTCTTACCTTAATTGAACTCAAGCTAAATCGCAAATAGGGAAACCATCTCCAACCCTACCGCCACCAATAAATATCTGTTTTCTCAATAGTCTTCTCTTTTTTTCTTACAGGAACTCATTGATTTTTGAGACGAACCACTTGTGCTCGTAGATTTTATGTTTAGTGTTCTCTGTCTTACTTTACTGAGGGATCCTATTTGCCTTTTATTCGCCGATTCGCTTGCCACAGTAAGCAGTGATCACCTTCAGAAGTCTCTCCCACACACTCCATTGGAACAACAGCACCAAGCAACGGGAAATCTGCAACAGGGCTTTTGTGTACCCAGTGATTTCGTCCAATTTTTCTTAAATGTGGCGACGGTCAAAATGTGATAACATGTATTGAGAGCACTTTTATTACTTTATTGATATATATTTTTTGATACAACGTAAGCAGTGGCGATATGGAGTACTCGTTGTGACTCAGGTTGTAGAAAAGAAAAGAAAAAAAGGAAAAGAAAAGATCCTGAGTTCCTCCTAATGATGTCATCTCCTTTTTTTTCTTTTTTTTTCCATTCCTATTTCCTATTCCTAGTAAGGTCCCAATTAACACACTTCTACTTCCGTTCATAATAGTACATGTACGGTACTGTTGTTTTATTTACAACAATTGGCATCACTAACGATCTTTTAAACTGGCGTCTCGGCTAGCTCGCTTTTAACATTAAGAATAAGAAAATTGCCATCTCTTTATCTTTTGCTAAAAGAAGGGGTCAGACAGAAACTAAAAAAATAAGCTGTGACTTCATTTTCCATGCATTGGCTAATTTCAGGGCTCGCACAGACAGGCTTTGCAGGCATACTCAATCATCAATGTGTCTTATGAAAAATGTATTTCATGTCTGAACAAGAATGAGGGAGGTCTCTATGGCTTTAAAGGAGAGAGTTAGGACATTCTCACTAAGCCCTCCAATGACACCCTGACTTTGGCTGTAACGGTAATGATAGCCAAGGATTACATGTCAAGAGGAAGGGGAGAATTCTCTCTTCTTCGGAAGGAGCTCTTTTTTTTTTTTTTTTTTTTTTTTTTTCGTACTCAAACAGAAGTGAACCAAAGGTCACTTTTATCCTGCTCAGAAGCCAAGTTGCCCGAGGACGCTGCTAAGGTCAGTCATGAGCTTATATATCACAGCAGTTCAGTATCACTCGTATCAATTGCTCGCTATTTTACAGCTTGGCATTCCCATTGCCTCAAGTCATTATCAGTGCAAATGAAAGTTACAGCTAAAGAGTCTTGGTTGTTGATTTCTCCTTCAGATTTCATATGTAAAATGATCTCTTTTTTTTGTCGCGCCTTTACTATTTACTCTGCATAGTGCACAAAGCCATATCTGACCGCTTATTGCTTTTGTGTTCATACTTTCATTTTCTATATTTTTAAACTCAATACTAAAACAGTAGTGAGACTATTCTCGGTAGCTAGGACAAGGCTTTTGAAGGGTTCTTTTTAGTTTCAAAAGGATGTCAGAGGCTCGCCTCTAGTGGACAGGAGTGAAGTTCCAAGGCTGCTTGCCTCTGGGATTGCCATCGGAGAGGTGAGCAATGCGCTTGGGATATACAGTGTCAGGAGTGACATCGACATTGAGCCACTTGTCATGGACCTTCACTGGGTACACGATCTTGTACTTGCCGTCATCAGCCTTTTCGAGCGTCCACTTCTGGCTAGTGCCACTAACAGCCAAGTAAGCATACTCCTTGGCACCAGATCGGCTCAATGAGAGGTATCGCTGGTGGTATCCGCGAGGAGAAAGAGTGACCTTGTCACCAGCATGGTTACGGAGATACCATTCCTGATAATAACCAGGAGCTGACAGAGACTCCTGGTAAGTGGCAGGCCAGTACCCGGTGCCTCCTGTTTTAGTGGTGATATAGCGGTTATCGATGGAGATGCGGTAGTATCCATCAGGGAGAAGCGCAGCCATGGCCACGTTAACGATTGCGAGGGCTGTAGCCAAGAAAGCGAGTGGTTGATACATCCTATTCAATAGTCGCAGATATAACGAAGCGTTAACAGGGGAGGCAGCCTGCCAAAAAAAAAAAAAAAAAAAAAAAAAAAAACAAAGCAAAGCAAAGACAATAGAGCAACCTGCTAGCGCAGTACTCAGGATCAGGAGATAAGGCTTACCTGAGAAGGTTGAGTTGAAGAAGTAGGCTAGAAAAGGAGGTTAAAGAAGTAGGTAAAGCAAGTAGAGTGCAAGAGCTGTGAGCGTTGGTTGATGATTGAGAATTGCTCTGAGGAACCCGTCCTTTTTATATGGATTCTGTCTTCTTTGTAACGTCTAGATTGACATGACCGCGCAGCCAGCTTTACGTACCTGATAGTTACTCTCAGGGGTTCTAGATAAGTAAGTACGCGCAGCTCGCAACTATAGCCAATGAGACTGATGTTCAAAGTGCTTTTGTTCTTTCATGCTTTCCCTCCAACGGTCTACTCTTCCTCCCGATCATGTATCTCGCAGATAGGCCATGTTTCATTGATCTAAACGCAGCCACCTCATTGACTACGGTATGAATTTGCATTTTTATTTTTAGGAGGGCCAATCCATGTGCCTGTTCTCTTTTTTATTTTTATTTCTTCATACTTTTTACCTTGTCATCCATCGTGTGCTTCTAATCACTAGAGTCGCGAAGAGGCCCAGACATAGCCCATCATAGAAAGGTGAGGCTTCTCTAATACAACGAAAATATACAAGGACTGAGAAGAGTATAAGCCTTGACCTCAGGAATATGTGAATATCTTGGACTTGAAGCCTAAATTAGTGGCAATTTACTAAATCAGTCTAGAGTTGGTTCCAGACCTTTCTTTTTTAACACCCCACATCATAATTGCTGGGAAACGAAACCTATAGACTGCAGTAAAATGTCGCAAAGAACAAAGGAAAGGCAGAGTTTTATTAGGCATCAGTCACATGAGCTGATGTTGATAGGCTATGCTTCATTGTCAGTTGGCTGTATTTGTCTTTGGCACCGCCATTTGCCTCACAAGGCCGCCGCAAAGTCCCTTCCTTCCTGCCAATCAATGAGCAGCAAAGCACACTTGCCCTGGCTGGATGGCTTTGAGTGCTTAGAATAACTCGTGCCAACTATGACTCAAGCCATAGACTTCCTCTATCCTAGGAATAAGAAAGGAGATCGTATACATGGACTGTACTCTGTACTTATTGAATAAGTCAATACTTTTTTATACGTGCTCATCAAGCATGTGCAAGTGATTCAATATCCTGTTTTGAATAGAAATATACCCGATGGGGTCAGTAGTAGATGTTAACAAAGTACTACCTTCGGTATATTATGTTTCATTTTTTCGAGCTGTGAGGTCTCTCCTCAACATTAACTAGTTTGCCTTTGAACGTTAACACCAGCAATGTCAACAGATAAATTCGTCTCGGGAGGTGTAGGTAAGAATACACTGTTGGAATTTACTCTATTTTTATTTTATTTATTTCTTTCGAATGAAACAGATCATGGATGTATTCCAGCTTCTAACAGCAGCTACCAAGGAAGCAATGGATTATGACGCTAGGGATTGAGTACTCAATCCCCCAGTTCAGAAACCATTTATAATCTCTCATCTACTAAAAACGTATGTCATCAACTGCTCATCGTTACTATAGGACGTCATTTATATCAAATATTAACAATTTCCACAACGCGTCCCCCATGAGCTTTTGGCTGTGGTCAATCATTGGCTAATCTAATTTAATGCTATTTTTTATTTTTCTAGTCCTCTCTTGAGGTGCATAGGCCGCAGAATCTCTGAAACGCTTTGGAATCAATGAAGACACAACGTCCTTAATAGCAGTCAAGGTTGGTGGCGACCCCAACGAGGCTTTGGAGGATATGTCCAAGACAGTGGACGGAATTCTGACCTCATTTCCAAAACTATATCAAGAGAAGGGTATGGTTAGACTTTGCCAGGTATAAATAAAAAAAAAGTTCATTATGAAGAGCTTGTTCAACCGCAGGTGTTTTCATCCTTATTAAAACAGAGACTTTAGCTCGGGTACTGATAAGAGCATGAATACCTCGAACCCTTGCCTTTGAGCTTACTTCATATGTACCGCCAGAGCTAGCTCACTGTTGCCTGGTCAAAGTACTGTTAATAGAATTTAACACTGATCTAGATCATTGCTAACTTCATTACCGCAAATCATACATTTCTAACTGACTGGATATTTAGGATGCAGTTCTCATTTACACACAAAAGTGAGTTATTTTATAATAAATGCTTCACATCGAGCATTTACAGTACTTTGACGATATTGCTCAGACACGTCGAGCCGTTACCTCCGGAAAAGCCCCATTTTTCCCAATGAGCTTAGAAATATTACTATAATTAATCAAGTCGAACCACACTACGCTTTTTAGCTTATTATCTGAGAATCATGGACGTGTATAAATGTTCTCCTCTTTCTTTGCTACTATCTTTCTTCTATTTTAAGGAAGTGCTTTATACGTCGCGGTGGGAAGTATATTACCTCGCACAGTGAAAAATGATTGTGAGATCAAGATTCATAGATTGATTCATTAGAACGCTTTCGTGGAGTGCTTCGAAAGGAGGCCGCTCCCTGGCTACAGAGCCCAACTATACTTCTCTCAGCTAAATTGCATTGTGTAAGAGGGCAACAAGGGTTATCTCGTGTAAGAAAGGGAAATAGTTATTTCTCTTTTTACTACAGGGGCCCTCGGAGCCACGATATTTATTTCTTTAAACAAAATGACCGGGTTTGAGGGCATCAGACAAATGGCTCATAGTGCTAACAACATGTGTATTCAAGATGCGGTTGGGTTGTGTGCTGCCAGCAGAAAGCTTATGATGCGACGCGGAGCTACAAGCAGGCATCTTTCTTATCTGGTCGCATATGAGGCATTTATCTTTGGTAACACTACTCAGCGCTCCTAATCGATTCGATACAACCGAAATTGAATGGGATTGAATGCATTCGATTCGGTTTCGGCTCAGGGTAAGTTTGTACCGAAATTGAATGCTCCATTCCTGTATCGAATCGAATGAATCGAATGTGTTGAATGATACCCTTAATGTGTAGCATGGGTCGTATGATTATATCGAATGCATCGAATGTATCGAAACCGTTTACCGAATGTATCGAAACCGTTTACCGAATGCATCGAAACCGATTTTTTAAGCGCATCGAATGTATCTATGCACTATTTAATACGACTATATCGGCTTTTTGAATAAAAAACTTGACAGGTTAGAATGGGCTTACACAATTTGATGCGCCACGGTACATTCGACTAACGTTCAAATGTTGGAAATATATTTAAATTTTGACTTATCACTTATAACGAATGTATACAGAACTATAGCAACTAATTTATGGGAGAACATTCATCCAAGAGTCCAGGATGACCAAGCGCTGGATCGTCGTAGGGCTAAGGCTATTTCTTTCAGGTGGCAGGAAGAACTTGGCTTGCGAAAAGCATCTTTCCGCCGGGGTTGATGTCACAGGGACTGCAAGACAGTCCTTTGCCATATTCGCCAAATTGGGCAAGCGCTCCTTTTGTGATCGCCAGTACACTAACTCTGGAGGCTCATGTTTACTAGCAACTAGAGAACTTCCTTCTCGAACGTATAATTCAAGCTCTCCACCTTTTTTCTTGATACCATAGCGTCTCATCTCCATTTCTTCTTCAGCTGGAAGCTGACTTGGGCCTTCTTTGCCCTTATATTCATCTTCCCAGACCTTCGTTACCATGTCTTGACTGCTTTGAATATATTCACCCCATTCGTTAGCTTCCCACCAGTCAAACCGCATCCTCGGGTCCATAGCAGTGGCGATGGCATAGACCGCTGAGGAATCAGTTTTAGAATAATAACGCAAAAGCTTCTTTAACCCTTGACCTGCTGCGTTTTTTAGTGGAGGATCCTCTTCTTTTTCAATATAATCTTCTAGGTGGTCGATCATGTTGTTATAAGCAGACATGGCTCTGTTGATTGTCGGGTATCCCAGGCTAGAAGACACCGTAGCTGTGATATCATTAAACTGGCTAAGCAAAATATGGAGCTTCTTCAGGTATCCCCATTCTTCGTCTTTCAGGGAGAAGGCCGATAAAAACGGTTCGTTCTGGCACATGCTCTGGTAGGCTAGCCTTAACGTTATTGCCCTATCCACCATGATGAAAGTAGAGTTCCAACGTGTGCAGTTATCCCTTTTCAGATCAAGGTTTGGGCATTTCAGGATAGCGCAGACCTGGCCAAACTTGTCAATTCTTTGTGGCGAAGCTCTATGTATAAGTCGATATAAAAGGTATTTTATAGTTAAGTTTCATGATTCAAGTTTATATTTGCAGTCAAGATTATATAGTAATACTGACCTGATCTTAACAATGCCTTTTCTGAGTTTCTGTAATGTACTCAGCGTTACAAGCGTTAACCCAACCGCATCCTCACACTCATTGTTGTTCACGTAGAGACTGTCATTTTCAGGAGCCAAGTCATTCAAACCACTTGGGCCCAAAATCGCCTGAACTGCCAGATTAATGATGTGTCCAAGGCATGGCACATGGTATAAGCCATCCTTGAGCGGCCTAATGTTTTTTATTTTTATTTATTTTTATTTTTTTTAAGAGAAGCGTTAGAGATAACTCATTACTAGATGCGCTAGCATTATTAAAAGTGACTGAGAATTCCCATTCTACTGCCTTGGGATGCTTTTCAAGCTCTCGGATCATTTTGGACATATTTGACGCATTGTCGGTGGTGATACTTAGAAGCTTGTCACCAATTTTAAATCGATCGATGACCTTAGCCAGAGATTCCGCTAAGTTCTCACCTGTATGCGCTCCATACAATGGCTCAAATCCAATGACCAGCTCTTGTTGGCGCCAGTCATGATCAATCCAGTGAGCTGTTACCCCCAGGAAGTTGTCTTGGAAAGGGCTTGTCCAGCCATCAACGGTCAGTGATACCTTGTTAATATCCTCAAATAAGCTTATGACTTGATGCTCCATGTATTGGCATTTTAGCTTAGCCTATTTTTAATCCATCTTTTTGTCAGTGTTTGGTTGATGTTTGTTATAAAAAAAAAATAATAATTGAAGAGTAATAATAATAATAATAATAATAATCATAATCATAGTAATAATAGTTTTACCTTGGTTGCCATGGTGTCATCAGACGGTAGCTTTACTTGAGATGCTGTAGCCATTGTAGCATGGACTAGAAGCTCCTGGAGAGCAGTGCTTTTGACAATCGTAAATGGCTGCTTTGTTGTGATAACGAATCGGACAAGCAATTCGTCAAATCTCGTAGGGTCAAATACTTTTGGCTGAGAAAATGAATTAAGCATCTTGTCCATTGGGCCTTGCTTGGAGAGACTGCCATCATTGGCATTGCTATCTTTAGTGATGCGATGTACTCGCCACAGATGCTGGATGACCCCTGAAGTTGACATATTTGATGAACCAAAGGTTTTCCCGCAGCTAGGGTAACAGCAGCGCATACCAGAGCCACTCTTAGTTTTAACACGCTCGGCCCACTTGTTCTTCAGTGACCACGCCCAGCTTCGGTTGATCGCCGTGCTGCTTGCCACGCTGGAGCTTCCCACGCTCCTCGTCACTAAGCTCTCATTCATCACGCTGCCGCTCATCACGCTCTCCATATCCATATCGTTGTCAGGTGCGTCAAAGCTGGCAGACATAGAAGTGTTACCAACGTCATAAACCTTAAGTTCATGTATGATAAAATTGCTATGGAGGTATTAATTTAAACATTAAGGTTAAGTTTTTTCCTTCTTTTCTTAATACAAAGTAATATGGCAAATGTAATCAATAAATACTTCTTCTGCTTCCTCCTCGATAATTCGACGACGTCGTTTACTCATTTTAAGAGATGTTTTGGGCTGAATTGAGATAATGCATGAAAAGGAAAAGAGAGAAAAAAAAAAAAAAAAAAAAAAGGAAAAGGAAAGGAAATGAGGCGAACTGAAGCGAATGCAAACACATTTGTTGTCCTGATGCCGCAGTTGAGTATTTAAGTATAACGCACCAGATATCTCGCACTCGTTGTTAGGCTTTATTTTCTATAAACATGTGTTTTAACCTTATCTTCATGGTAATATTTTTCTTAATCCATGATTTACAGTCGTCCCTCAGTAATTCGCGAATTACTGAGGGAACTGGTCTGTTTTTATTCACTTCAATTCAATTTCAGTTATATTGATGGGCTCCTTTATTCTTTTTTTTTCTCTTTTTTTGAATTTTTCATATTTTTTTAAACAGCCACCCTATGTATTTTTCACTATTCTGCATACAAAACACACAAAAAATAAAAAAATAAATTTTCATGAAAAATACATAGGGTGGCTGTTTAAAAAAATGAAAAATTCAAAAAATGAGAAAAAAAAAAGAATAAAGGAGCCCACCAATATAATTGAAATTGAATTGAAGTGAATAATAACAGACCAGGTCCCTCAGTAATTCGCGAATTACTGAGGGACGACTGTAAATCCACATTTTGATTAAGAGTGCCGTGAGAAAAAATTTATAAAAATTTTAATCGGTTTATCAATGTACCGAATGATTCGGTATATCAAATGAATTGAATCGGTACAATCGAGGCACCGAATGATTCGGTTTACCGAATGCATCGAATATTCGATACATTCGATTCGGTTTCGACAATATATATTCATTCGGTTTCGATTCGATATGAACCTTACCTTGGTCAATTCGATTTCGGTTCGAAGGTCTATGGACTTGGATGGATGTAATTAGTAGTGACACTACTAATTACATCCATCCAAGTCCATAGACCTAGCTAAATGGGGCATCACCAAGACCCATCAGAAGCAGTAGGCTAAGAAAAAGGGCTAATGAGTAAGGGAACCGACGATTATATCGATGGTAATAAGCAGTTTGGTCTAAGGCCACCGGGTCAAAAACAATTAATGCAATGAAGAGAGTCGATATGCTGACGAAAAGGTTAAAGTGGCAAGTTATCTAAAAGAAAAATGAGGCGCCTTCTCCTATTGAGAATGCTCAAGACAAATAATCCCGCAGTAGCCGAAGCAATTCCGCCATTGTGGCATAAACCATCATCACCTTTCTAGTAGTGTGATTTTCCTCGTGTTGTTTAGCCTTTGCATTGTATAGGAACGAGCGCGTTGCCATCAAAACAAGGGTTTTTTCTTTTCTTTTTCTTTTATATATATATATTATTTATTTAATATAATTGAGAGGCTACAAATATCTGCATTGGGAAAAGGATTGTTTTCAAAGATGAATTTGAAGCTTAACTGAAGGCCTGGCTCGAATCTTCGACTATTTACTTGTCGTCTTCGCCGTTCTCATTGTGCTTCGCGTCTTCATCTTCGTCGGGGTAGACCCTCGCAAACTTCCAGGCCAGAGTGTAGTTAGTTTGGCCTTCGCACCTAAAAGACACCCAGTTTGGCTTGGTAACATCCTCCTCATAAGAGTTGCTCTCGCTGACAACAAGTGTCTGGTTATGGAACTTTCTCGGGTGAGTGAGCATATATCTAGTGTAATAGCTTCTTCCAACCTTGGTGATGAACCACTTTTGACGCTTTTCAGTAACACCAAGATGTGCTCCTGGAAGGGCTCCAGATCTTCCTTCCGAAAGGTATTTGCTCTCATCTGCATCTTCATCGTAGACTTCAAGGGACACTTTGCCGTTGTCATGATTGCGGAGTCGCCATACTTGAAGTTCATCTTCAGTTTTGAGCTCAATCTTCACAGAGCCAGTCCTGTCATCTGGATAAGCAGTGAAATAACGGTTCTTGGAGGGCACGCGGTGGTTTCCCTTGTAAATACGGTAGTAGCCATTTGGAAGCAAGGGTTCTGCAATGACCACACTAATGATCGCAAAGATCGCAACCAATAAGGCGACGGCTTGATGCATACTATTCGTTGAGCGCAGACTTAGTGAGCACTGAGGAATAGAATGGATGGATGGACTCACGATAAAAGTAAAAGCATACAAAATACTTATTCTCACCTTGAGGTAGGGTAAATTTAGGAAATGGTAGTATAGGGCAGGCTAGAGTGTAGGCTTGAGGGAGTAAGGCAGGCTTGAATGTGTGCAAGTGGATAGAGAGATGTTGCCGTATGAAGGAAAGCTTTGCTTTTATAGACTTTTTTTTATTATTTTTTTTTTCGATTTCATGTGTATTGTACGAGGTACTCTTGGCAACAGTGCGTGGTATGATGCACACAATACACGACATACAAAAAGGAAAGCCTCAGATCAGCCCGAAGAATGATGAGTGGCCCCTTCTACGTCTAAATTTAACGAAGGTCAACATATTTGGCCAATTGGTATGCATTGTTGATACGGTGCCCCTTTACTGATACTTCTTTTTTTTTTTTTTTTTTTTTTTTCCTTCGGTGGTTTCTTTTTTATTTTCTTAAGTTCATATGCTTGGAGCAACGGCCAAAACTCCCAAAAATATAAGTATTCTTTGTGAAACAACTGTCCTGAGCGCAAAGACCTCATTGTTACTGAGGGTTGGCTTATTTTTAGCATACGCCGTCCCTCACCTCAATTGGACTACTATCGCCACCAATATCTGATTGACTCAACACTTCTTCTCTTTCCTTTACCTATCCGTCCGCTTGTCATAATGGTCAGCTTCATAAGTTTCCCCTACGCCACTCTATTTGGGCAAAAGCGCCAAGTATATAAAGAGAGAGCTGCGACGGGGCTCTATGGATTGTACAATATTCCTCAGAAACTACTAAACATGATAACGGTCGCGGTAGAGTAGATTGAGAGCTTATTATTATTATCATCACTGATATCAACTGGTACGGCGGAAGTAATGTTGCCAATTCGGGCGACATGAAGCGCTCGTTGTGGCTCAGGCTATGAAAAGAAAGAAAGAAAGAAAAAGAAAAGAAAAGAAAAGGCCCTCAGACCCTCACCCCATTTCCATTCACAATCAGTGCCCAAGATAACAGATTTCTACATCTGTTCACAATAGCAGCACTATTTTAAAAACTGTGATCTTTTAAACTAGCATCTCGGCTAGCCCATTCTCATAAACGAAAATAAAAATAAAGAACCACCATCTTTTGCTAGAAATCAAGGTAAAAGAAGGAGTGCCGCCATGACATTGACCAAGACAGGAACAAGAGTGCCATCACCATAGTAGCTTAGACATGAGCTGAGTTGTGACTTCATTTTACATGCACCGCCTGAATTCAGGAGAACCTGCACAGACAATCACAGACAGGTTTTGCAGGTATACTCAATCATCGATGTATCATGAAAAATGTACTCATTCATGCCTGCAGGAGTGAAGGACAATCCCCATGGCTTTAAAGGAGAGGACTATGGACATTCTCACTAAGCCTCCAATGACACCCTGACTTTGGCTGTAGCAGTAATGGTAACTTAGGATAACATCTGCAAGCAAAAAGGAGAGGACTCTCTCTTCTTCGGAAAGAACCCCTTTCTTTTTGTACTCGAGTTTCCCAGATGAAAAGGAGTCAGAAAGCTACCTTTATCCTGCTCAGGAGTCGAGTTGGCTGGGAAGGCTATTAAAACCAGTTGTGGGTCCATAGATCACAGCAGGTCAGCAGTGCTCGGTAAAATTGCTTACTTTACATCTTGGCATTTCAAGTCATTAGTATCAGTGCAACTAAGAGCGCCCTTGCAAACTCAATCGGCCTTTATTTGTTTGTGTGCTGGGTGAAGATGGACTATGGCTATGATGAACCAATACTACAGGTATGGGCTGGTGATGCTAATAAGTTTTTTTTTCCTACATGTATATTTGATATTTGCTCTAGACATTCAACTTCCCGTCCCTGACCTCGTCTAGCCATCTGTAGTACATATTCCTGATGTAGTTATATTGCGTGCAGTAGTCTGTTGCACTCGTGTCATAACACCCAAAAGCAATTCTGTCAATGTTGTTTTCAAGTCTGTTCACTTCTGCAGGATAGAAGGTTCCATAGTCATTACCATCAATAGCAAAAGACCAACTTTGGAAATTTTTTCTAATGTCCATCCTCCCTCTATGGTTCTTTTTTGTGTAAACGTCGGCCCAGTCACTGTGCCAACTAGTTTGTGCAATAATAATGCCACTTGGATCTGCAATAACAGCATCAACATCATAACCAATACCCTTCATCCGTTTTCTGTAACAAGTCCAATGGCTAGCAGAGGCTGAATTCAGAAGCAATAAGGGAACCAAAAGAGCATAGGGAATGATCATTGTGAATAATGCTAAGGATGAGTACTAGATGTGTTGAATAGAAAAAAAATAAAACAAAAGTATTAATAAAATAGGAAGTCATTTTTAAAAAGGGGCAGTTATGAATGCGAACATATGTTTAATTATAATACGAAAGTTCAATAATATAGTCTTACAAGGATCTGGTCAAGGGATGTGGACGTCCTTGCTAGGGGTCTAAGGTGCTCTGGCGAAGGTCCGGTGTGGGAGATTGTTCTTGTAATGGCTCTGTGAAAGAGATTGTCTGTGTGACAACCTCTGTGAGGAAATAGAAGGGTATTTATACATTTTCCAGGAACTTGTCAGATCATAACACAGGTACAAGTAAGGGCTAAACTGCTGGATATATGGTACGCAATATAGTTGTGCTACGGGTCGGAGATGATTTTTTGTTGTGCAACCCCAATACCGCTTTTCCAGTTGACTATGGGTACGCAGTTGAGGTGTTAGGTAAATAATACACAATTGGATTGGGCTGCTCTGTATGGACAGAGAAGTATACAGGTGATAAAGTAGGGATAAAGGCGCAGGTCCGCACACCACGCCCATGAGGTATTTATTGATGTTGTTATTAAAGTCATATCAAAAAATATAACCACGCGTCTCTATAAGAACAGATGTTTTTACAGAGCGCATGTAGAATGCATGTTGTTACACACGCGAGATGCAGAGGTACAAAAAAATTATTTTTGTATGAAATATGCAGAACAAATGTGAGCTGAGTCATTGGCAATCTACACACCAATGATTCGCCCATTTCAGAGGGTCAAGCTTGTCGCTCTTTTGGTTAGTCCTTTTCAATTATTAGAATTTTGTTAAGTAAACCATTTATATTTGAAAGAGTCAAGCCAAAAAGAGCGACAAGCTTGACCCTGCTGCATGGTCGACGGATAACTCACGATTACGGAAAAGAGTGGGAAATGGGCGAGGTGCGAAACAGAGTTGGAGTAGGATTTCAAGTATTTCAAGCGTCAATGTTCACAATTACACAAACCTCAAAGGCATTTTCTTTTCCCTCACAAACCAAGGGCTGATGGTCAACGCCCAGTTTTGATGGGACGGTCTTAATAATATTCATATTACCCAGCTCTTGATACAAGTTACTATCCACCACAGGCACCTGTAGGTTCGAGACCTCTTACCCAATTGTGGCCACTTCCGAGCAACTACGGCAGTCAAATACACACTTCTTTCACTGTCGAGGTGAGGATATTTATCCAAAAGGGAAAAGAGGGAAAATGGTTGTTCAATATTGATTTCGTCAACATCCTGCTGAAACAACGATTCGACTGCTGTATTACTGAATATCGTTTAGAAATGATCCGGTTAATTATTCTTTTGAAGTAAAGCAGATACAAACACGACAACCCATTTTGCTTACAGATATTTATTGAATCAGATTTACATGATGAAAGCAAGCACCTCTTCCTAAAGGAATATATAGGACAAGAGTCATGAATAAGAGACGTATGTAACATAATGATCGATATAATTGAACGACATTTGTCGCCCTAGAAAAGGCTTAGTTTATTTATTTGTTTATTTGTTACGAAACTTTAACTATAGCGACATATCCTAGGGTTCATACCTCTTAAAGAGCTTGGAATGGCAATACACTAGCCTGGTATCAATGCGGCGCACTACCACTCAGAAATTCTCATCATCAGTGCTTTCTGATATGGTGTATTAAGGGCGCACCAGGATACCTTAGTATTAGAATACACCATACCGCTACTTGTAGGTCAGTAGCGCATCGCGCTTGTCAAGCCCACCAGTGAAAAAATATCTAGGCTTTGGCACATTGGTGAAAAAAAATGCATCAGCGAAAATCACTGCAGCCAATCGGGCCCATATGATGCTGCAGGAGCCCCTATGGCCATAAGAGCATGTATGAACAGGAGTAGGCACAGCTAGCTGCCTAAGATAGTGCTGAAGGTGTCTTTCATATTTTTTTTTTTTTTTTTTTTTTTAATAAATGAATGTGATCTACGAGGATTCGTATCTGATAATAATCATCGTATGCTGACTAACGGGGAGTGGTGCCCCTTTTTTTGCGACCTTGAGTTGTATAAATGCATCCCTCACCAATTGGACCCGGAATCTTACATCATTTAACCACTTTTCATTTTAGTAAAGTCTTGATCGTCATGAGAAATCCACACTCGCTTTTATTTTTCTTCTTTTATCAAATTACTTGTTTATTTGCTACGAGTCTACTCAACAGTGTAATAAGAAAAGTTGGTGTTCCCATTCACTCACTTATATCTGTTTAGCCACATGACTGGAGAACAGCAGTGGTGGTGATCCTGCTCTTGTCCAGCTATAAACATTATCTAAAGATGATATAGGAGGCAGAGGGGTAAAAAAATAGGAAAATGGTCAATTGACTGAAGTCAAAGCATAACCGTGCAACTTCCTTGATGCTGTTAACCCACACAGACGGTGAATATAACCGCAGTTTAGAGTAGACTTATGTTCACCATAGCCATCATTCCTTAATAAAAGAAAGACAGTATCGATTGCAGCGCGGTGCTCCTATTCGAACCATTCGAATAGATATCTAAATTCGATTCATTCGATTCATTCGAACCATTCGATACTCGAGCCATTCAATACTCGAATCGAACCATTCACGTCATTCGAATCGATCCAGGATAGCTTATTCGAATCGAATAGGAGCACTGATCTAGCCACAGGGCTGACTGTGGTGCTTTCTAGGTGAGGTGGACTCGCCTGTAGCTTAAAAGGCTTTAAGATTCCTTTAGCTTGTCCTAATTAGTAGATACAAAATAATAAAATAACTATTAATGACCAGTCACAACAAATCCTCCCACGTGACTGATACATTCACCCAATGGATACGCTTTATTCGACGATCTTCGTATTTCTGTGTACGCCGCAGATATAGTATTATTTGGAAGTAGTGGCCATGAATCCAGAGGCCGTGTTTCGAGTGTTTCAATTAAGAGGACTGGCATGGGGCTCCCCACATTGTCCCACGAACACAGGCATTTGTTGATCGAAGCATTGACTGTTGCACGGCATTAAAAAACAAAGAGTCAATCTCCCTAAGATAATTGATGACAGCCTTTAGGATGGATAGTTCGTTTATAACCACAAGAACTTGGGCTCCAAGCATCTAGATTCGACCCAATGCAGCCTCCACTAATTGCGCCTGATATTCAAGAATAAAATCCTTATCACCAATAACAAACCAGTGGAATAAAAACCCAAAAATCTCATCCATGCTAAAGTACGATTTGATTTCATCAGGTGTTTCTTCATCTTGGCATTGACTCTTGTAAGTTCGTGAATGATATTGCCAGGCAGGAGGCTTTGTCAGTTTCTGGCTATTATCAGGAATGGTATCTCCGTAACCATGCTGGTGACAAGGTCACTCTTTCTCCTCGCGGATACCACCAGCGATACCTCTCGTTGAGCCGATCTGATGGCAAAGAGTATGCTTACTTGGCTGTTAGTGGCACTAGCCAGAAGTGGACGCTCGAAAAGGCTGATGACGGCAAGTACAAGATCGTGTACCCAGTGAAGGTCCATGGCAAGTGGCTCAATGTCGATGTCACTCCTGACACTGTATATCCCAAGCGCATTGCTCTTCTCCCTGATGGCAATCCCAGAGGCAAGCAACCTTGGAACTTCACTCCTGTCCACTAGAGGCGAGTCCCTGACATCCCTTTTAAACTAAATGAAACCCTCAAAGGCCTTGTCCTAGATATTGAGGATAGTCTCGCTGCTGTTATAGTATTAAGTGTTTGAAAAAAAATAGAAATGAAAGTATGAACATAAAGGCAATAAAGCGATCAGATAGACCCTTTGTGCATTATACAGGATTCCCATGGAGTAAATAGTAAATATGCGACAATACAAAAAGGTCGTCTTACAAAGCGGAATCTGAGCAAGACTTGAAAACAATAAGCTCCTTTATCTGTAACTTTCATTTGCATTGGTACATATGACTTGAGGTAACTAGGAACACATGGACGCCAAGATGTAAAGTAAGCAATTTTACCGAGCACTGCTGACCTGCTGTGATCTATGGACCCACAACTGGTTTTAATAGCCTTCCCAGCCAACTCGACTCCTGAGCAGGATAAAGGTAGCTTTCTGACTCCTTTTCATCTGGGAAACTCGAGTACAAAAAGAAAGGGGTTCTTTCCGAAGAAGAGAGAGTCCTCTCCTTTTTGCTTGCAGATGTTATCCTAAGTTACCATTACTGCTACAGCCAAAGTCAGGGTGTCATTGGAGGCTTAGTGAGAATGTCCATAGTCCTCTCCTTTAAAGCCATGGGGATTGTCCTTCACTCCTGCAGGCATGAATGAGTACATTTTTCATGATACATCGATGATTGAGTATACCTGCAAAACCTGTCTGTGATTGTCTGTGCAGGTTCTCCTGAATTCAGGCGGTGCATGTAAAATGAAGTCACAACTCAGCTCATGTCTAAGCTACTATGGTGATGGCACTCTTGTTCCTGTCTTGGTCAATGTCATGGCGGCACTCCTTCTTTTACCTTGATTTCTAGCAAAAGATGGTGGTTTTTAAATTTTATTTTTATTTTTGAAAATGAGCTAGCCATTTTAAAGTAATGTTTCTGTTATAAACACAAGTAGAAATGTGCTACCTTGGGAGAAAATAGAGGTGACATCACTAGGAGAGTCTAAGGATATTTTCCTTTTTTTTTTTATCTGTAGTCTGACACTCAACGAGCACCTCATATTAACAATATTATAAAAAAAATAAATAAAAAAAAAACTCTCAATATTTTCTACTATGACCATTGCCACGTTTAGTAACTTCTGGCAATTTATAGAACGCCGTACAGATCTCGCTTTATATACTTGACACTGTTGCCTAAATGGTATGACGACTTGTGAAGCTGATCGCATCCAACTATGACAAGCAAGTCAATAAATAAGATAGTGGCCTCTCAGTAATAGGAAGAAAAAAAAAGCTAGAAATAGTAACTGGTCTCAACAACCAACGAGTTCTGTAAGAAAAGAGAAACCTATTGAGGCACAGATATTTAAGGTGAGGCGGCGTAGTCTAAAAATAAGCTAACTGTCGGTAACAATGAGGTCTTTGCGCTCAGATCAATTGTTTCACACAAAAAGCTTATGCTTTATGTTTTGGCCGTTGCTTTGGGCATATGGACCGAAAAAAAAAAAAAAAAAAAAAAGTAAATGTCAATAAAGGGACGCCGTGTCAGAAATGCATGTCAGCTTGCTGAAGGCGTTGACTTTGCGTTAAATTTAGATAAAGGAGGGACCATTCATCATTTGGATTGATTCGTGATTTCTTTTTGCATGCCGTGTGTTATGTGTAACATACCACGCGCTGTTGCAGCTCTACGCCAAGGGTTCCTCGTACAGCATTACACATAAAAAAAAACATATAAAAGCAAAGTTTACCTCCGTTCAACAACATTCCTCAATCCCCTAACACACATTCAATTCTGCCTCCCTCAAGTCTATCTAATCTTAAGGTGAGCATAGGCTTTTGAGTTATATTTCGTATGCCATTATTTTTGTCATAAAAGTATCCATTCAGTTTATTCCTCCCTACTCACTAAGACTACATCTAATGTATAGTATGCACCAAGTCGCCGTCTTATTGATTGCGATCCTTGCGATCATTAGTGTTGCCATCGCGGAGCCTTTGCTTCAAGATGGTTACTACCGCATTTATAAAGGAACCTTCCACGTGCCCGCCAGAAACCGCTACTTCACTGCTTATCCAGATGCTAGAACTGGCTCCGTGAGGCTTGAGCTCAAAGATGAAGGCAAACTTCAAGTGTGGCGGCTTCGCAACCATAGCAAAGGCCGAGTGTCCCTTGAGGTCTATGATAAGGATGCAGATGAGAGGAAATACCTCTCGGAAGGAAGATCTGGCGCCCTTCCAGGAGCACATCTGGGCGTTACTGAAGAGCGACAAAGGTGGTTCATTACTAAGGTTGGAGTAAGCTCTTACACCAGATATATGCTCACCCATCCGAGAAAGTTCGATAACCAGACACTTGTTGTCAGCGAGAGCGGCTCCGACGAAGATAAAATAAATTTCGTTTCTTTTAGGTATGAAGGCCAAGAAGGCTACACCCAGGCGTGGAAATTTGCGAAAGTCAACATTAACGACAGTGAAGGCGACAAGCACAACGACGACGAAGATGATAAGTAAATAGTCGAAAGTTCAGGCCAAGTTCTCAGTCCAGCTTCAGTTCAGCTTCGAAGGCAATTCTTCCGTAACGCAGATGTTTGTACTCTCAATTCTATTAATTAAATAAAATATATATATACTATAAAAAAAAAAAAAGAAAAAAAAACTGTCCTTGTTGAGATAACCCCTCGTGCCCACTCCTTTACAATGCAAAGGCTAAACAGTAAATGGAGGAAACCACACTAGTAGAGAGATGTTGATCCAGGCCAAAGTGGTCGATTTATTTGGTGGTTAGTGTGAGACTATTTGATTTGGCAATGTCAATAAAAGGTGCTCCTTTTTTTTTAGATATTCCTGCACACTTTTCCCCTCTTAGACTTATCCTCAGCGCTACACCGCATATTGATCTTCTTCGTTGCACTGATTGCTTTTGAGCCGGTAGTCTTTGGCCGAGCTGCTTACTACCGTAAATATAACCAATGATGCCTCTCAGTCTGTCCCTCTTAGTGGATCTTGATGATAAGTTTCAAAAGGCTAGAGTTTTTGAACTTGAATGGATGACATTGGTAATGTCGTCATAGTGTGAATAGATGCCTCATGTGTGGCTAGGAAAGAGCATGCTTGTTTGTAGCTCCATGTTGCACCAAAGCTTCCTGTTAGCAACATACAATTCAACTACATCTTAAATACACATGCTGCTAGCACTATGAGGGCATTTGTCTGATACCCTCTACCTTGGTCGTTTTATTTAAAAATAAATCTTATGCCCACAATCAAGCACTGATCGAAATCGAAATCCAACAATCATTCTTCACTGTGCGAGAAAATCTATGCTTCCCATCAGGTGAATAAGGTACTTCATTGATCTTCATAACATGCTCTTCTAGCCTGTTTGTATGCAGTCCTATTTCTGATTCTCTATCTACCAGACTTACTGACTCACTATCACCTCCACCAATCATCTGTTGGCTATGTGGTGGACATGTGTTGGGCACATATAAATGTGTAGTCTCACTGTGATCCATACCAAGCTCGTTGTGCCCTGCATCTTGCACCTGCAAGCCTATATAACCAGAGCTATAACTGAATAATGTCCCCCGGCTGCCGGTTACGTATCCAATATTAACCTCGAGTAGTTTTCATGTATTTCTCCATATAGAAGATCCAATGATCCTGCTGCCTAGGCCCGGATCTTACCATTTTCATCATACGAAACAACTAAGTGACCACGAGGCAAAAAAACCACGTATACCACTATCATATGGTAGCCTCGTAAAGTATGGATGAGTCCCCTTGTTCATGTCCTTTACTTTATTCATCGAGCCAAAACGACAAATCTGTACTTTTTTATTATCGAATAGTAACATAACCTAGAGCCGCTCCCAAAACAGAAGTAAAAAGATAGCTAAGGAAACTACGTACATTTATAAGGTGCCATGTTATTCAATCTGGCCAGTAATAGTAATATTTCCAAGCTCATTGGAAAAAATGGATCTGGACCTGAGCGATACCATCAGAGTACTATAAATGCTCGTTGTGAAACATTTTTTATGAAATAGCCCTTCAGGTCTACTCATTTTTATGTGCTAATGAGAACTACATCCTGGGTTTTCAGTCAATTAGAAATGTATGATTGAGATTCTGTGATCTATGCACCCACAAGAAAATAAAAAAAAAAACTACTAAATTAGGTTAGCCAATGATTGGCCATAGTCAAAAGCTCATAGAGGGACGCGTTGTGGAAATTGTTGATTTCTAGGAGATACAAACGACGTCCCATGATAGCAATCAACAGTTGATGACATACCTTTTTAGTAGGTGAGAGGTTATAAATGATTCCTGAGCTGAGCGAGTGAATCTTCAGCCCCTAAGCTTCATAATCCTTTGCAGTCTTGGTAACTGCTGTTAGAAGTTGGAATACATCCATGAACTGTTTTATTCAAAAAATTAAAAAATTAAAAAATATAAATAAAAAGAGCGTAAAGCGAGAGAAAACTCCAGTCTATATCCTTATCATTACCTCCTTAGACGAATATAATCTGTTGGCATTGCTGGTGTTAGTGTTCAAAGATAGATTAACTAATGTTGAGAGAAATCTCATGGCTCAGAAGAAATACAACACGATATACCGAAAGCAATGCTTTGTTAACAACTACTACTGATCCACTTGAATGTACTTCTATTCAATACAAGATATTGAATCACTTGCACATGCTGGCCGAACATGTATAAAAAAGCAAGGATTTAGTTAATAAGCGCAAAGTGCAGTACACGTAAGAGTATAAGCCTTGATCTTAGGAATATGTGAATATCTTGGACTTGAAGCCTAAATTAGTGGCAATTTGCTAAATCAGTTTAGAGTTGGTTCCAGACCTTTTCCATTTACGCCTTACATCATGATTGCTGGGAAGTGAGATCTATGGACTGCAATAAAATGTCGCAAGGAGCAGGAAAATGAGGCAAGGGCAGATTTTATTAAGCATCAGTCACATGAGCTGATATTGGTAGGCTATGCTTCATTGTCAGTTGGCTATATTTATCTTTGGCATTGCCATTTGCCTCATAAGGACGAAGTCCCTTCCTTCCTGCGAATCAATGAACAGCAAAGCACACTTGCCCTGGCTGGATGGTTTTGAGTGCTTAGAATAAATCGTGTCAATTACGACTTAAGCCATAGATCCCTCTATCTCAAAAATAAAAAAGGGAATCGTATCTCAGTCCTTATATATTTTCGTTGTATTAGAGAAGCCTCACCTTTCTATGATGGGCTATGTCTGAGCCTCTTCGCGACTCTAGTGATTAGAAGCACACGATGGATGACAAGGTAAAAAGTATGAAGAAATAAAAATAAAAAAGAGAACAGGCACATGGATTGGCCCTCCTAAAAATAAAAATGCAAATTCATACCATAGACAATGAGGTGGCTGCGTTTAGATCAATGAAACATGGCCTATCTGCGAGATACATGATCGGGAGGAAGAGTAGACCGTTGGAAGGAAAGCATGAAAGAACAAAGGCACTTTAAACATCAGTCTCATTGGCTATAGTTGCGAGCTGCGCGTACTTACTTATCTAGAACCCCTGGGAGTAACTATCAGGTACGTAAAGCTGGCTGCGCGGCCATGTCAATCTAGACGTTACAAAGAAGACAAAATCCATATAAAAAGGACGGGTTCCTCAGAGCAATCCTCAATCATCAACCAACGCTCACAGCTCTTGCACTCTACCTGTCTTACCTACTTCTTTAGCCTCCTTCTCTAGCCTACTTCTTCAACTCAACCTTTTCAGGTAAGCCTTCTTACCTGATCCTGAGCACCGCTCTGACAGGGGTTTGTCGTTATATTTTCTTTTAACGGACTATATCTCATGCTAACGCTTTGCTATGTCTGCGACTATTGAATAGGATGTATCAACCACTCGCTTTCTTGGCTACAGCCCTCGCAATCGTTAACGTGGCCGTGGCTGCGCTTCTCCCTGATGGATACTACCGCATCTCCATCGATAACCGCTATATCACCACTAAAACAGGAGGCACCGGGTACTGGCCTGCCACTTACCAGGAGTCTCTGTCAGCTCCTGGTTATTATCAGGAATGGTATCTCCGTAACCATGCTGGTGACAAGGTCACTCTTTCTCCTCGCGGATACCACCAGCGATACCTCTCATTGAGCCGATCTGGTGCCAAGGAGTATGCTTACTTGGCTGTTAGTGGCACTAGCCAGAAGTGGACGCTCGAAAAGGCTGATGACGGCAAGTACAAGATCGTGTACCCAGTGAAGGTCCATGACAAGTGGCTCAATGTCGATGTCACTCCTGACACTGTATATCCCAAGCGCATTGCTCACCTCTCCGATGGCAATCCCAGAGGCAAGCAGCCTTGGAACTTCACTCCTGTCCACTAGAGGCGAGCCTCTGACATCCTTTTGAAACTAAAAAGAACCCTTCAAAAGCCTTGTCCTAGCTACCGAGAATAGTCTCACTACTGTTTTAGTATTGAGTTTAAAAATATAGAAAATGAAAGTATGAACACAAAAGCAATAAGCGGTCAGATATGGCTTTGTGCACTATGCAGAGTAAATAGTAAAGGCGCGACAAAAAAAAGAGATCATTTTACATATGAAATCTGAAGGAGAAATCAACAACCAAGACTCTTTAGCTGTAACTTTCATTTGCACTGATAATGACTTGAGGCAATGGGAATGCCAAGCTGTAAAATAGCGAGCAATTGATACGAGTGATACTGACCTGTTGTGATATATAAGCTCATGACTGGTCTTAGCAGCATCCTAGGACAACTTGGCTTTTGAGCGGGATAAAGGTGGCTTTTTGATTTCTTTTTACCTGGGAGGCTCGAGTACAGAAAGAAAGGGGTTCTTTCCGAAGAAGAGAGATTCCCATCCCTTTTTGCTTGCAGATGTGACTCTAGGTTATCATTACTGCTACAGCCAAGTCAGGATGTCATTGGAGGCATAGCTCTCTCCTTTAAAGTCATGGGGATTTTCCTTCATTCCTGTCCAGGCATGAATGAATACATTTTTCACAAAACCTGTCTGTGATTGTCTGTGCGGTCCTCCTGAATTTAGGCGATACATGCAAAGTCACAGCTCAGTTCATATCTGTGGTAATGGCACTCTTGCTCCTGTCTTGGCCCTTATAGCTCCATATCAATGCCATTCCGGTACTCCTTTTTTTGCCTCAATTTTTAGCAAAAGATGGGGAGATAGTGGTTTTTTTTTTTTTTTTTTTTTTTCTTCATTTTCAGAATGGGCAAGCCGAGACATTGGTTTAAAAGTTTACAATTTTTAAAATAATGCTACCATCATAAGTGCATGTAGAATTGCGCTATCTTGCACATTGATTGGAAATGGATGACATTATTAGGAGGGTCTGAGAGTCTTTTCTTTTTTTTTTTCTTTTTTTCTTTTTTTCTATAGCCTGAGTTACAATGAGCGCTTCATGCTGCCGAGTCGATTTTATTGCCAATAATAATATCAATAATAAAAAGCTCCCAATATTACTCTATTATAGCCGCTGCCACGTTTAGTAGTATCCGAAAAAAAAATTGGACAATTCATAGAGCCCCGTTGCAGATCTCTTTTATATAATTGGTGCTATTGCCCAAACGGAGTGACGTGAGAGAGACTTGTGAAACTGATTACAGCTAGCTGTGGCAAACGGATGGATAAATTAGATAAATATAATAGGGGTCTCTCAGTACAATAAGAAAAAAACAACCAATCACAAAGTGTGCGAGCATAGATTAGCCTCAACAATCAATAGGTCCTGTAAGAAAAGAGAAGACTATTGAATCAATCAGATGTTGGTGGCGGTAGGAATCTGGTTGAGATGAGAGACGGCGTATGCTAAAAATAAGCCAACCCTCGGTAACAATGAGGTCTTCGCGTTCAAATCAATTGTTTCACACAGAAAGCTTGCGATTTGAGGAGTTTGGCAGCTGCTTCAAGCATAACCGGGAAATAAAAAACAGCGAAGAAAAAAAGGGAAATATCAATAAAGGGGTGCCGTATCAACAATGCATGCCAATTGGCCAAATATGTTGACCTTCGTTAAATTTAGAAGTAGGAGAGTCACTCTTCATTTTGTCAGATTTATTTGCGACTTCCCTTTTTGCATGCCATGCACTATTTGTCATATACCACGCGCTGCAGCTCTACGCCAAGAGTACCTAAATCGTATATAAAAGCAAAGCTTTTCTTCGCTCACCAACATCTCTCTACCTCTCTCACGCACTCAAGTCTGCCTTACTCTCTCAAGCCTACACTCTAGTCTGCCCTACACAACTATTTCCTAAGTTTACCCTACCTCAAGGTGAGAATAAATATTTTGTATGCTTTTACATTTATCATGAATGCAGTGCTCACTAAGTCTGTGCTCAACGGATAGTATGCATCAAGCTACCGTCTTATTGGTTGCGATCCTCGCAGCCATCAGTGTGGCCATTGCAGAGCCTTTGCTTCCTAACGGTTACTATCGTATCTTCAAAGGGTACTATCGCTTGCCCGCCAGGAACCGTTACTTCACTGCTTATCCAGACGCTAGGTCTGGTTCCGTGAAGATTGAGCTTAACAATGAAGATAAGCTTCAAGTGTGGCGACTCCGCAACCATAGCAAAGACCAGGTGTCTCTTGAAGTCTATGATGAAGATGCAGATGAGAGCAAATACCTCTCGGAAGGAAGATCCGGAGCCCTTCCATCAGCAAGCCTGGGTGTTACTAAGACTCGTCAAAAGTGGTTCATTTCCAGAGTGGGAAGAGGCAGATACATCAGATATAAGCTCACTCACCCGAGAAAGTTCCGTAACCAGACACTTGTTGTCAGTGAGAGCAACACTTTTGAGGAGAATGATGACAAAATGAACTGGGTTTCTTTCAAGTATGAAAGCCAAACTAACTACACTCTGGCCTGGAGATTTGCGAGAGTCTACCCCGACGACGACGAAGACGAAGAAGACAAGCATAACGGCGACGGTGACATGAACAACGGTGAGGACGACATGAACAACGGTGAGGACGACATGAACAACGGTGAGGACGACATGAACAACGGTGAGGACGACATGAACAACGGTGAGGACGACATGAACAACGGTGATGACGACCAACACAACGGCGATGGTGAAGACGACAAGTAAGTAGGCGAAGATTCAAGCCAGGCCCTCAGTTCAGCTTCGGTTCATCTGCGAAGGCAATTCTTTCCACATTGCAGATATCTATAACCTCTTGTTTCTATTAAATAAAACTATAAAAAAAAAAAAAAAAAAAAAAAAAAACTCACCACTTTGTTGAGGTGACAACACTTGCTCCTTCCTATAGGACACAAAGGCTTAACGGCAAACGGAGAGAGCCACACTAGTAGCAAAATGATGATGGTTTATGCCACAATGGCCGGATTACTTGGCGGTTACTGTGAAACTATTTGGCTTGTGCAGTGTCAATAAGAGAAGGCGCCTCCTTTTTTCCTTTAGATAGTTTGCTACTTTAAGCTTATCGTCAGTGCCATGCTACATATTGACTCTCTTCGTTGCATTAATTGTTTATGCGCCGGTGGTCTTAGACCAGATCGCTTATTACCATCGATATAGTCATCGGCCCCCCTACTCAATAGCACCTTTTCTCATATTACTGCTTCCGATGGGCCTTGGCGATGTCCCATTTGGCTAGGGTCTGCGGACTCAGATGGATGTCATTGGTAGTGTCACCAAAGTGCAAATGGATACTCCATGCGCGACTAGATAAAGAACACGCCTGCTTGTAGGTCCGTGTTGCACCAAAAGCTTCGTGTTAGCGACACACAACTCAACCACATCTTGAATAGACATGTTGCTAGCACTACGAGCCATCTGTCTGATGCCCTCAACCTTGGTTGCGTCGTTTAAAAAAATAAATCTCATTGCCCCTGAGGGCCCTTGTAATCAAAAGGCATGGTTTATTAGGTTGTGCAGCCACTTCGGGCATTACTTGTTGCTCTCCTGCACAATGAAATACAGCTGAATAGAAGTATAGCTAGGTCGTGTAGCCAGAATGCAGCCTTCCTCCGAAGCACTCCATGAAAACGTTTCAATATATAGATCTGTGGACGGGGCAACTAACAAGCACTGACCAAACTCTAGATTCTACAATCGTTCTTCGCTGTGTGAGATGATATACTTTTCGCCGTGGCAGTATAAGACACTTCCTTAAAATAGAAGAAGTAAAAATGGTGACAAAGAAAGAGGAGGACATTTATATACGGCCATGATCCTCCGATATTAAGCCAAAGCTGTAGTTTTGCTCAACCTAGTTAGTTATAGCAATATCTCCGAATTCCTTGGACAAAATGGATCTTGACCGAAAGGAACGGTCCGACGTATCTGAGCGATATCATCAAAGTGCTGTAAATGTTCGATGCGAAACATTTTCTTTGAAGCAACCCTTCAGACCTACTCACTTTTATGCGCTAACAATAACTGCATCCGAGATATTCAGTCAGTCAGAAATGTACGATTTGTGGTAATGAAAGTTGACAATGTTCTAAATCAGCTTGATTTTCTATTAACAGTACTTTGATCAGGCAACAACGAGTTAACTTTGACAATACATATGTTCTAGGCCTGAAGCTAAAGGTTCGTGATATCCATGCTCTTATCAGTACCCGAGCGAGACCCTGCATCAATAGGTATGAAAACACTTGTAGTTGACCAAGCTCTTCACAGCGAGCTTTTTATTTATTTATTTATTTTTACCTGGTAAAGCCCAATCATACCCTTCTCTTGATCTAGTTTTGAAAACGAGATCTGAATCTCATCTACTGCCTTGGACATATCCTCCAAAACTTCGTCGGGGTTACTACCAATCTTGATTACTATTAAGGGTGTTGTGTCCTCATTGATTCTAAAGCGCTTCAGAAATTCTGCGATCTATGCATTCCAAGAGAGCACAAGAAAAAAAGATATTAAATTAGGTTAGCCAATGATTGGCCATAGTCAAAAGCTTATAGAGGGACGCGTTGTGGAAATTGTTGATTTCTAGGAGATACAAATGACGTCCCATGATAACAATGAACAGTTGATGACATACGTTTTTAGTAGGTGAGAGATTATAAAGATTTTTGAACTGAGGGATTGAGTACTCAATTTTCCAGCCTCATAATCCTTTGCAGCCTTGGTAGCCGCTGTTAGAGGTTGGAATACATTCATGAACTGTTTTATTCAGATGAGATAAATAAAAAAGTAAAAATAAAAATAGTGTCCTTATCATTACCTCCTTAGACGAATACATCTGTTGACATTGCTAGTGCTAGTGTTCAAAGGTCGACTAATTAATGTTAAGATGTTAAGGGGGGAAATCTCATGGCTCGGAAGAAATAGAGCATAATATACCGAAAGTAATGCTTTGTTAACGGCTACTACTACTTCCATTAAAAAGAGGTTATTGATTAACTTGCACATGTTTGCTGAGCGCATATAAAAAAGTAGTGACCTATTCAATAAGTAAAAATACAGGACATGTATACGTTTTTTTTTTATTTTATTTTATTTTATTTTTTTTTAGTTAGAGAATCTATGCTTGAGTCATAGTTGGCACGAGATATTTTAGGTACTCAAAACCATCCAGTCAGGAGGAGTGCAGCTTACTGTTCATTGATTGGCAAGAAGGAAAGGACTTCGCATTGACCTTGTGAGGCAAAGGGCAGTGCTAAAGGCAAATATAAAGCATAGCCTATCAATACCAACTCATTTGACTGGTGGTCAAGTTTCTGTGATCTATTGCGACATTTTATTGGAACCTACAGGTTCCACTCCGCATGCTTTCAAGCAATTGTGATGTAGGGCGTTAAAAAGAAAGGCCTGGAACCAAACTCTAAACTGATTTAGCACATTGCCACTAATTTAGACTTCAAGTCCAAAATATCCACATGTTCCTTGGGTCAAGGCTTATACTCTTCTCAGTTCTTATATATTTTCGTTGTATTAGAGAAGTCTCAGCTTCCTATGATGGGCTATGTCTGGGCCTCTTCGCGACTCTAGTGATTAGAAGCACACGATGGATGACAAAGCAAAAAGTATGAAGAAATAAAAATAAAAAAGAGAACAGGCACATGGATTGGCCCTCCTAAAAATAAAAATGCAAATTCATACCATAGACAATGAGGTGGCTGCGTTTAGATCAATGAAACATGGCCTATCTTTGAGATACATGACCGCGAGGAAAAGTAGACCGTCGAAGGAAAGGAAAAAAGAAAGACACTTTAAACATCAATCTCATTGGCTATAGTTGCGAGCTGCGCGTACTTATGCGTCTAGAACCCCTGAGAGTAACTACCAGGTAACACTAAGCTGGCTGCGCGATCATATCAATCTAGACGTTACAAAGAAGACAAAATCCATATAAAAAAGGCGGGTTCCTCAGAGCAATTCTCAACCATCAACCAACGCTCGCAGCTCTTGCACTCTACTTACCTTACCTACTTCCCCAGTCTTCTTCTAGCTTACTCCAACTCAGCTCCCTCAGGTAAGCCTCCTATCCTAATTCTAAGTACCACGCTGACAGGGTTGCTTCTTTTCTTTTTTTTTTTTTTTTTTTTTTTTTTTTTTTAAGCAGACTATATCTCTTGTTAACGCTTTGCTATGTCTGTGGCTATTGAATAGGATGCATCAACCACTCACTTTCTTGGTTGCAATCCTTGCAATTGTCAACGTGGCCATGGCCGCGCTTCTTCCTAATGGATACTACCGGATCTCGATCGCCAACCGCTATATCACCACTAAAACGGGAAGTGCCGGGTTCTGGCCTGCCACTTACCAGGCGTCCCTGCCAACTCCTGGCTACCATCAAGTATGGTACCTTCGTAACTATGCCGGTAACAAGATCACTCTTTCTACTCGCGGACACCAGCCGCGATATCTTTCTTTGAGCCCACTTGGTGCCAGGGAGTATGCCTACTTGGCTGTTAGCGGCACTAGCCAGAGGTGGACGCTCGAAAAGGCTGGCGACAAGTACAAGATCGTGTACCCAGTGAAGGTCCATGGCAAGTGGCTCAATGTCGATGTCAGCCCTAACGCTCTACTTCCCAAGCGCATTGCTCTTCTTTCTGAGGGCAATCCCAGAGCTAAGCAGCCTTGGAACATTACTCGTGTTCACTAAAGGCGAGCGTCTGACATCCTTTTGAAATCAAAAGGAGATCTTTAAAGCCTTGTCCTATGTATCGAGAATAGTCTTGGTTCTATTTTAGTATTTAGTTTGAAAATATGGAAAATGAAAGTATGGAAATAAAAGCGATAATCAGTCAGACAAGTCTTTGGGCACTAGAGAGAGTATCAATGGAGTAAACAGGGAAGACGCGACAAAAAAAAAAAAAAAAAAAAAAAAAGGAAATCGTTTTGCAAAGTGAAATCTGAAGGAGGCATGAAATCAACAATCAAGGTTCTTATCCCTAACTCTTACTTGCACACTGATGCTAGATACTTGAGGCAGTTGAACTGTCAGGGCGTAAAATAGTAAGCAATTAATGCGAGTGATGCTGACCTGCTATGATATATAGGTTCATGACTGACCTTAATAGCGTCCTTGGGCAATTTGGTTTTTGAGCAGGATAAAAGTGACTTTTGGTTCACTTCTGTTTGAGAGGCTCGAGTACAAAAAAAAGCCCCTTCCCGATGTAACCCTAGGTTATCGTTACTGCTACAGTCAAAACTAGGGTGTCATTGGAGGGCTTAGTGAGAATGTCCTAACTCTCTCCTTTAAAGCCATAGAGACCTCCCTCATTCTTGTTCAGACATGAAATACATTTTTCATAAGACACATCAATGACTGAGTATGCCTGCAAAGTCTGTCTGTGCGAGCCCTGAATTTAGCCAATGCAGGGAAAATGAAGTCACAGCTTAATTATACCTGTGGTAATGGCCACTCTTGTTCCTGTCTGACCCTTGTAATTCCATGTCAACGCCATGTCCCTGCTCCTTATTCTAGCAAAAGATGGAGAAACGGCAATTATTTTATTCTTAATGTTGAAAGTGAGCTTGCCAAGACACTAGTTTAAAAGATCGTTAGTGATGATGCCAATTGTTGTAAATAAAACAACAGTACCGTACATGTACTATTATGAACGGAAGTAGAAGTGTGTTAATTGGGACCTTACTAGGAATAGGAAATAGGAATGGAAAAAAAAAGAAAAAAAGGAGATGACATCATTAGGAGGAACTCAGGATCTTTTCTTTTCCTTTTTTTCTTTTCTTTTCTACAGCCTGAGTCACAACGAGTACTCCATATCGCCACTGCTTCCGTCGTATCAAAAAATATATATCAATAAAGTAATAAAAGTGCTCTCAATACATGTTATCACATTTTGACCGTCGCCACATTTAAGAAAAATTGGACGAAATCACTGGGTACACAAAAGCCCTGTTGCAGATTTCCCGTTGCTTGGTGCTGTTGTTCCAATGGAGTGTGTGGGAGAGACTTCTGAAGGTGATCACTGCTTACTGTGGCAAGCGAATCGGTGAATAAAAGGCAAATAGGATCCCTCGGTAAAGTAAGACAGAGAAGACTAAACACAAAATCTACGAGCACAAGTGGTTCGTCTCAAAAATCAATGAGTTCCTGTAAGAAAAAAAGAGAAGACTATTGAGAAAAACAGATATTTATTGGTGGCGGTAGGGTTGGAGATGGTTTCCCTATTTGCGATTTAGCTTGAGTTCAATTAAGGTAAGAGATGGCGTAGTCTAAAAATAACAGAAAAGAAAGGAAAAAAAAAAAAACGCCAACCCTCGGTAACAATGAGGTCTTTGCGTTCAGATCGGTTGTTTCACACAGAATGTTTATATTTTGAGATGTTTTTGGCCGTTGGTTTAGGACATACGAATCAAAGAAAGAAAAAAAAAAGAAATGTCAACAGAGGGACGCCGTGTTTGCAATGCATATTAATTGACCAAATGCACCAACCTTGCGTGATCTCTGCATTTTCTTGTACAAACGCTGTATTAAATTTAGACCATTCTTCACTCGGATTGATTCGCGATTTCTTTTTTGCATGCCGTGTGTTATGTGTAACATACCAACATACCACGCGCTGTTGCAGCTCTACGCCAAGGGTTCCTCGTACAATATTACACATGAGAAAAAAAAAAAAAAAAACATATATAAAAGCAAAGCTTACCCCCGTCCAACAACATACCTCTATCCCTCATACACATTCAATTCTGCCCCACTTCTTCAAGTCGACCTTATCTCAAGGTGAGAATAATCTTTTGGATACTATCTCGTATGCCATTATTTTTGTCATAAGAGTATCCATTCAATCTATTCCTCTGTACTCACAAAGCCTATGTCTAATGAATAGTATGCACCAAGTCGCCGTCTTATTGATTGCGATCCTTGCGATCATTAGTGTTGCCATCGCGGAGCCTTTGCTTCCCAATGGCTACTACCGCATTTTCAAAGGAAATCAGCATGTACCCTCCCGAAACCGCTACTTCACTGCTTATCCAGATGCTAGAACTGGCTCCGTGAGGATTGAGCCCAAAGATGAAGCTAAACTTCAAGTATGGCAACTTCGCAACCATAGCAAAGGGCAGGTGTCTCTTCAAATTTATGACAAGAACGCAGATAAGAGAAAATACCTCTCGGAAGGAAGATCTGGGGCTCTTCCAGGAGCATCTCTTGGTGTTACTGAAAAGCCGCAAAGGTGGTTCATTACCAGGATTGCAGGCGGTCCTTTCACCAGGCACGTCCTCGCTCACCCAAGAAAGGTCAATAACCAGACACTTGTTGTCAGCGAGAGCAACTCCAATGAGGAAGAAGGTAAAATAAACTGGGTTTCTTTTAGGTATGAAGGCCAAGAAGGCTACATCAAGGGCTGGAAGTTTGCAAGAGTCTACCCAGAAGAAGAACCCAGCGAGTAGACGGTCGAGGGTCCAGGCCAAGCTCGCAGCTCAGCTTCGAAGACAATTCTTTCCTCAGCATAAAAACGTAGCCTATCATTCCTATTAAAAAAAAAAAAAAAAAAAAAAAAAGAGTAATCTTGTCCCTGTCGAGATAATACACGTACCTACTCTTATACAATGCAAAGGCTTTACAGCAAATGGAGGAAGCCACACTAGTAGAGGGATGATGGTGCAGGCCGAAATGGTCACTTGGTGGCTCCTGTGAGATTATTTAATTTAAACCTTATTCTCAGCGCCATGAACTTCTTCGTTGCATTAATTGAAATTGTTTTCACGCCTATATATAACTACAGCTTCAAATAAATGGCGTCCTTGGGTGTTGGATGCGTATTCAATATAAAGTCGAGTAGTTCTTCATATCTCCATAGTGGAGATCCAATAGTCGAGTTTTCTAGACTTGGGACCTATTATTTTCATCATATAAAACAATCAAGCAGTACCATTCGAAGCGAAAATATCACGCACATCATCATCGTTTGGTGGTTTCATAAAGTGTGGATGCGCCCTCCTGTTCCTGCTTCATCGAGTCAAGATGGGTATGTAATGTTATAGTACTGAAATATAGAACAACTCTCAAAATAGAAAAAGTAGAGTCCGTGGCAAAGAGCATGGAAGACATTTTTATATGGCCCTGACCCTCGAATAACAAGTTTTGATGGTAGTACTATTCGACCTGGCCATTCTATCCTTTCTATAACAATATTTCCAAACCCTTTGAACAAAATGGAGATTGGCCCGGAGGCGACGGTCCGACGTGTCAAGCTCGGAGTGATATCATCAAGGTGTTGTAAATGCTTGATGTGAAACACTTTTTATGAAGCAACCCCTCAGATCTACTTACTTTTATGTGCTAACAAAAACTATATCCTGGATATTCAATAGGTTAGAAATGTACGGTTTGTGATAATGAAAGTTGGCAATATTCTAGATCAGTGTGATGCTATATCAACAATACTTTGATCAGGAAACAGCGAGTTAATTGGGACGATACACATGATCTAAGCTCAGACAAAAGCTTTTAATGTTCATACTCTTGTCAGTACCGAAGCTAAAGGCCCTGCGCTAATAAGGATGAAATACATCTTTGAATGAACGAGTCCTTCATAGCGAACTCTTTCATTTTTCTTTTTCTTTTTTTTTTTTTTTGAGGCCATGATTAAAGCTTTATTCTTTTATCACTATTGAATATTCTTCATTGCCATTGCTCCGATTATCCAGTTCAAAATATCCTTATGCTCTGTCACCTTGGGATCAATTTTGTAGTACTAGATGAAGAGAATCATGACAGATTCCGTTAGCTAAATTGCATGAGCCCATAAAGCGCGATAAGTCTAATTAATACACGCCTTTTTTTTTTTTTTTTTTTTTTTTTTTTTTACCTGGCGAAGCCTAACCATATCCTTCTCTTGATCTAGTTTTGAAAACGAGATCAGAATCCCATCTACTGTCTTGGACATATCCTCCAAAACTTCGTCGGGGTTGCCACCAATCTTGACTGCTATTAAGGACGTTGTGTCTTCATTGATTCCAAAGCGTTTCAGAGATTCTGCGATCTATGCATTCCAAGAGAGCACAAGAAAAAGGGAAAAAAAAAAAAAAAAAAAAAAGAAATTACTAAATTATGTTAGCCAATGATAGACCTTAGTCAAAAGCTCATCGAGGGACGCGTTGTGGAAATTGTTGATTTCTAGGAGATACAAATGACGTCCCATGATAACAATGAGCATTTGATGACATACGTTTCTAGTAGGTGAGAGGTTATAAATGATTTCTGAACTGAGTGATTGAGTACTCAATTTCCCAGCCTCATGATCCTTTGCAGCCTTGGTAGCTGCTGTTAGAAGCTGGAATACATCCATGATCTGTTTTATTCGAAAGAAAAAAAGAAAAAAAGAAATAAGAATTTAATTTCAGCAGTAAATGTCAAACAAGTTAGATCGAAACGATAAAAAGGAATGTTTTGAAACTGAACTCAACAGTAAAAAGTATAAAAAAATAATAATAATATCATTACCAAATTCGATTCAACCATAGCGAAGGTCAACGTCTTATCCTGAGCTTGGAGGCGCTCCTTGAGCTCAGGTGCATTTTTAACGGACGTGAAGCAAGCCATATGAACCTCACCAGTTCCAGGTACTGCTTCAAGAGGATAGGACTCCATTTTTATAAACAAAAATAAGGTATCGGGGGTAGTTTAGTGGTGAGGCAAGGCAAAAGAATGGGAATGGGAGTGCGAATGGGTGTGAATGTGAACGTGAACGTGAATAAGGATGTAAAAGGAAGAAGAGCCCAGTACGTTAAGTAAAAAAAAAATAAGAAGGAATGAGGTAAAAAAAAGAGAAAGAGAGCATGCAAATAATTGAAAGAGAACGTATCCGGAGGGCTAGAGCCTTTTGAAGAAGTTCTATGAAAGAGACCCTTTCGCTCATTATGTGGCTTTTTGCATCTATTAGAGGACATTAGCATTAACAGGGGTGCTTTTTGTTTGTGCTCAGGATCGTGTGTCAAATTACTACTTTATGGGCCTATTTTTTAATTTTTTTTCTTTCCTTTCTTTTCATTGCATGTTAAGGCTCCTCCCTATAATCATCATGCCCAAAGCATCTAAAGCACCCGCAAAAGGTTTCTACGCTGTTCATGTCGGAAAGACCAAAGGCATTTACTTTACATGGTAAAACCAAATTACAGCCTTACTGCTTTCTACATTCAAACCAACATTAATAGCAAGACCTTCCCACCTGATAAGAAAGATACACCTTATCACTGTTATGACAAATAGGCCAGAATGTGAGAAGCAGGTCAAAGGATTTATCGGTGCCAAGTATAAGAAGTTTGAGACCCAAAAAGAAGCAGAGGAATTTGTCAAAAACGGTCCCAAAGCATACACAAAACCTTCATACAAAGCAGCTGTAGGATCATCAAGTGCTAGGCCATCGCCCTATAACGCCGCTGCATCCTCATCAAAAGCTTCAGGGGCTTCTTCATCATCTAATACAGCCACAACATCAACGTCAACTGGAACAGAGAGTAGTAAAGATCATCGTATAGTTAACGGTGTCCGAGTCATATCAGATGCAATTGTAGCATACACTGATGGCAGCTCACTTGGGAATGGCAAATCGAATTCACGAGCAGGAGTAGGAGTCTTCTTTGGGGTGAATGACCCTAGAAATGTGAGCGAAAGACTGGATGGAGATCTTCAAACTAATCAGAGAGCAGAGCTGACTGTACGATAAGCTACAAGCAATTGCTTTAATATGGTATATTATTGTAAAACCCACGATCCATCATTACTGACTCTTCACTCCTCTTTATTCGACTCGTATCATTTTTTTTTTTTAAAAAAAAAAAAAAAAAAAAAAAAAATAGGCTGCACTCAGAGCACTGGAAGTGTGTGGAAGCGACACTGCACCACTCGAGATCAGAACAGACAGCATGTATACCATAAACAGTAGGTCTTTTTTTCTTTCTTTTATTCAATGGGCCATAGACTATAGTCGACACTGGTACTGATTAGATGTCTTCCCCACTGCCTTTTTCCGATAGTTGTAACAAAGTGGGCTGAGAGCTGGATTAAGAATGACTGGAAGCGCGGTGATGGTGGTAGTGTACAGAATCGCGATATAATCGAACCTCTTATTAACAAAGTCAAGAGTCGGCCTGGCCCTATCAAATGGGTAAGAATGGACAAAAAAAGAACGATCTCTCTATCTTCGAGCGGAACGTCAGTATATGATGAAGAAACAATTAAGCTCTACTTTGTCGTATTAATTTTTAGGTGTTTGTTAAGGGACATGCCGGCACATTCGGAAACGAAATGGCAGACAAGTTGGCCAACTCTGGTGCCATCCTACCCAAGCCTTCTGCTATGTGAATCCACATCTTCATTACAACAACAATATATTTATAACATTACTGGATAAAAGCCTCTAGACAAGCAAAGCATACGCTTGTGCCCATAATATGCCACATACGTTTTTTTATTATTATTTTTATTTCATTCCTTCCGCCTGTTATGGTTTTACTGACATGAAGTCAGGTTAATGACTCAAAATGATAGCATTACAACAACTTCTCGATATCCTCAGCTATGCTGCTGGGCTTTGTAGCGGATGAATAGCGCTTATACACTGTGCCGTCTTTGTTGACCAAGAATTTCTCAAAATTCCACTTGATCCGTGTCAGACCCATCAGGCCAGACTTCTGTGACTTGAGGAAAGCATAGACCGGATCTTCGTTATTACCGTTGACCTCGATCTTATCCATGATGGGGAATGTCACTCCATAGTTGAGCTTGCAAAACTTCTCAATCTCTGCCATTAGTTAGCGGTCAATGACATGAGTGCGACGGATGGAATATTCAGAATGCCGTTAATAACAATAGAATAAATAATAATAATAATAATAATAATAATAAAAGATTGCTCCTGAATTCAGCTTATGATATAAACTACTCACCTTCATTTGAACCAGGTTCCTGAATCACCAGCATTAAACAGAGAAAGAATAGTGTGAATTGTCAAATGCTGTTGACATTCCGCGCAGGTTCAAGGATTACCAACTCAATCAATAAAAGAACCGTGAGTATTTTTTTTTTTTTTTTTTTTTTTATGGCTACAAAACTTACTTGTGCTCCAAATTGGTTGCAAGGAAATCCAATGACAACAAATCCTCGGTCCTTGTAATCCTTGTAAAGCTGCTCCAACTCTGTGTATTGCTCCGTAAATCCACATCGGGAGGCCACATTCACGACCAGGATAACCTTGTTCGCATACTGGGACAAATCAACCTCTTGATGGCCTTTATCCTTGGCTTTGAGAGAAAAGAAGTTTGAAGCCGAGCCGGCATCTCCTGCACCGGGGGATGCAGATGTTGAGGCAAGTCCTACTGCAGCACTTGCTGCAAACATGGTTCCATTCCCAGTTCCGGTGGTAGAAAAGTTCAGACTACTCCCCTTCCAGTTCAATGTACCACGTCTCAGATTGTGAGAGATAGGGATGTTTGCGGTGGCACGAACTGCGGTAGCAATGGTCCTTGCGCGCAGCATGTGTATTGACATTGTTAATGGTGTTCGGTGCATTGTTGGTTTGAATGGCGAATAAAAAAAAAAAGTTGAATGTAAGGGGTTTGAATGGTAATGGTTAGCCAGACTTGAAAACTAAATTATATTGAAGAACCAACCCTATTTTCGCTCCTTGCAAGCTTGTCTTAGCTATTATGCGTCACCATTTTTTTTTTTTTCCCACCATGTCCTCAACAACCAAACATGGCCACTATCTTTATCATTTATCTACGCTTCCAGTATCATCTGTGAGTAATACCTTGTTTCTTACAATGAGGAGACGTGGACTCTTCCGATCCAATAAGAGTATTGCAGCTTCTCTCTTTTTTTTTTTTTTTTTCTCTGACCTCGAAGATCGTTACGAGGAGGCTATTCGTAGTGATGAAAGCCTTTGAATAGGCTTTGGTCTACTGCAAAGGCTCTAGCCCCGCAGTTCCAACGAGTCTGTCTTCTTTTTTTTTTTTTTATTTCTTTTTTTTCTCCGAGACATGGTTCTGCCTTGGTACCTACAATCTCCTGCCTCCTTGCCGGGTCCGATCACAAGTTACCGTATGTTCTCCGTCTTGGAAAAATGGATAAGGGATGTGATTATCCTTCTGCATGGTATGTATTATCAACGCAAGGTCTTTATTTAAACCTGTAGCTCGATATCGAGACCAATACTTTGTAGTCTATCAAGATTTTACGCATTCGCACACTCAGATTCATAGCAGTGATCGGTTCGTGGTTTTTGTTGAGGGACATGGATGAGGATATCGTGGACAAGACACTTGACGATGTTATTTATAATTCGATGAAATAGCAAGAAGCATCAGGCATTAAAGTTGAATAGCATAATAAACAATCCCTAGTCGAACGATTTGTTTATTTAAAAAAAACAAGGCGTATTGCGGCAAATCCATCCACACTCATGTCATTAGCAGTCGAAAGTGGTTTATGTGGACAGTGAAACTGACCGTAAAAATGATGTATTTTAAAACGTGAAATTTCCAGTTCTATTTATTGGCGCACATGACAAAAAAACGTCTTCATTCCTCATTCAACATTACACAACACCATGACCAAAAAGTTTGAGAACAAGAGACGACAGTCGTTCTCGGATGAGGTGAAGACGCGGGTTAAAAAACTGAAGCCTGCCCTCCCTTTGCCCTCATCAAATAAGGACAAAACATATACCAAAAAGGAACTTGAGGAGATTCAAAGAATTCGCCAAATGCGATATAATGACCTCCTGAATTCTGCCAGGACGGGAGACATGGCCGCTGTCCTTGTGCTTCCTGGCGCTGATCCATTTGAAGTGCCCATGTCCAGGGTGTCTCGCACCCTGGATGAACAAGTTGAGATTTTGGATATATACCATTATCTTGAAAAGCGGAAGACAAACCTTCCGTACAGACTTTCCCAGCGTTCCTTCGGCCCTACAATAGGACTCGATCTTTCATGTAGTAGCCTTCAACGCATGCTCAAGCGAGAAAATGAAATACGTGCTGCGGCCAAGAGGCTCCCTTCAGGCAGTCACTATATCGTTAATCGTAGGACGCTCATGCTCGAGCAAGTCCTTCTTCATTGGCTTCATAACCAGCGAAAGAAAAACGTTCCTGCGTCAGGAAAGATGAAGAATACAGCTTATTTTGCATGTACGGTTCTTTGTGACCTTGAAGATGAATCTGGTGACACTGCGTCCGAAGCACCACTATCCTTTTCAGCTTGGTGGTTTGACTCTATCCTGAGCCAGCATCACATAACGTATTGCCAGCTTCAAAGAGAAGCAGGATCAGTCGATCTGGAGGCGATTGAACCCGAGCTCGTCGAAATCCGTCGGCTTTGCACTAGATACTCACCTGATAACATCTTCAGCTGTGACGAGACTGGATTTTATTTGAAGGAATTGGATACCAGGTCTTACACAACCCCGCTTTCTAGATCTGGCGCCAAGGCCTTCAGAGAATGCAAAGTGTCTGTTTTATTTTGCATCAATGCCTCTGGCACATCTCTCAGCATGGCCAAGACTAAGCGTTCGTTAAAACCATTGGTTATAGGTAATATGTAGAGTGAACTTCTTATCAGTCATCTCTTTTTTTTTTTTTTTTTTATTTTTATTTTTATTTTTTTTTAATTTTATTTTATTATTATTATTATTATTATTATTATTTCCCATTTTAACTATGTTGATCGCTTAATATTGGTTAGCTCAACACTTTGCAAGAGAGGTCGAAGAAGGAGCGTTATCAGAAATGACCATAGCAAGGACACAATCAGGATGGATGAACCACACAATATTCGCCGACTGGCTATCGATGCTGGACGATGATCTCTCGGAGCCGGCTCTTCTCCTCCTAGACTCCGCTACAGCGCACGACAATATTGAGATGCGTGACCCAGAAAAAGGGATCCCTTGGAGGCATCTTTGCATACAGCGGCTACCCAAAAATTCCACATCAGTCACTCAGCCTCTTGATGCTGGGGTTATTAGTGTTTTCAAGCGGGCATTCTTGGAGATGCTTGGCTACGAAACAAATCTTGTGCGTAATTTTGCCAAACCAGGCTGCATCGCTAATAGTCGTGCTTGGACACTGATCCCATATGCGTGGAATAGGGTCAAGGCTTCTACACTACGTAACTGCTTTGCCAAAACCCCCGTGCTCCCAATGGAAATGCGCGAAGAACTTTGGCGACGACTACCAAGTGAGGACGAACCAAAGCTGAATCTTCAGTATATCCGGCATCTCCAACACAAAGAGCAGATGAAGATTTATTTCGAGCATCTCATCGCCAGAGTTAGTCAAGAAGATATCTTGGATATCAGAAAAATAGAAAATATGGAAGAGATAACCGACGAAGCTCTACACCAGGTAGCTGTCAAAGAGAATAAGCAGGACGGTAATTTAGGGGAGGAAGTTGGGTGTGATACGTCCTCAAGTCATGATGGATCTGCAAGCTCACCGATCGATGATGTTGACCTTGATGCGACCATTCAAACACTAAAAACTTTTGCAGGAGACAACGACGTTCTCACTATCGATGGCCTCAAACAAATTACACAGAGAGCGGGGCAAGGGGTTCGAAAATCGGTCAAAGAATTCGTGCGTGCTTGCTCAGGCTTTCAATGTAATAACTGTTAGCAAAAACTGTTTATAACAAAAAAAAAAAAAAGATATATTTATACCACGTTTTAAAATACAGCAATGTTTTTGTCTCCATAAACCAATTCATTCACTTTCAAAAAATTGTTGAATGATCTGATCACGTGAACATACGCGAACCTAATTCGCCACCAGAAGTTTCATGAGCCTGCATCAATCTTCTTTCGTCAAGTGCCACATTAATCAATTCAGGATTCAGCAAAAAATAAAAAAAAGCAAGAGAAGCATTTGACAGATTGACATGAGCTTCGAGGGTCTGGATCGTCTCTTAGTCGGCTCAGTGCCGACAGCTTGTGCAAATCTCACCAACCATTTGAATCAGTCTTTTGATTCAGATGCTTGTGCAAAGAGCTTTTTCGAGTTTTTGCCTCGACTTTGTCAGATCCTCTTCGGTTCTAAAGAATCGCGGTAAGACACGAGGACCTTGCACTTGCATTCCATGGGATAACTGAAGCAGGAAAAAAAAAAAAAAAAAAAAAAAATAGAATGTTACGGAACTGGACCACTTTGTTTATATTCAAGCTTTTTTTTTTTTTTTTTTTTTTTTTTTTCCATGAATTGGAATATTAGTGGCTGGCTACATTTACCATTATCCAAGGCAGAGGAAGATCCACTGTATGAGCTGATTCGTCCCAGAGGAATCCTAATGCGGTTTTTGCTCAGTCGGTACACAGACACGACTTTTATATACGAAATGGTGCCAGATTCATTACCAGTATGTTATTTTTTTTTGATCTCTATTATAGTAATCTTATCTGTTTGTAAAAGATAACTTCATAAATATACTAATATAGTACCCTTATCATCATTCTTTCGCAGAAACGGACACAGTCAAAGCTGGACCCAACCCAATACCTCACCCTTCCTCCAATCTACCTTTCTCGCGTCAACTTGGTGAAGACTGTTGCACCCGTTGGTACTCAAAAGACAATGGCACAAATCACCAAAGTCAATCTAAACTTCAGTACGTTTTGCATTCCTGGACTGTTCATATCAGTCTCGTCGTTGGAGACATGGAGAAAAGTTTAAGAAGGATTTTTTTTAGCATGGGAAATATGACCAGCTCTAATCGCCAATACGACTTTACCTTTTCTATCAATTAGACATGCTGGAGTACTTTTTATTTTACTTTGCATATGCATTGACTTTGGATGACGACGACACACAAGGCCGTGGATTACGCAGGGTATGAAACCGGATTACTTTCATGTTCTAGGATCTCAATGTAATTATTATTTTAATTTCTCTTTACTTGAGTTCAACCTTTCCTGAAAAGTCTTTTTTTTTTTTTTTTTTTTTTTTTTTCTTCTTAAAAAATATTAGACGGATCCTAAGCTGGCTTTTAAGATCAGTGGACCTGCGCCTAGTGCTACACAAGCAGGTTCATCACGAGCATCAGATTGGACATCAGGAAATGCACCAAAGCAGCCTACCTCACGCGTACTCGTCGACGGATCATTCTTCAACTTATTCCATCAATATCTTCATTACTTCATCCCAGCGCCAGAGCGACCCAAGGATGCATCTGCTGGCGCTTCGAATTCCACTTCTGTACAGCGATCATTAAATGTTTTTAACGACCAGGCTATTGAGAATTCTTTGGACAGAAATCAGACGCAGCTATCGCTATCAGAATTCTTTATTGGAACACTAGTAGAACTTTGGCTTGGCCAGAACGATAAAAATGCGGACAACAGAGTAAGAAGGAAAAAAGAAAAAGAATTTCTTTTTTTTTTTTTTTTATTTTTTTTTTTATTCACTTATTGAAGCAACGCAAGGCATGCCTCCCTCGTACTGATGATTAAACATCGACATCACTCACTTCTGTTGGAATATCATAGACAATTCGATATGTGCAACCGGGGGCAGATATTGCAGAGTGTATCACAGTGTTAATTTCTCATCTGTATGCGCATGATGTCTCACCGTACGTCCTTGGTGGTGACTTGATGCCAAGTCATGTAATCGATTCTACCGGAAAATCAGTCTTGAACTTGGCAGGAATGGCGAGAAGAAGCACCTATCAATATCTTCGACCTCAACTGTTTACGTTCTTGAAGCTGGGCCTTCAATTCTGGCCCCTGGATAACACATTCCCAAGCTTAATCAACACATGGATGATCTGGATCACGCCTTGGCGATACGGTCGACGCGATCCATCGGTTTCAGGAGATATTGTATCTGAAAAATGGCAAGTCTTTTGAAGACTTTTGGGAGAAGGTTTGACGTGGACATGGCTAGAGTGATCATAAATGCAGTAGTTGATTGCTGATCTCTTGAAAATCTGTACTTTCCCTTTATTCCCAAATAGGCAACCATTCATCTTTGACAACCTATTGTTTTACACGGAATTTTTAGAACTCTATATGCCTCGACTTTCACATGCACCTCAAACCAGTCGTTCACTTACAGTACCAGCACCAATGACATTGAAGATGGAGTTACGATCGATTCAAAGGGTTATGAAGGTGTACAAGGCAGAGAATCTCAAAGAGATCCTCAAAGTGGCTGAACAGGCGATTGTGTGGCCAGAGAATTTTTCGGATTCGTCCTATGCTCTGTTTGAGTCGCTTACAGAAGGAGGGGGGCTTGCCGCTGCAGCAACGGCAAGACCAGATGTCACATCAACGTTCCTTGCGTCAATGGTCAATGCATTGCAAAGACAGTTGCAACAGCTTGAAGGACATCAGTTCAAGTATGAGGCGCTTTTCTTGGTAGAAGGAACTGCTCGAAGCAAGGTACCTTCAATTGTGATTTCTTGGATGATGTTTATATGCATGAATGTGCCTCCATTAAACTTTTTTTTTTTTTTTTTTTTTTTTTTTTAAAAAAAAAAAATTTTCTATGTACTTTCTCTCAGATTCGAATGCTCCTGACGAAACTTGGCAATGCAGTTGACATTCGTCAAGAGCGACTTGCAGCCTTAGAAGCGAAGAACAAATCAGGATCAGAGCAGGGTACGGGTTTGAGTGCCATTTCATCAATGATCAGCAGCATGTTTGCACAACCAGCCCCCAAGACTGCTTTACAAGACCCAGTTGTATATATGAGCGAATTAAAGGGGCTGAGAGAGACAATGGCACTTGTGGGCGAAGTATTTGACCTCTATCCTAGTGTGGTGACATCGTTTGAGAAGCAACATCAAACAACACATGAGAATGGAAGCACGCTGTCAGATGAGCAATTACAGGCGCTGATCCTCCCATTAGAAGAATCTGATTCTGATGGTCTGCTCAATCCAGAGAAACAACGTAAATATGTGCCCCGCGGCTTGGTCAAGCGACCTATTGACGATGTGAAGGCCAGAGGAACACGCGCTGAGCAGCTGGTATTGACATATGAGAGCGAATATCTTGTCAAGCTGACCCGGCGAGCAGAACGCTATCTTACTCCAAAGGTAATAACATTACTTTACAGTGTAATTTCACTCTATTGGAAATGAATAATGATTCGATTTATCAAACATGGTTTATTAATGATTGTGATTTGATTTTAGTGGCAAAAAACAATCAAATCGATTCATCGATGGATTCCATTACCACAAAAGGTAGTGTCGAGTAAGGTGCACCTGAGGTGGTTGGCAGCTATCCCTAATTTGGCCGCACTGTTGATGGTAGTACTTGCGATTGTGCTGGCTGCATTCATCTCGTCTTATCTCGCTTCAAGCCATAGTGCACCACGGGTTCAAAATCAATATCAGCAGCGCTATCACAATCAACAGCATCACCATCATCAACAACATCACCACCAGCACCTACACAATCTACCCAAGGGGCATGGTCATAAAAGTCATGACCATCATCATTATCCTCATCATCATAATAACAAGCCGCAACCTGATTACGATCCTCATGTGCAAGCCGTGTATAGGTGGGAGAAACCAGGCCAAAAGGTGGCTACCACAGCAGTGCGGCATCATTTCACTCGTCCAGCGGAGCCGCGATACACAATTGATCTGCCAGAGATCTGAGTGGATTCTTTTTCAAGGAGGAAGAAATTGAAAAAGTAGATGTGTTTCTGCTAAGTTGCAACCCCTGAACGACAAGAACATGGCCAATAAACAAATGAACGGAATGAGAACATCACGTCATAGACGATTGACAAACTGCTGTCAAATGCAATTAGGATTTAGGCTCATCATTTTAATATTATAAATCCTCTTTTCTTTTCTTTTTTTTTTTTTTTTTTTTCATGTCAAATCAATCCCTGTTCAGTTCAGCTTTTTTTTTTATTCTTTTTCATTTGACTCCAAAGTGGGGTGGTCTTTTTTTTTTTTTTCTTTCTTTTATTGGTGATGTTTGTTGAGGACATTGGTGGCGCAACAGCTCCATTCATTACCCAATGACTATTAGGACCTGAATATTTTTTTTTTATTTGGATATTGGATACAAATGATGGCGGCGTGAGACTGATTGGCCGCCAAGCAATTTTATTAACAAAGAGGAGCTTCGCCCCGCACAATCTTCTTTCTCTCTCTCTCTCTCTCTCTCTCTCTCTCTCTCTCTCTCTCTCTTTTTCTCTTTTTTCCCCCTCTCCTCTAATTCACGTCCACCCACTGTTTCCCGCTCTTTCTCTTTCACCTTCATTCATTGCACATCATTTAACATAGAAGAAATATCCTTTTGTGTTGGTGAACATTGTGCATTGAGTGAATGCGTTTTATGAATGTGATTCTGCAAACTTGAATCATACATACATATTCCCTCTCTAAACACAGCAATTACCTTGACTGATCCTTCATTCTTGGAACCGACAAAACAAAAAAAAAAAAAAAAAAAAAACTCCTCAATTCTAATTCAAACATGGACTCTACAAGACCGCCATCGGACTCTTCTGTCGAGCCATCCATCGACACACTTATACCCACATTTCGATTCATGATCCACCGCAAAATGAGGAGAAAAGCACATGGCATGTTTGTTTTTGCTATTATTGTGTGAAAGCAATTGGAAGAAGAAGAAGGAGAAGAAAAAGAAAAAAAAATAGTGCCCATCCATTCATATCACCAATGCTATTGTTGCTAATTATATTAATTGCTGTCTATTGTTTTTCAACGATTGGGTCCATTTTCTCTTCTCCCCTTACATGTTCCCCTCCCCCCCCTTGCAGGTCAGTACAGACGTCATAGCACACGACGTTACATCTTCTCTGCTATTGTCATTGCCCTCTTTCTGAGCTTGATAGGCATTGGAGCGCAACGACTGGAATTGGCTTCCTCTTGGCCAGAGCTTTTGCTGATTATCATTCTCCTCATTCTCATGATTTATGTCGTTGTCAAGGTCTCTATTGTTGTCCGTTGGTGCTTCTACTGGTAAAATACTATTTTTTTTTTTTAAAAAAAAAAAAAATCCCTCAATTGAACATGCAGATCCCTTTCCCTTGTGGAATGGTATCGAGCCATTAGACATCTAACGTCCCTAAATCTTGTCTTTTTAGGCTAGTGTTAGCGACACTAGTACTATTTGTAATTAACAAAGGATCCTTCTTTGAGACAGTCAGGAACGGACCCGAAGCCAAGGCGGACCCCGATGGCAAGAATGCACTGCGAGCCAAGATTGTCCTCATTGTGCTTGCATCCTTGGAAGTCTTTACTTTGGGGACCGTGGTTTTTCTCCGTGTTGTTTACCCTCGCATTGTCCTACGTGCTCAATGGCTCAATGTTAAGAAATGGTGGCGTATTCGAGACGTCCCAAGCCCATCCTCCAGAAGTGTCAACTATCGGACCATCATGTTTTCCTATGTCTCCTGGGATGAGGATGAGTATCGTCTCCAACGAAGTTCTGTCTCTTATGTTGGCGAGTTTGATGAAGAAGGTCGGCCCCATGGGTTGGGAGAATGGACAGATCATACGTTTACAGGAGAGGCATTACAAGGTATGGCACGGGGATGACTCTTTTTATATATATATATATACAAAAAAAAAAAAAAAAAAAAAAATACCGACTATGAAGCAAATTGCAACTCTATCATCTCTTTTTCATTTTAATAACTTACCTATCCCATATCATAGGCATTTGGGACCATGGTGAGCCCATTGGACCATTCAAGAGTCAGGAGTATGGAACTGGCAATGCATTCAACAACATTCGGATTGGATTTTGCAAAAACTCTATTGATAAGGATGATTCAACTGCTTTCAAAGCAGCACGGGATCCAAAAGGGTTATCTTATGGTGCAGCAGCTGTAGAATGCTCAGTCTCTGGGTATGTCCTCGTCATTTTTTTTTTTTTTTTTTTTTTTTTTTTTCCTCTCTGTAGTCCCTGACTTGGCCAGAAATAACGTCTATGGATGTGCAATTACTTACTAGAAAAAAAAAAAAAAAAAAAATTGTCTTGCAAACATCTTTTAGCAAATTCTTCCACCATCTCCCATTTGTTCGGATAATTGGCAAAGGAATCTACAGATCAGAACTGGACCATATAGCAAAGGAGGATCTGGAGGCACCATCGATTGCATTATCATACCCTTTGTCTTTTCTTTCAACATTCGCAGAGAGTTTACAGACTCGTCCTTCTATCCGTGGCAGCTTCCGTAATGGGAAATCCAAGAAGAGTATACCTCTTTCAAAGTCAATTGTGGTACGGTACACGGATCGGGGTATCCTTATACCGGGATATATCAGGAGTAGACGTCGGGGTGATGTGAATGAGGTTGTTATTCGACGGATCTGTCCACCAAATATGGGGACTGAAGGTCAGAATGTGGTGATCGAGGGCAGTGATGCTGGTCGTGATCGCTCGACATCTCAAACACCGGTACCGACTTTGCTCGTACCTACTAACCAAGCCGAAGGAAGCAACGGCGGTGGCAGTGCCAGTGATGATTCGGATTATGGCCCTGCCGATGCTATCTTGGACGGACCCTCAAACAGCCCTGAGGATCGTCGTCGGTCGGGGGAGTATGGTAGGAGGAAGCGACTCAATCAGGAAGGACTGATGGTGGAAGGTTGGCGTCAGGTGATGGATATTGATGGGAAAACGCCCTCAGCATTGGCAGCGTCAAGAGCAGGATATGAGGCACTAGTGTTTATTCATGGATATAATTGTCCGCTCACCTATGGAATTGGTCGCCTTGGTCAATTGCTCTCACTGGGAGAGTTTCCACCCTATATCAAACCATTTGTTTTCAACTGGCCATCTTCCACCACATTAGGCTATTTCACTGCGAATGCTGTTGGATGTTCAGATGTTGTTGCCAAGGATTTGCGACAGTTTATTGAGGATCTGCGTGAGGCAGGGTTCCGAAGGGTGCATATTCTGGCGCATAGTATGGGAGCACGGATTGTTCTATCAGCACTTCGGAAGGGATACTTTGATGGGGTGGTTGCGGAACGTGAGGTCGTGGCTGTGGAAGAGCCCTCGTTAGAGTCGGCTCATGGTGGAAGCAAGACAGCGTTACATGCGAGGGCCTCTGTCCGGTATCGAGATACGATGTCGGGAAGGTCTTTCAAGACAACGAGATCATCGACTCAACAGGCGGCAATCTCGGACAGTTTTTCGAATTCGGATGATCCGACGACACCGATCCAGCTTGCGACGTTCACATTGCTCAATCCAGATGCAGATTTGGAGATCTTTTTAGAGGAGGATTACTGGACGCTGTCTAAATACTGTCCACATATTACGCTGTATGCGGATGCACATGATGGAGCGTTGTTTTGGAGTGAGCTTTTAACGCGTCAGAAATCACTGGGTCGTCATCCACGGACGTTGGTGTATGGACCTACGGGAGAGGTGTTGGATGTGGATGTGATTGATACGACGAGTTTGGATGTGAACATTCATTCGATCCGACATAATTTCTTTAATCTGAACAGGATGTTGGTGGATGATTTGTATGATGTGGTGGTGCTTGGACGAAGGGCAAGGGAACGAGCAGGTCGATTGTCGAGTCGATGGACGTTTTCAGACAGTGGGCTTGAGGATGGAGAGGTGTACACATTCCTCTGCGCACCAAGTTATGTTGTCAACAAGTAGACAAGGAGGCTTGCAGCAACTATCATAGTCATAATCATAATCATAATCTAATTCATAGCCATAATCATAAGCACAAGCACAAGCACAAGCACAAGCATAAATTGTAATCGTTTCGGATAATTGACATGAGAAATGAGCATGTAGATGAGCATTTATATAGCCGCAACAAGCTGCATTGACACCATGTAAGAAAAGAAAAGAACCAAAAAAAAAAAAAAAAAAAAAATTTTGCGGTGAGGGGACTTCCCGCATCGACCAAAAGGGAAATAAATAAAAAAATTTTGATTGCATGCCATTAGCATTAACCCTTGCTTCAGTGCATGCATCGGAGGGATAAAATTAATGAGCATTTCGCCTCTAACCCTGATTTGCACATGACATGCATAACAAATACAAATCTAAAATATCTATCCTCTTTGGAGCGTGTGAACAATGTGACTTGAATCCATTGCAACATCTGAAGACCTGCATTCGATCTATAGCCATCTGAGGAGGAGGAGGAGGTTTTTTCTTTCTTTTTGTTTTTTTACTTCTTTGGATAAAGAGACCTTTTATATTTTTATATTTTTTTATTTTTAAACATCCAAGACAGAAAAAGAAAGAAAAGAAAGAAGATATGTTCACGTTCATGCTACTCAGAAACAAAGAATAAAGGGCACCAACCATAAACAGAACAACAATGAAATGAAAAAAAAAAAAAAAAAAAAAAGGATCTGATGGAAATGACATGATGACATTTTTTTTTTTTTCTTTGTTTTCTTTTCCTTCTTTTTTAAAGAAAAGGCTTGTGCAAAAGAAGCAAAAGTAAAGCGATCGAATCATAGCCAAAGAGCGTGACAACATGGCAGAATAAAAAAAATAAAAAATAAAAAAAGAAAAAACGTGCGCACGTTGAGATATGAATTTGGATGGATTGTTTACATCTGTTTTGGTTGGTCATGCCAAGAGAGTAGGGGAAGGAGGATAGCATGGCATAATGGCAAGAGGTGCAAGAGTGTAAATGGCATAGCATGGGCATGATGGAGATAGTCAATACACACACAACACAAATTTGTACAACATAATAAACATGCAACAGCGTACAAATAACAAACCAAAAGGTTTTTTCTTCCAAGACCAATAAGAGTGGGAAAGTAAAGGTAAGAAAAAAGTAGGACAAGAGAATGATGATGGAGAATGAAGGGGGATGGGATGGGATGGGAAGGGGGCTGTACAACAATTTCGAGATCGATACCATCGGATGGGCGATGAGGAAAATATCCATCGCCTCCTCTTTTGTGTGAAATGTAAAGAAAATAAATCTCCTAGGGTAGAAACTGTATCACAACAGTAACAAGTTTTCCTTTTCATTAAAAGGTTGACTGTCACTTAACAATCCAACAATCCAACAATCCAACAATCCAACAATCCTTTTTTGACCCATTGAATCCACTCTTTGTTTTCTTCCTTTCCTTCTCTTTCTCCTTCTCTCTTTTTCTTGGTCATTCACTCACTCACTTGCTTTTTTTTCTTTTTTTTTTTTTTTGATTCCTCATTCCTCATTCCCCATTCTCTTCAACAAAGAAAAAAAAAAAAAAAAAAAAAAAAAAAAAAAAGGGCTTGTCTCATTCCCCTCGGTTTAACGGTCGCGCTTCATTAGATATTTCATTATTCAGCCCTCTCAATCACCCCATCCTTGTTGCATTCCTATCCTATCCTTATCCTATCCTGTCCATCCCATTCACTTCAACATCAATCGAAAGCACAATGCTTTCCTCTACACTACGCCCGTCCAGCGGAAAGGGTCGTCCTTCCCGTCAGGGGTCATCCTCCCCCTCGTCCATACCACTCTCACTTAAAACTCCAATCGCTCAGGAATATAAAACCCCACCCATGGCTGTCGTCCCTGACCCTCCGAATCCTCAACCTACAAATCCACCAAAACCAAAGCCAAAGCCAAAACCCACCTCCACAACACCTAAACCACCAGGTCCTGCCAAACCTGTCACGACATCTTTGCGCTTGACAGCCTCAACTACTATGGCAACATTCTCCCCTACATTCTCCCTTTCAACCTCTCCTCTCACTCAAACAACTACAACTACAACTACAACATTGTTCTCAGGTTCGGATGCAAGTACCGGTGGTGGCAAAGGAGGTCTACCCCAGAATGTGATTGCAATCATTGCTGGAGCCGGTCTTGCAGTGCTCTTGGTCGTCCTGGCCCTGATCCTCGTAATATGTCGGGGTAGGAGAAGAGATCGAAACAGGCTCAAACAGCGTGGAAATGAACTACGGGAGGCTGAACTGTATCACCAACAGCAGCGTATGACTGAAATCGGAGGATCAAGATCAAGTCTCCGAGGCAGTGGTCAAAACATGATGGCCGCTGCTGCTGCTGCCCTTGCAGGTGGTCGTAGCAGACGAGGCTCTGGTACAGACTCTGTCCGTCAACATCATCGGAGCGGATCTTCTGTCCACGGACTCTTACCTGGCCAAGGCCTCATTTCTAATGCCCGTAGCATAGGACAGAACAGCGACGATTACGAAGACGAACGCCAACGCCAACTGCATCAACAACAACCAGAGTGGTGGAACAAGAAATCACCCCTAGAGTATTATCAGCAGGTCCCGCCTGTCCAAGACCTGTACGGGCCTGTCCCAAGGTCTCAGGATCAAAATGGCTTGCAAGATCAATCACAGCGTTTGCAGGAGCAGCAGAGTCATGAGGAACTCCGGTCCCGGGAGACCTCCCCCACCACTAACACTAGTTCCTCCACCACAAGTAATACAACCATGGTACCAGTAGACCAACCTTCGGGACATGAAAGTTTCCCAGCAGGCGTGGTGTGCGAGAGTCAATCCAGGAGCTCCGCTCCACTTAATCTAACCAACAACACTAGCAACAACAACGGATGGGATAGCTCCGCTCGCGGACGTAGCGAGGACCATGGGCGTCGTTCATCCCTACCATGGGTTCCGCATCGTTCGCATTCCATGGACTTTCCTCCTCCTCCTCCACCTGTAGCCAACCATCCTCACGAGTTTAGACATTTCTCGCAGCAGTTTGTTACCGCCCCTCCCCTTCCTCCCCCACCCTCTCAACAGCAGCAACAGCAGCAACAGCAGCAACAGCAGCGCTTTGGACCACGCAATGATCCATCATCAGAGGTACCTCGGTCCATATCTCCAATTCAGCCTCTCAGCCCTCTGGGATCTGTTTATGTCTCTGCAGATGGAGGAACCACCCGACACAATTCGCAATACGACCCAACATACCATCCTCCTCCTCCACCCATCGACCCAGCACTCAATCCCTATTATCGTCCTCCTCCTCCCGTTGTTTTCTCTGTACCACCACCCTCACCTTTCCCCGTAAGACGAAGCATCTTGCCCCCTATAAATGTCGAGCCTCCTTCTTCTAGCTTCTACGACTACTTTAACGATTTTCTGGACGATCCTTTGGAACCCTCGTTACTGGAAAGGCCAGTCATCAAATCTCCGCTCTATTCCATGGGTCTCAAGCAATCTTCTGCGCCAGACCTTGTGCGACATACAGCACCACTACCCGCCTCAATTGCTGATCTCCATCCAATCCCCGCTGCAGGCCCGAGTCTCACTCCAGCCCCAGTCCAGGCTCCAGCTCCTGTTCGTGTCCCAGCTCCGTTTACATCGATCAGGACTCCATCTCCAGTAGCCATGCCTGCTGCAGAGCCAGCTATCACCCAAACATCCTCTCCACCACCTATCCCAAAATCCACGCGTCCAACCTCGCTCCGCTCTGCCAGCATGACAGCCCTTGTTACCAGCGAATTAAGATCATCCTTGGATGCTCCCCCAGTACCCTACAACGCTTTTAATGATGGTGTCAACGGTGAGCCACAAATGAAGATCAATAATACCAATGGCGACACCAACAACAACAGCAACAACAACAACAACAACAACAACAGTAGCAGCGGTAGCAGCGGCAGCAACAATAATAACAATAGCATCAACGGCGGCAATAATGGCATTAATAACAGCAGTCAGTATCAGACAGCCACAAGAGGTGTTCTTTCACATACAGCCTCTGATCTTTCACAAAGGTCAGGAATTTCACAACAGGACGAGAGTGATATGCCTCGTATGGGTGGACGCATGCCTCGTGTCCGAAAAAAGACCTTTGATGGATCAGCTTAAAAAAAAAAAAAAAAAAAAAAAAAAAATCAGAAGCACTCTTTGATTGCTTCATCTTAATTTACAGTTTTGGACTCATTCCTTACTTTCCCCTCCCCTGTTTACTCCTATTATGCACATAGACCATCTTTTTTTTTTTTATATTTTTTTTTTATTTTACACATTTATCAAGGGAAAAAACAAATTCCTCCCCATTTTGCACATACACACATATTTTTTTTTTTTTTTTTTTTTTTTTGTTTTTTGTCCAATTATTCATTCATCTGCATTACATTTTAGCTTGCATGCCTTTAAACAAATCAACATGCCTCTTCTCATTTTGCTTACCAAATAAATAAAATAATTAAACTTTGCCAACAAAACGAGCAAATCAGAGGAGTCGTACAAAAGAAAGAAAAAAAAAATAAAATTTGATACATGTAGATGATGCATCCCTTTAAACTTTAATGTGTAACAATAATATTTGTACATGTAACTCCATCTTAAACACTTTACTGGACACACACATGGCAACATTCGAAACACATTAAGAAAATAAAAGGAGTAAAGAGGAGATTCAATTGCTATCTTTGCCCATGCCTTTTTGGTTTTTTTTTTTTTATATACAATGAATGAGATTATATATATATATTTATTTGTATCCTTCTTTCTTTTTTTTATTTTTTTTTGGAATAATGTAGTGTGTACAGACAATATGCAGTGGTATTTTATATATATATATATATCTATTATCTACTGTGGTGGAGGAGCAGGTGATCCTTGTCCTGCATTACTGCGATTCCTCCGCATGCCGCCAGGGCTAGCAGGAGGGGGCATCATAGGACTTGTGGGCATAGGGCCACCACCAGGGCTATTAGGAGACATGGGCTGGAAGCCAGGTGAAGGAGGACCAAATCGAACACCTCCTGGAGGACCTCCTGGTCCAATACCAAGACCCATCATAGGTCGAGCCTGGTTCCCGACCAGCGGAGTACTCATGACTTGACGACCGTTATAATCATAATGTTGTTGTTGTGGACCCAGATCACTCATCATATCCGACTCGTTATCATCCGCCGTAAAGACACTCGGTGCAGCCGATTGAAGATAGGGTGATCCCTGAGCCCGTTGACGTTCTGCACGTTCGATACGCTTCACTTGTCGAACACGAGCCTTCTCGTAATCATCCCAACGCTTGAGAGGCACACGAGAGGCATCAAAGATTCCATCTGCATTTCCATGAGCTTCTCCCTTGGCTTCTCCCTCCACCTTGCGGGTTTCTCCCCAGGAAAAGTCATCGAAATGCCAGTAGGCGTACACGGGAAGGATAAAGTTCCAGACAGGCAAAGCCAAGAGATAAGCAAACATCCAAGCAATATAAATCAGTTTTCGAGTCGTCAACAAGATCAGGATCGCGGGCATGGTCATGACAAAGACCAACAGGATCAACGGCACTGCCTGTGAGATCGTCTCAATCGTCATCACCGCCAGATTAGCAATCAGGACAAACGTCAAGATCATCGCCACGGGCAAGACCACTGTTCCGATCAACTCCATGAAAATCACAAACTGCATCGAGAAACAGAATGTCCCGCACAGATTACGCACCAACACCAATTCGAGCAAATTATGGATCGTAGAGTTGATCCAACGACGTCTCTGAGACAACAACACATTGAACTCATCCGGTACAACTGTCTTACAGATCGCCTGGGGCATAAACATCATCTTTCGGTGTGGGAAATTACGAAGCATCAACGTGGTCAAGAACCGATCCTCTCCCAACAGCAACAAGTTCTTTTGATGGAGTGTCTCGACAATGTTTTGTGAATATTCCTGAACAATTTCCGGTTTGGTAATAATCGGGACCCAGTCATCGCCCTTCCGGGCCTTGAGGCGGTACATACAGAAACATCCTGGTAAACAGGTCACACCTCCAAAGACGGACTCGAACCCCTTTCCAAGATGATGTGAGATGTAGTACTCGAATACCTGAATTGCCGTGACCCAGGACTGGCGCTTGTTCGCAATCTTGGTCTCTCCACAGAGCCCCATAATCAACGGATCGTTATTCATACAGTTCATCAACAGCCTTAATGAACTCGGATAGACCTTTGTGTCTGCATCCACCATCAACACAATCTCGAATCGATCCGGGGTAACGCCCATCAGATGTTGAATCTTCCGGAAGAGTTCATAGTCCAGAGGTGTCATTCGGTCGTTATAGGTCACACGTGAGAAGAAGTTCATCAAAATCAACTGGGAATCACGCTTTCCACGGTTACCGGCCTTGGGCTTCTCATGTTCCTCCTCATTACCGCACTTCACCACCAGCACTGTGGGCACACGTTTGTTCTTCCAACGGAAATAGCCTGCATAGACCTTGGCTCGGTTATGTTGTTTCGATCCTGCAGCGACGGCGATGTAGGACTGGGGCGTGGGCTCTGAATCAAAGGCTGGGTCGAGTTCCATTAGACTAGCACAGATATCGGGCGTTGAACGGTCATTGCCTGATCCTGTAATGATACCATCGCAGATAATAAAGAGCAACTTTTTGTTGTCGGGGTATTCAGTCGCTGCTAAGGACTCGATGGTGGTACGGAGGGATGATTCACCTTCGGAGTAACAGGTGACCAACAAGACTGTGTGCAATTCCAAAACGTTTCCACCGGCAATACTGGTGTTGGTGGGGGATCGAGACAGGGCACCTGATTTCCCAGAGTTGGCAGAAGCGGCAGAGCCGACGATGGTGGAACCGGAGATGGATGAACCAGAGGATGCGGCCGAGGCCATGGTATGGACCTTGGGCTTGACCGGAGGCTTGGCCAATTTTGCAGAGAGGAACCAGTCAAAGATGATGGCCATCGCAAAACGAGAGAGGACAATGCCCAAGACCACGGTCAGGGACACATACATGAACAGATCTGCGGCGAAACAACCCGGTGTGGCCTTATCGATGAATCCCGCACCAAACTTGTCGACCAAACAATTCACATTCGCCTTGACAGACTCTCGTCGGAAGAAGAGCTTTGTGGCATCACGACCTCCGGAGGGCATGGGTAAGCTCCTGACATGTCGAAAGATGGCATCGATTTCGTCTCCTTGGATGGGTTGTCTATATCGTTGGAAATACCGATCCAGATTCAAGACATTGCCATCGATGACCATGTAGTTGGAAAGTTCCTCCAATCCCATCTGACTCCAATCATAGCCCGCTTTACGTTTGTTGTCATCAAAGATCCCCAGGCCGTTGAGATATTCCTTGGTCGCCACGTGATTGTTACATCCTCCTGCAGCGGTATGACAGTTATCGAATTGAGCTGCTGTACTGGTGAGGCCTTGACAGTTGATTGAGTCTCGACCATGGATAAAGATGTTGCTGATATCGCCCGCTGGTTTGAAGTTGCTGGCGTTGAAGCCTGGAGGCCAAGTACCTTTGCGGAAGTCGTAGATATAGCCATTGATACCATAAAGACCGGCAGCTGAGGAGTTGTTAAAAATATATATTATAACACAAAGGCCAAGGAAGGGGGGTTAGTTTTTTTTTTTTGTCATCGACATTGATAATATGATACATATAGCACACACCGTAATTTCCTTTCAACAACTCTCTCCATCTCTTTTGTGGTAAAAAAAAAAAAAAAAAAAGGAATGAGAGCAAAAAAGCAAAAGATAATGAAAGGAGGAAGGGGGAGAACTGCCATAGAGACTATCCATCCTTTAATTTGCGAATCAATTAGTCCTTTCTCCCTCTCCTTTTCTCTCTCTCTTTATCTCCTTTCTCCTAGATCCGTTTTGATGACAACAGAAGCAAAAAATTTTACCTTGAGTATCATTGAATCGAACAAAGTTCTGTTGACCTTGTCTCTGGTCGGAAGGACAGAGCAAGAAGGCGAATCCGATGGTCAAGAAGGCGACCATTCCTCCGATCAACAGGATGATGAAACAAAGGGTGACCTTTTCACGCCAGGCCTGTTGAACGGGTTTTTCATGGATGCCGGCCCAACGTAAGAACGGGGGTAGAGCCCAACAGGTGACGATTCTGGAACAAATCACCCAACAGGACGCGGGCTCATTCTCCTTTCGTTTCTTGAACATCGTCTCTGGAGTCTGGAATCGATCTGGCCGAGACAAGGTCTTGCCACGATTCAGGGTCGCCCCTCGACGGGGCCCCACACCGCTCGGTCTGCCAGACATTATTTATTTTGATATTAGGTGATTCTATTAAAAAAAAGAATAAGATAAAGGGCGTTTATATATATATATAAAAGGGTTTATAGAAAGGAGGAGGGAGGGGAAGAAGAGGATGAGGAAAAAGGTAGGAGGAAGGAAATGACTAAAGGTCCTTTGCTTTGCTTTGCTTTGCTTTGCTTTGCTTTTGTTTTTTTTTTCTTTTCCCCTGCTTGCAGTAATTGTTCAGTTACTGTTGATTCTTTAGAGATATTGGGGATGGAGCAAGGGGAGCAAAGGAGAGAGAGTGGGGAGGGGAGGAAGGAAGGACAGACACTATTTTGGGATATAATTCGTTCGTTGGTCTGGTTTTGAAAGAACGAAGTCTGGGGTCGATCGTCGTGAGTTTTGTTTCAAAATTATTCAGGAACAGAAAAAAAATAAGTGTGCTGTGTCAAGAATGTGGAAATGAAAAAAGTAAAGAGAGAAGGAAGAAAGAAGAAAATAAAAAAAAAAAATAAAAGGACAGAAATATGTGGAGAAGAAGGATGGATGCTTGAGTGAATGAGTGAATGGGTGAATGAGTGAATGGGTGAATGAATGAATGAAGAGAAGAAAAGAAGAAGAAGAAAAAGAAAAAGAAAAAGTAGCTTTGTGAGCAATAGAGAAGACGAGGGTATATTGAATTAATGAATGTGTTGGTGTGCAATGGTGTGGAGTGTTTGAGTGGAATGGAATGAGTTTGATATCTTCTTTAGGGGGGAAGAAATATATACATTGTCATTTTTATATTGTTCATATACCAAACTCATGTAACACATACCTCTGTAACGTTATTCTTCACACTCTCACCCCCACGGGTTATATCTCAAAGACAAAGTGGAATTGGCAAATGATATGGATGCTAATGAAAGAAGCAAGTGCCTGTGTGCTAGCTGGAAAGGAGGAGAAGGAGGATGAAGAAGAGGAAGAATGACAAATGAAAGAGATGAGATTAAAAGATGATGGTCCATTCACCATTCAAAGGCTTTTTTTTTTTTTTTTTTTAAAGTTTCCCAGCAGTATTAAAAACAAAAAAATTTCTTTCTTTTGGCTGTGAAAGTATTTGACATTATGCAACAGGCACAGGCTAACTGGATGTAAACATTTTTACTTTTTTACTTACTTGTGTTTAAAGTGGCCATGTTCATCTGTCCATCTCGCTTTCTTTTACTATAACCTTGCACCACCATCAACTCGTTATTCGCCAACGCCTTTGTTTTAGGGTGTATTACATTGACAAGTAAAAAATAAACTTGTTTATCAATTAACCGAACAACACCCCCCATTACTGTCAATACATTTATATCTATACATATTTATATATACATATAAATATATATAAAAGAAAAAGACTCCTTCTTTACCTGTCCTGTTTACACTCTCTATATGCTCTCGAACAAATACATTTGTCTTTCTCTCATCGTTTTAGATCCTAGCAATCATTTACTGTATATATATGCGTATATACATGTATTTCATTTCATAAAAGTAAAAAAGAATTGCTCAATCTCCATGTCTTTGCCAATGTTTTACAAAAGCCATGTTCTTGCGTTTATTTGCTCTCGTCAGATAATCCTTAGGCCTAGGTAATACAGATGCATGATGAGGGTAAAGAGAAACTCTTGTCGTCTATCGTACATGTTCACGTATACCTGTAGTTGGATAGACTATTACACAACAACAACAACAACAACAACAACAACAAAAAAAGCCTTGTTTCCCTTTCCCTTTCCCTTTCCCTTTCCCTTTCCCTTTCCCTTTCCCTTTCCCTTCCTTTCCTTCTTCCTTGCCAATTGTTCCTGCAGTGCAACTACGATCGATCACAAATCACGATGGTGCAGGCAGAATCACGATGGGTCCAATAATATATATTTGTACAAAAATCGATCAAACCCTGCCACCTTTTTTTTTTTTTTTTTTTTTTATTTTTTCCCAAAAAAAAAAAAAAAAAAAAAAAAACACACAGCCAGTAGTAACAATAACTCAGGTTCATGTAGACTGTTGTGTAAGTAAAAGAGAAAGAGAGTACGTACAGCAGAGAGAGGGATTTGTTTAGGTTCAACAGATTGACTGATTTGGCTGACAAAAACATTAACGGAAAATATAAAAGATGCGTTCTATTTTTAGATTGATCTCTTTTTTACATGAATGTCACCCAAAAATCTACAGGGCCCAATCCATCCAACACGGATTTACATGTTATACAGATGGTGCTGTATATGAATCCCCTTTGAGGAGGAATGTAGGGAATAATGTGCAGTAACTGAACCTGAACAGATATATATCTGTTTCCTTTCTTTTCTTTTCTTTCCTCTTTTGATATATATTATATACGTCTTTTAGAAAGCGATGCGTCTTTCTTTATGAACATGGGACATGATCAACCTCCTGTTTGGGATCAAACCCTTTTTTTTTTTTGAATACTAAAAGGCTATATATACATTTACATGAACTATATATGTGTACATGTACTTGTCATCATACTTCACCATCTCGGAAATGGGAACGGACATTTCTACAGCTCAATCCTCATTGTTTTTATTATCATTATTATTGTTAAAACGGTATAGTAAAGTGTGCAGCATAGCCATTAAAAAACAAAGAATGGCGTTTCTATTTTTTTTTTTCTTTTTGTTTTTTGTTTTAGCATCATATATATACACAAGAAGAGAACAACAATATGCCTTTTTTTCGCATGACGCATGACAGCACGGCACATGGCACATGGCACATTTACAGGCACAGTTACAGGAGCACATCGCCACAAGTGGCGAGGGGGTTATTCTTTTAAAACACTGCCACAAACACAAAGGAGCACAGGAACACCGTGTTCTCTCGCCGTCCTAGAAACGCGCGTCGTGTAACATCAAAAACCTAATAACCAAAGGCGAATATTTTTTTTTTTACGCGACTATACTTTTCTGAGCGCCCTACTCTTCTCTTCCTATTTTTATACTCGTCGCTTATCGAGATCAGAGAAAAATAAAAACATGCTAGTTTTTATTTTTCTTTTTCTTTTTCTTTTTCTTTTTTTTCTTTTTATTTCTGTTTTTATTTGTTTCATTCATTCATTACTAGAGTTCCTAGTCTGGACACCTACTCTTTCAAGCTATTATTCCATATCTATCTTTCTTTCTTTCTTTCTTTCTTTCTTTTTTTTTTTTTTTCTTGTTTACCAGGGGATATATTCAACCTTCTTTTCCTCAGTGGGATGCACATATACAACTTTACAACCCTCATCATGGATACGGAATGGCAAACTCTCAATCTTGGGTTGATAGATCGTCAAGGGCTTGACCGTCGTCACAGGCCGGATCGTCACAGTCGACCCCAACGAGGCCGAAGATCGTTCCAAGCTCTGGTCTTGTGGCTCGGCTGCTTCCACAATCGTAGCCTTGTTCTCAACTGAGGGCTGGTAAGTGGTCGAAGGCACCACCTTGGTCACAGGCTGGACAATCGCGTTAGAACCCAGGTTCACATTTGCTTGGCTCAATGCACTATGTTGTTCAGGCGCAGCATAGATATCAGGCCCTTTATCCTTGACGTGGCCTTGATAAACTGTCGAGGGCAAAATCACGTTTTTGGGCTCCGCAGTGACCATCGAACCCATATCTACAGTGCTTGCAGGTACGCTTTGCTCACATGACTCTGTGCCTTTGGTATCCAGGACGCATCCCTCAGGCTTGGTCATGTGGTGCTTACTGGCCTCGTTTTCCTCTTCACTACGCTTGATGAATCGGCTCAACATGGGCTCGAAAGGCATACGACGACCGCTTTCGAACATCAATCTCTCACCGGACCTCATGGGGCCAAATCGGTCATATTGGAGCGAAGCCTTGGAGAACGGTAAGCTCTCCGTCAGAGGCTCAGCGCATGCAGACTGGACAATGGGCGCGTATGCTTGGACGAGAGGTTGGTAGCGCGTCACTGGCACGACTTGCGTCAATGGGACCACATTGGTAGTAGAGCCCACAAGGACGGATCCGGAATTTGCGGATTGGGAACATTCAGCACCGATACAGCGGCTACTCACGGGAGCAGCTTGGATGACACAAGCGAGACCGACAAAAGCGGTAGTGAACTTGAGTGCGGCATGCATGTTTTTTGAATAACTTGATGGTTGTAAAAGAATAGGCTGTAGAGAGAAATAAGAAGGAAACGGATCTGTGGTGTGGTTTGCCTTGTTAAAAGAGGCTCCAAAGAACTTCTTTTATATAGGCTTTTTTTTCCCCATCAAATCATATATCTAGCTTTCTTTGCTTACATCGTATAAGGATAAAATGGTATATATACTTAGAAAAAATATATATCTTGATCAAACTATTAGAGGCCTTTTTTTTTTTTTTCCTTCAAGTCAAGGAAAAAAAAAAAAAAGCCAGTTGTATTGATGATTGTATAACACAACAAGCGCGCTCGCATTTAAAACGTCTTCTGTCTCGTTGATCAATTAGAATAATGAAGCATGTGACTACAAGAATGATGCTTTTTTTTTTTTTATTCTCCGAAGGCTATTCTTGAGTTTCGTGAATGAACCATTGATGGACGCGTTTATTAAAAAAAGAAACGCGTCAATAATGAATATATTCAATTGACAGTTGACGACGTACAGGTTTTAATCTGCTGAATGAAACGAATATGATGAAATCTGAAATCTGTGTCAAGTCAAATAAAAAAAATAAAAAAAAAATTTTTTTTATTGTTATTCTGTATACTCGAGTAAACACAAAGTCTGCATTTTGATTAGCTTAGTCTGGTTTGGTTTAGTTATAAGCGAGCAAAGATGCCGACTGCCTTTTTTTCCCCTTCTCTTCCCATGATCTGTCTTCGCAGAGGGATATGGTAAATAGGGTAGGCATGCGCCGCTTCTGATGGCAGTCTCTCTGACAAAGCTCGATACCGGGCCTTGGTCTCGGATGATTCGTTTCTCCAAAGTTTTGCAAGTATCCTTGAAATTTCAGCAGCAGATGTTGGCCTCTCCGCAAAAGCTGATACTTCATCTGAACGAGTACGACGATAAAGTAGAAAGCCGCCTGCCGGGTTACGAAATTGCATCGGTCGTACCAAGGAAGGGCTGAAGCCAGTGTGTCTTTCTGCCATGTAAGAAGATCCAGAAGAAGAACAGGATTGGATGTTATTTCGAGCTGTGATTCTGGTTTTTTTTTTTTTTTTTTTTCTTTTCTTTTCTTTTCTTTTCTTTTTTTCTGAAGAAAGGGCAGGTATGAGATCGGTCGGTGTGTAAATTAGAAATGAGGTTTGAGGAAGATTTTTTTTTGGTCAAGAGTGATGCCTTTTTATAGTATTAGAATGCTATGGCAGGAGTAACCAAAAAGTTGAAGAGAGCGTGTGTTTAGATTGGAAGTGAGCAATGAATTATGTTGATCAAGGCAGTCCCACACAAGAGAATGAATGACCAAGCAAAACAAAAAGAAATCCGGGAAGAGGGAGGGTTTGTGCGCGCATTCGTGCATCAACTTCCCTAATTTGGGCTTCAATCACTTTCATCCTCAAGAGCGAGAGCGAGGACCATCAGAAACTGGCTGGTTCCCCCGAAGAACCATTTAACCCCTTGGCATGCCTTGTTGACTCTCTTGCCTTTACATTCAATGATACCGAGTGGCAACGCAAAATGGAAGCAATGGCTTTACATATGAATCTGCTCTCTACGTTCGGAGCATCCTTCGACTGCTTTCCCGCTCAGATGGTGACTGAATGAATATTTAGAGGCAGCCCTGTGCTTGGCGCTGCCCCATCAGGCTTCACAACTAAGGGTATAAACATAAAAAATATAAAATATAAAAAAAAGAGTGGCTTTGTACATGCAATAACCACTGTGCTAGTGAGGGTAATGAATAGGTGCAAAGATACTCGACACTACTATGTATCGTTAGCCAGAACGGCTAAACCGCAGTAACACAATCTTCCTTTTCTCGCTTCTCATGTGCTCCTACAATAAGAAGCCGGTAAAGGGGAGGATCCCTGCCTTTGGCTTCATCCAGAAGGTCAATGACATTTTGCCAGCTATGGCCGATGCTGGCTCGATCAATGTAAGGATGCGCTATCTGTGGTCTGTTGTTCTGGAACTAGCTGCCACGCAGTTCAAGGTTGAGTTAGGGAACCACTACAAACGGGACGCGCACGCACTGTGCGAAAAAGTACATGGATCTAGTTATTAGGAGCGGTGTCGCTCAAGTTTTTATCATTGAGTAGGATAACAATGAAGGATATGCTACTATCTCCATATTTTTTAAAACAGATCGGGCTTTTGAAGAGGAACATAAGGCATTTATAAGATTCAAGGTTTTCTACTTTCACCTTCTTCTAACCCAACCTTGTCTACCTCTATTACTTCCTACCTCTTTCCTGACTTCATTTTTTGCAAAAGGTAGATTACCGAGTAAGCCTCCATACTGGTCTAAAAAATTGGTTGCAGGCTCACATCGCTATATGGTTCTATTGGCACATATAGGTATTCTGCCAGCCCACGTTGGCGCCGTACCCACCGTACCTGTCCTCTGGAACCTGGTGCCGAAAATATTGGTAGGATGTGTCTTGTGCATATGGCATCTCAGATAAGAAATCAAAAGCTTTTTCCTTCTCTTCTGGGATCCATCTCTCGTCCCACCTTTGCTTTTGCCTCTTTCTCTATTGTCATTCCTTTCTCGTGCCTCTTTCACTCTCGTGTTCCTTTCGCCCTTTCTCCCTCGCTTACGCATCCTTTATCCGTTTGCAAAGTATCCTTTGTCACTATTTCTTATCTTTGCCTCCTCCTCCCTGTCGTTCGTTTCTTTGCCAGATTTCTATTTTACTCTTTCTTTTTTTTTTTTACTTATTTATTTATTTATTTTTTTATAGTCGGTCATGTCGAGGAGAGGTCAGAAGAGAATCAGGGATTGCAAAGACAACCAGCTTATTTGCCATCTTTGTATGGCTGGGCTTGCTACGACTGCTTCCCCCCATAACCCACAGGAGTGGATTGCATAATGGGATCAGCCAACGGATCTCAAAACTCAAATGCAATTACTGCAACAATCCTTTCCAGAGCCGCAAGGCTCTGAAGCAGCATATGCTCAACTGCCTAAAGGTCGGCGGACTCACATTCTCAAGACATTGTTTGTGGTGTAAGCCGATGGAGGCAACGTAGGAAGAAGGAGGAGTTTAAGGATATTGCGATTTTGGCAGAATATAGTTACCAATTCAGCTCATGGCCAATGGTTGATGGGTGTCAGCAAGAGGACTGGTGTTATTTGAGATGAAGCTTGCCGACACCACGAAGGATCATGCATGCACCGAGATGGCCAAGAAAATGTTTGTCTCAGTCGCGTTGAATGCGACGGGTGGCAAGAAGCTGTTTGGTTTTATACTTGCCCCCACTGCCTACCGACTGGGCGAAGAAGGGAAGGTCGCCTTTGTGTGTCCCTTGAAAAATCAACCAGAGGAGGTGCTGTAGGATGTTGATTTGATATTGGCCTTAAAGCCTTACAAGTATAGTCGACCGGTGAAGAAGAATGGGTATACGCCGGTCGGTGATAACGATAAACTCTGGTAAGGAGGTTGCAGAGCGCCCTGATCCAGTCTGGTCAGGACGTCCTTATGAGTCTCAAGGCGGAGGTACCCCGTCGCTCTCCAGATAAGGATCCACAGGTTGATGCAAATGTACAGTACATAATAAATCCATACACCGGCCCCAAATCAGCAAATTTAGCAAATAAACCATGCAAAATGCGGGAGTATTCTGCACCCATGGAGTACACATAGTTCATGTCCTCGCAATCCAAAGAACATTCAAATCCATGCCACTCTGCCTGAAAATAGGTAGTTAGATGACTGAATAATATGAGTATATTAGTAATATATAAAAGACTATGGCTATTGGAGGTTAACTACGTCTTCTGGTGAAATCAATCTTCAGAAGCCCTAAATGTCCGCGAAGATATGCAACGTCGGGATCGAGCTTCCAATTTCTAACAAGGTACAAAAAAATAAAAATAAAAAAAAAAAAAAAAAAAAAAAGTTATCAGTTTTATTTTATTCATTCATAAATGTATATTTCAGCAGAGCCAATTTAAGAGGCATCGCTTATGTCACAATAGATGAGTTTCATGAAGAGATGGTAACTGGCAACAGCATCGATCCTCTCTCACACAGGCTTACGATTGGTGAAATGACCCGATGCACGCACTGTAAGGCGTACTTATGGCTTGAAGAGCGTCTTAAAGCCTCTACCATCCATGCATCAGAGTTCTCGCTCTGTTGTGGGAATGACAAAATCAGGCTCCCTGAACTTCGTCCAATTCCTAACTTGACCTCATTAGTGGCAACTGAGGAAAGCCACCACTTCCAGTCCCACATCAGGAAGTACAACTCTTCACTTTCGTATGTTTCGATGGGCGCCAACTACGACCATGAACTTGCGGATGCTAGAAGTGGTGTATATACATTCCGAATCAACGGAACAGTGGTGCACAGGATCGGGTCTTTGTTACCTCCAGATAATCAGTCAGCAAAATTTGCACGGATCTACTTCCTCGACCCTAATGAACAGGCTATCCGTCGAAGAGAAATATTTGACAACGATCTAAGGGTAGACCTCTTGAGGAGAATTCAGCAGTGGTTGGAGGATTGCAGAAATCCGTTCGCTCAGCACTACAAAACCATCCGCGAACGTGAGGGCGGCCATGCAGTCCTTGAGAAGAGCTTTGTTCTAAAAAGTGACCGAAGTCGCCGACAATATGATCTGCCCTCCGCTTTTGAGATTGCTGCTTTGCTCCCTGGCGAAGAAAACGCGACCGATCCCAGAGACATTATTGTCGAGAGTAAGGGCACAGGGTTGAAAAGAATCTTTGAAACACAAGATGCCTACGATCCCTTGGCATACGTTCTTCTTCATCCCCCAGGGCGATCTTGGCTGGACCTATAATTGTTACCACCGACATGGGCAAGACGCTGACAAGAGGATATCTGCACGTGAGTTCTATTCTTATCGATTGCAAGCACGACCAATAAGCGACACAGATAACCGTTGCTACTTTTGGATGTTTGGTCGTCTCAGCCATCAATATTGCGTCGACCAAGAGTGCAAAGTTATGAGCGATCGACTTCGATATATAGAAATGAATCAAGTGAAGCTCCGTGCAGACCTTTATAAGGGCATCGTTGATGCAGTCCACGATAATAATGTATCATCAGCGTCTAACATTGGCAAAAGTATCATCCTGCCTTCTTCCATTACTGGAGGAACCTCGCGATATGCAACAGCGATTCCAAGACTCAATGGCTATGACTCAACGTGTAGGTAGGCCGGATCTATTTATTACCTTCACTTGCAATCCACAATGGCCAGAGATTCAACATGAAATTGCAAGACAGGGGTATGCTGGACAGACCCCAAATGATCGTCCCGATCTGTTGGATAGGGTATTCAAGGTCAAGCTCGAGGCTCTTATGCATGACCTTACTGAAAAATATGTCCTTGGAAAAGTTATCGGATACTGTCTTGCAACCGAATTCCAAAAGCGAGGACTGCCACACGCTCATATCCTACTGACCTTAGACGAAGAAGATAAGCCCCGTACGGCTCAGGATATTGACAACATCGTTTGCGCTGAGATCTCTGACCCACTTAGACACCCTAATTTGTACAAAACTGTGATGACGACAATGATCCATGGCCCTTGTGGCCCTGGAATCAAATCTCCCTGTATGGAGTCCAATGTGTGCACCAAGAAGTACCCACGGCAACTCTTAGCGGAGTCAGTTCTAAGAGAGGATGGCTATCCGTTCTATAGACGACGTGATCATGTGGTCCGGCGTAATAATACCAACTTCGCCATCGATAATCATTGGGTCGTGCCATATAACCCTTATTTATCAACGAAATACAACGCCCACATAAATGTCGAGATTTGTTCTTCAATCACATCAGTAAAGTATTTGTACAAATATGTGCACAAGGGACAGGATCGTGCAAGGGTGACTGTAGTTAAAGAAGATGTTCAAGAGCAGCAGCAGTTGCAGCCTCATGATGAGATCAAGGAATACTGGGATGCACGCTATATCTCTGCTTGTGAATCGATATGGAGGATCTTTGCGTTCAAGAT